TTACACTATTTACTTATACCATTATCATTTATCACTAATTTTAAAACGATTTATATCACCAGATCAGATTCAATATACTTTCATATTATTTGAAAATGATGATTTGAATAAAAACACTATGTAAAAGTCGAAGTAATTAAAATTAATACAGACATATGCATGTAACATGTTATATACTTATATGTAGTATGTCTTACTCTTATCGCCTATTTTATTGAAAATACTAAAATTGAAATCAAACAGCCTTCGTACAATATATGTTGGTAACCGAATCTTATTCACCGAATTATCAACTATTTTGAGATTTTCATTATATAGTGGCTAACATGTATTTAAAGGATAATCCTTCCACTTTGATATAATCAAATGAAACTACTGGGTTGCCAACTAATAATCTTGCATGATTCAAATTACATTGGAAGGATTTAATTTCATACTATTTCATAATTGATGTACTTATATTTGATCATAATTTTGCTGATCCATTTAAAAACAAATAGTAATTCTTAACTACATGCTTCTTATGTGTTTTAAACATAAAATTTGATGATTTACAGTTACATTATATATCAGTCCAAACTTTGGAGCAATTGACAAGAATTATTATACTCATACGGTCTTGGAACTTGTGAAAGAATGGATTTGTACAGATGGGGACTAACTTCATTAATTTTTCAACAGAAATGAGTGTATTATATACATATAAATGGCTGTATAATAATTGTAAGATTAGTTGTAAATATGATCAAGAACACAAAAGTGCCTCGAGAATTAAAAACACACATGGAGTATGTCAAGTTGTAAATTTGTAATAATATCTCATTATTAACTAGTACACTTTATTATGATCTTCAATCATTGTTGAATATTTTTTCCTATTGTTGAATAATGCATGAATGGGTCTCAATATATTGCGAAGCTTTACTTTTGCACATATAATAGAAAATGAATTATCAACCAACATAGCTAATAGCTTCCACTTGGACACTGATTCTCATGCCCAAAATATAAATAAATACTGTGCTACTTCAAAAGAAAAAAACAAACACTTAAATAAACAAATCTAGTTTACGAAGGGATAATACGACAGTCTGTCAGAGTCATATGCGCCACACATTAACACACACGTAAATGTCAAATCTATTCATTTGAATGAGCAATTTGTGTAAACAGTTAATTATGATATGAAGCTAAACAAAATAGATCTGGATAGTACGAATATAAATAGTAAAACTTTATGGTTTAATGTTTTACTTACACAACCATGATTTAAAGTTGTAATCTACGTATATAACTATATATACATCTTATTTTATGTTCACTGTGAGTTCCAGTAAATTATATTGATAACGAATCGAAGTTTAAGAACACCAGCGTTGACATTGTAGCTAGGTGTCTTGTTTCATTCAACTGGGTAACTCCAGTTACCCAATAGTGCGCAGATAAAAGCATGTGATCGAGAGATTAAAATTGTTGCTACGCGTACAACTTAGTTTTAAATGTTCAAGTTGCTTTACAGATTTATTGACAGATAACTTCAGATATCGAGTTATACAATAACTCATTCCCTGGTTTATGATACTTTAATAAACATGTAGTGTTGAAGTATTTCTTAACACACAAGGTTGGGTTATGGCTCTTATACCTTTCTTCTCATCATATTTACTAAAGATTCGAAACAATCATCTATATAATATCTATAAAGAAGAAAAAACATATATAACCGTTATATATCAAAATCCGGCTAGAATAATCTGGTTAGATTAAGCCGATTTCGGGTTCAGGACTACGTACGTTCAGGGGTCTCTCTTGCCTCTTAGTCAAATATACAGCATGGTTTCCATAGGTCGAACCGTCAAAGAGTTGCAAGAAGCATAATTCTAAAACTCTTGAACATAGTTTAGTATTTGTATGCTTTCTTTGATAAATAACACATTTTATCTGTTTGTATGAACTACTAACGTCCGTGTGTCATGAAAGTAACATGAGTTTTAGTTGAGATTTATTGACTTGCTGAACAAAATAAACCTAGAAAGACGTTTGTCTCATTCTGACATGTACATTCTTGCATTTATAAATAAGCGAAGTCCAAATTGCCTATTTCTAATCGGGCCAACTCTATGGGCCTAAATATTCTCTTTTCCAAAGCGTCCCCTTCACTAAATATTTTAATTAAGTGTTTTTGAATGTATGTTAATGTCACTACTTTATAAAAACACATTCATAAAAGCTAAGTGAATTTATGCACTTTCCCATGGAGACGGAATATTGTAAAACATTCATAAGCTATTGTCGTTGATCGTCTTCGTCTCCATGCGAAATTGCATAAGTCTCTGCATTGCATGTTATTCGTGTAACAGTGTAACACTAAACTTCACTCACATATTGAATTATTGATGTCCATTATTGCATAACACTAAACTTCACACACACAATTAACTTAGTTTTCATTTTTGACTTTTGTGCAAAGAATTATGAGAATATTAAGCCCGTGTTCAGAATTACTTGGTCGAATCACGGATTAGTTAATTAATAGAGAAAATAAACAAGGCAATTGAATAAGAAAATAGAAAAGCAATAACATCGAATATCAACCGTTGGATGTTCCGTATATAAAAATATTGACGTCAACATATTGTACCTTTGACTTTCATTATTTCGGGTCAACGACATCAACATACTTAAAACATGTACTTTACGAATTACGATGATAAAATAATCGCGAAGTTTTTTTTTTTAAAAAAAAAAATAATAATAATCGCGAAGTTCGACTCTTTGAGACAGTAAAAACCATACTTATTAATAATTTTCCACCAATTCACGGAGAATCGAATTTGCATAACTTGCAGGAGAAGGTGAGAATTATTAATGAAACCAAGTCCCCCATTGATCTGAAAGAACAATTCTCTTTTCGTTTTCTTTCTTCTTCTTCTTCTCCTTCAACTCCAACTGGGGAAGAAGAAGAGGATCCATTTAACCGTATCTATCTTTTCTCTCTCTCCACCTCTCTTCGATGGCGGAGGGCGAAGAGAAGAACGGGATTATTGACTCGATGCCCTTGGTCGCTAAGGAGCTTATTGCCGGCGGCGTCACCGGCGGTATAGCTAAGTCCGCCGTCGCTCCACTCGAGCGAATTAAGATTCTTTTCCAGGTACGACTGATTCTGGGTTTATCAAACTTTGTATTATTTCCTTATGGAATTGATTCGTCCCCTGACTCAATTAGATTTACCTGAGTCATGAACTCGGATTCAAGCAGCAGTCTCTCGCTTTAGCTGGTTTTTCTCTATTTCGAAATCTGGGAGCTTTTAGTGTTGTACTTCACAATTGGAATCTGTTTATAGAGAAAAACTTAGACCAATCTCTGGATTTGAAGAAACTCAATCATGTATTGATCTTCCTCAGACCAGAAGGGACGAGTATAAACGCATAGGACTCGTAGGATCCATCAACAAGATTGGCAAAACTGAAGGTTTGATGGGTTTCTACCGGTACGTTCGTCTTGAAGTTTTAAGAAGCACTTTGGGCTCATAGGTTAATACAGTTCACTCTCTTGACTTCGTTTTCGTGTTTACTGCAGTGGGAATGGTGCAAGCGTTGCTCGGATAGTTCCCTATGCAGCTCTTCATTACATGGCTTATGAGGAATACAGGAGATGGATCATCTTTGGTTTCCCAGACACTACTCGAGGCCCATTGCTTGATCTTGTAGCTGGATCACTCGCTGGTGGTACTGCGGTTCTCTTCACTTATCCTCTTGACCTGGTCCGGACAAAGCTGGCTTATCAGGTAAAATCTGCTTCAGATGCTGTGTGTTGGTTGATGTTTCGTCCTCTAGCTATAGTCATTAGTAGGCTCATTGGGAATTTTAGCAGTGCAGGTTGTTGGTTCAGCAAAAGCACAAGCAAAAGCTGTTATACCCTTGGAACAAATCGTGTACAGAGGAATTACTGATTGTTTCTGGAGGACATACAGAGAATCTGGATTCCGAGGGCTATATCGTGGTGTAGGTACATTAATAACCATGTCTTTGGATTTTGCTAGATCTTCTTCTCTTTTCTCTAAGACTCAAAAAAGTTTTGATTTTTCTTTGGTCGCGTGTGGATCAGCTCCTTCTCTGTATGGGATCTTCCCTTACGCTGGTTTGAAGTTCTACTTCTACGAGGAGATGAAACGCCATGTCCCTGCGGAACATAAGCAAGACATTTCCCTGAAACTCGTATGTGGATCGGTCGCTGGATTGCTTGGTCAGACCTTAACGTACCCTCTCGATGTTGTTAGGAGACAGATGCAGGTGTGATCTTGTTCTGCTTCTATCTACCAAATCCTTGAATCTTCATAAAAAAATGATCCTGAGTAGTATTATAATCGAAACTCCCTGCAGGTTGAGAGACTATATGCAGCCGTTAAGGAAGAAACAAGAGGAAGAGGAACAATGCAAACCCTTGTCAAGATTGCTAGAGAAGAAGGCTGGAAGCAACTCTTCTCGGGACTTAGCATCAACTACCTTAAGGTTTGAGATTAGTTTCATCGATCTGTCTTCGCTTTTCGGAGAATAGAAGATTAACTTACAAACTCTTTCTCTTCTTGGTTTCTCTAGGTTGTACCATCGGTGGCAATCGGATTCACCGTATATGATGTTATGAAGCTGTACTTAAGAGTCCCGCCGCGTGAGGAAACAGAGGCAGAAGATGTGACGACAAGGAAGAGGGATCGTTTAAGCTAACTCTTAAGGTCATTCATGATCTGATTCTTTTTGGTGTTTAAAACCACAGAAATATTGTTGGAGAAGTGTAAATTCCATTTTTTTCAAATAAACAGCGTCAGAATTACTTGTAAATATCCACTTGGTTATAGTTTTTGTTCATTCAGGATTTTGGTTGAAACCACGTGAGACTCAGATGTAATCTGTAACATTCCGAAAGCAACAAAAGTTCATAACCTGTTCCTTATTTCGGTTAGGTACTTACAAAACGAGTTAATCTAATGCTTTTGTTTGAATTCAAGATGTGATTCTCATCCCCTTGTGCTCCTCGCATCTCTTCCGTCCTTTTACTGGAGGTTTCTCACATACCGAACCATTGTACAGCTTCACACCGCAAATTTCCTGACTCACGGTTGCTGACTGAACATTTTCGGATGATCTGCTGTCCAAAGTTTTATCTTTGTGCTGCCAACATCTTCTGCTTCCCGTAGTAGCTATTCTTGAACAAGGCAGACCATTCTTGGTCGTAGCTTCACAGTAAATACTCAGACCCGGATCCTTTTTGTTCATGCCTGCACTTGATGTCTCGTGTTTGGATTTATCCTCTTTGACAGCTTGATCGCGTTCTGTTGGGTTCAGCAGAAAGAAGAAGGCATTGATTCTCATTCCCTTGTGGTCCTCACATCGTTTTCTCTTTGAAACAGGCTTTCTTGTGCAAGGTACCATGTCAGGTAAAATCACTCCACATATATCCTCAGTTTCTTCGCATTCGCTCCCAGTAGGAACTTCACATGGTAATTTTCTCACGACGGGAACACATGAAATTCTCTGTCCTTTATGCTCCGTGCATCTCTTTCTTCCTTTGATTGGTGTTCTAGTGCAAGTAGTACCATCTTCTAGTAAGACTCCACAAACAAAAGCAGAATCAGATCCATTAATAATGCCATCGTCATGTCTCTCTGAAACCACCGATTGAGGCTTGGACCGAGTGAGTCTAAGTATCGATGCAAGAACATTACTCTTCTCCTCAGCTGCAACAGAGCTGACCTCTCTCTCTTCTGCAACATCATGCTTCTTGTCTTTGCTTCTGCTGCCAGTTTTCTTCTGACTTGTTTGAGACAAACCCGGTTTTCTCTGGCTCTTAAGCAAGTCATGATGAGCAATTGATCTACCATAAGGCTGGAGCCGAGATATAATGCTTTCGGTTTGACCAAGAGAAGCCACATGAGCATCATCTGGTTCAACTTTTCGGCTCTGTTCATGATCGGTGACAGCTACACCGAGACCCGGGATGGATCCTTGGACTCTGTATCTACCTACACGATCTTTTCCCCTTCTGAGATTTTCCTTATCGTTGGCTCCAATCAGAATCTGTTGTTCAGTATAAGTTTTGATATTAAAGAGATGTGTGTTCCCAACTTAGTTACTTAGGAGAAAGAGCTTAGCTTGATGATACACACGAGACTAAAGCCACATAGTTGTTAACTGATATCCAGCAAAAGTTACGAGTAGAGCAATGTGAGGAAAGAGACAAAATGTAACCTTTGGATCAAAATCCCGAGAAATGGAGGAGTAATCCGCAATAGTTCTCCGTAGTTCTGCAGTTTCTGAAAAGGGTTTACGCAGAAGCATGGATCGAGCAAAACCCTGGAGAAAACCCAGATTCACAAATGAAATTACACGGAATCTTCGGAGATCAAACAAAGAAACGCTGAAGAAAAGAGTGATCTTTGAATCAAATTCCACGATTTCGAGGAGAAATCGCTCAAACTCGACCTGGGTTTGAGGCTTTGAGCGGAATGAAAGATCGAGCAAAACGCTAAGCTACGAATCACTGAGTTTTCTGAAATCCGAGAGAGAGAGAACAAGAGAGGAGTACCTGCCACTTGGAAAAGCCGGCGTCGGGTTTAGTTCGAATGTAATCATCTCTCTTGAACATGGTGAACACGACGGCGAAGGAAACGCCGTCTCCGAGTTCCGATCTGTTTTTTTCTCCTTTCTGATCGGACTCAAGAGTTTGTCTGCTTTTCCGTTAACTGATCGGACTGTGACGGAGAATTTACAGAAAAAAATAGTTTTTGCTCTTTTTCTTTTTCAAATTTGAATTCGTCACTCTCCCTCCAGTGGCTGAAGCAACATGTATTATTAGTGAACTGTTGGAACTTGGAATGGTTAAGCTTTCGTTGGCGTGGTTCTTGACCGTCGGATCTCCAACATAATTGATTACACTCGTTTCTTTTCCAACATTTTTTTTATTTTTTTGTGTATGCAACATATATATAACAAGAAATATTGAAAGAAACTCACATTCAAATCCATTGAAAAACTTTTAAAAACTTGAGTTTTTTTTAACACAAATGTAGCACGCATTATATATATCTATATATAATAACAATCTGAATAAATGCCAATTGAACCTTCGAAAAGTTGTGTTATTTCAAAATTGGGGGTTGTATCTTTTCATTATAAATGATTGCATATTTTTATTATAAATAGTTGCATCTTTTCATTTATAATAGTTGCAACTTTTCATTGTATCTTTTCAAAATTATTTATATTGCACATAAATAAAAACTAAAATCATTTAGATCTGATATTTACTTTTTTACTGTAATGGTTTATGTTTTTTTTGCAAAAAATATAAAATTCAGAATAGTTTTAAAGATGTATCTACATCAAAAAAATTAGTTAATAATTATAAAAAATGTTATGTGGCAATAAAGAAGCAAAACAATTATACAGTTTGTTTATGATATTAGCTTTCACAAAACTGATACCATCAAATCTCTTAAAGATATATAGATTGATGATCTATAAACCGAAATCAGAACTATGATTGTTGTGTCGTTTCTTACTATAATGGGTTTATTATTACAATAAGCTGTGAAATAGTGAAAGTTTTTTATGTCAGCATTCTTCTATGATTGTTGTGTCATGAAATGAGTAAATATCATAGCGGACTATAACTTTCCCCATCGACTAAAGATTGTGTTGTCTTTGAACATTATATTATACATATTACACAACCTAACGAAATCTCTCAAGTATCACCAGATCCATTTTAAAATCCCTCAGGATTTTTTTTCATTAGAAGGCAGCAATATGTATATTTCTTTGAATTTTCTATTTTTATTATTGAGGGTAATATATAATAACAATCTGAATAAATGCCAATTGAACTTTCGAAAAGTTGTGTTATTTCAAAATTGGTGGTTGCATCTTTTCATTATAAATGGTTGCATCTTTTCATTATAAATAGTTGCGTCTTTTCATTTATAATAGTTGCAACTTTTCATTGTATCTTTTCAAAATTATTTATATTGCACATAACTAAAAACTAAAATCATTTAGATCTGATATTTACTTTTTTACTGTAATGGTTTATGTTTTTTTTTGAAAAAAAATATAAAATTCAGAATAGTTTTGAAGATGTATCTACATCAAAAAAATTAGTTAATAATTATAAAAAATGTTATGTGGCAATAAAGAAGCAAAACAATTATACAGTTTGTTTATGATATTAGCTTTCACAAAACTGATACCATCAAATCTCTCAAAGATATATAGATTGATGATCTATAAACCGAAATCAGAACTATGATTGTTGTGTCGTTTCTTACTATAATGGGTTTATTATTACAATAAGCTGTAAAATAATGAAAGTTTTTTATGTCAGCATTCTTCTATGATTGTTGTGTCATGAAATGAGTAAATATCATAGCGGACTATAACTTTCCCCATCGACTAAAGATTGTGTTGTCTTTGAACATTATATTATACATATTACACAACCTAACGAAATCTCTCAAGTATCACCAGATCCATTTTAAAATCCCTGAGGATTTTTTTTCATTAGAAGGCAGCAATATATATATTTCTTTGAATTTTCTATTTTTATTATTGAGGGTAATATATAATAACAATCTGAATAAATGTCAATTGAACCTTCGAAAAGTTGTGTTATTTCAAAATTGGTGGTTGCATCTTTTCATTATAAATAGTTGCATCTTTTCATTATAAATAGTTGCGTCTTTTCATTTATAATAGTTGCAACTTTTCATTGTATCTTTTCAAAATTATTTATACTGCACATAACTAAAAACTAAAATCATTTAGATCTGATATTTACTTTTTTACTGTAATGGTTTATGTTTTTTTTGCAAAAAAATATAAAATTCAGAATAGTTTTGAAGATGTATCTACATCAAAAAAATTAGTTAATAATTATAAAAAATGTTATGTGGCAATAAAGAAGCAAAACAATTATACAGTTTGTTTATGATATTAGCTTTCACAAAACTGATATCATCAAATCTCTCAAAGATATATAGATTGATGATCTATAAACCGAAATCAGAACTATGATTGTTGTGTCGTTTCTTATTATAATGGGTTTATTATTACAATAAGCTGTGAAATAATAAAAGTTTTTTATGTCAGCATTCTTCTATGATTGTTGTGTCATGAAATGAGTAAATATCATAGCGGACTATAACTTTCCCCATCGACTAAAGATTGTGTTGTCTTTGAACATTATATTATACATATTACACAACCTAACGAAATCTCTCAAGTATCACCAGATCCATTTTAAAATCCCTGAGGATTTTTTTTCTTTAGAAGGCAGCAATATGTATATTTCTTTGAATTTTCTATTTTTATTATTGAGGGTAATTCTAAAAGGATCTTTTTTTTTGCAAATTTCTATTTTTTTAGTGAGGACCTAGCTACAAATATAAAATATGAGTACTAGAGAAGAAAAGAAAAATAATACGGGACCAAAATTAGGGCTTGCTTAGAGACAAATAGGAACAAGAGAGGGAAGGGGTTTGAGCTTGGTTAGTCTTTGAATTAATCGTAAAGATCGGATATGTTGTTCAAAGATGATGAACACTTTCACAGCAACATCATTACCAAACACGTATATTCTCTCTTCATTCCCTTTGTTTTGTTTTTATGATTTTTCAAATTTTTACTTTCCAAAAATATTTTAACTAAAGGAATTTCTTCAAAATTAAAAGTATGTATATTTTCAAATAGTTTGGAAATAACAATTTTTTTTTCTGAATCTTCTTCGTTCTCTGAAACCATCTTGATTTTACTCTTAAAGTAGAAAATATGTTATACAAAGCCAATAAATATAAATTAGAAATTTTAAACACCTTCAAAAGTTGCAACGTTCAATTACTCTCTTTTCACTAACAATCACATATTTTAAGTACGTGTGTCTTCTAAAATCTATTTATATTGCTTGATAACATTAAAAAAAACTATTCGTTATACATTTCTGTAAAATAGAATCATGTTCTCTCAATGGTTTGCCATAAATAAAGAAGATAAAGTAACGAAAAATCTATCATACAATCAATTAACCAAAAAATATGTATGGGACAAAGGTCTTAAAACTTGGACAGATGCATGTGTGACAAATAATCTAATTAGAAATGATGATGAATGATATGTGGCTATGAAAGAAGCATAATTTACTGCTACACCAAATCAATTGTGTAATTTGTTTGTCAAATTAGTATATCATAATGAAGTTACAGAACTATTAACACTATGGAATGCATTTTGGAATTATTACAATGATAAAATGGCTTTCCGAGAAAAAAAAAAAAAAAAAAATTTGTCTGAATGATTATAAGACAGTCATGGCTCCTGTTGAAGCGAATGAAGAGAATTGGTGTCTTATAGGATTTAAGGAAAGACACATAAACAAAAGATTTAAAAGATAGTATTTTTAAAAAATTTATGGTTGTATCTTTTTATTATAAATAGTTGCATTTTTTTATTATAAATAGTTGTGTTTTTTCAGCACAACTAAAATTTGTATCTTTTCAAATTTATTTATATTGTTTAAAATTATATAGAAATTCATTTTTGTCTGATTCTAATTTTTATTATTTAAATTTATGATACCAATAAAGAACACTAAACAGAAAAATTTGCATCCCTCACCGTCGAAGCTGCAATTCAACCGGAAGATCCTGTCTAAGAAGAAAATCAATACGGATCCACATCGAAGTAAATAGGAGACAAATCTAACATACATGAAAGCCTTTCAGGGCAAGCTGAAACCAGAAGGGAGTAGAGAAATAGCATAAACAATACATCTAAAAAAGCAAAGCTAGCTTTTTCTTTTACCATATAGTGTCAGAATCATCTATTAAGCATACACATAACCATGAACAAGATTTTCGTTGAGCAGTCTTGTGTCACACCCAATATGTATAACTTGGTTCATGGTTGGCTTTATTTGATTGATTTTTCTTCATTGGTGCAGCAGGTGACTCAAACTGGAATTATTGGTGAGGGAAGCCAAGAAGGATTTCAAGTGTGGTACGTTTAATTTCATATCTCCATCCCAAATGCAAATATCAATTCATTAGTAAATATTTTATATCTTACGGTATTATAGCTTTCATTTATCTTATGATATTATAAAAATTAATAAACTACCTTATAGTAACCATATCATTTTTATTTGTTTTAATGTATAATAATTCAAATAAATGCCATTTACATTTTCACAAATTGCGTCGTTTCAAAATTTGTGGTTGCGTCTTTTCCTTATAAATAGTTGTGTTTTTTTCATCCGTTGTGAGTAGCGCCTTTTCATTATGAATAGTTGTGTTTTTTTATTATAAATTATTATATTTTTTCATCACAACTGTAATTTGTATCATTTTAAAATTATTGATACTACTCAAAACCATATTAAAAATTCATTTAGATTTGATTTTTACTTTTTTACTATAATGATTTATCATAAATGTAAATTATCTAGATAGTTTTCTGAAAATAAGAATAATAACAGAAAATCTGAAATATAATCATTTTCCAAAAAAATATGTATGAAACAAAATTTTAAAAGCATAGAAAATATTTAATATTGTTATTCATCTTGAAAAAATATTTAATATATATCTTTATTATGATGAAAAAATCTACTCACTGTATGCAACTTTAGAAAAGGTTTGAGAAAGTTTTGTTGATGTTAATGGAAGAGAAGCAAAGAGACATGGGTCATTTTATTTAGGTTAGATATATAATTATAATTTTCTTTATTAATATACAAATTATCTCTTTTATCAATATGTATATATATATATATACCTGTAACAAATCATCTCCAACTTTCTCAATGGATCATCTATTTAATTTGTCATTGTGCTTTGAAATCTTCAACTCCGTTGTTCTTGCATAAATTAATTACCAAGACGGTAAGTATTCTTATTATATATTGTAAAATTTATAAAGCGTCTGAAATTATATCATTTTTATATATCGATTTCTATCCAAAAGTAATAAGTTGTAACATTTTAAAAGTTATAGTTACATTTTTTATTATAAATGATTATGTCTTTTCATTATAAATTATTATAGTTTATAAATAGTTATATTTTTATTATAACTGTAATTTTTATCTTTTCAAATTTATTTATATTGTCTAAAACTAAAGAAAAAAAATCAGTTAAATATGATGTTGTGAACGTTAATAAAAAAACACATAGAATGAGGGTGGGTTTATATCTTCTTAGACCAGCTTTTAGTCATAGACAAATATATGTTGTATTATCTAAAGTCATTTATTTAAAAAGTTTAAAAATTTATCAAGGCTAAAAAAAACAATGTTTAGAATTTTTTTTTAATAATATTCAGTATCTTAAGCATCCCAATTGGGAACCTGCTTAAAACAGGTCCACGTAAAATCAGATGACAATTATTTCTTTTTCAAACATTTTTTTTTTAAATTTAGAGTTTTGGAACTACATCGTAGCAAATAACAGTACTTAAAAGCAGTGAAAAATACAATAGAGAAAGCAGTATAAATATTCGACAACAAATCTTTATTTTTCATTTACAGAAACGTTAAGATATATATTTAGCAGGATACAAATAGGTAGATAATAATTAAAAATTATTCCAACAATTATAGGAAAAAAATTAACCATTTTTAAATGAATAGACATAATTTAAAAAGACGTAAATTTTCTCTTTTAAAGATTATTTAAGTCAATAATTGCTTTATTTACTTAAAGAGCACTTATACTTGTATACTTAATTAATTAAAAATAATATATTTTCACTCTTTGGTAACACTCATATTTACTGGTTTCATTTTTTTAAAAAAATATAATTTTTTCTTCCTATAGCGTTAGATTGAACGAACTGTTAAAAAGTGAGTGTGGTGAAACAATCATTATAATTGTCAAGTTATACAACAATTTAGTTTCAATTACCAATATTAAAGTTATTTACTTTTAGTGACGTTAATTTTATATCTGAAGAGAGGTCTACATATAAAAAAAGATTTTAATAATTCTTTGATAAGTGAAGGAATTGAATTTGAAGAGGTAAACATGATTCTAATGAATGTTATACTTAGGACTTGTGAAGTGATTGAATCTAGTGATTATTCCCATTCAAAAATTATGACACTATTATCAACATTACATATTCACTAAGATGTCACTTACGAGGATACTTGAAAGCAACAAACAATTAAAAAGTTTTTTGATTAATGAACTGTTGTACCAAAATCTTCTATTGAAAATGTAATTATCTAATCGAAAATAATAACATTTTTTATAGAAACAAAGAATGAAGGAAAACATACTAATAATATATGTGCGTAATTTGCAAAGAATATTTTGTTGATAAATAATTTTTTTCTGAAACTACCTTGCAATCATATATTTGATATAGATTGTTTTCTAAATATTTATGTTGTTATTAATTATCTTTTTAACTTATTAAATAAATATATTTAAATATAATTTTATTGATTTAACTATTTATGCATATTTTTAAAATATCAGTTATATAAAATAATTATTAAAAAATGAGTTTCCGCGCGAAAGCGTGGATTATTTACCTAGTGTGATATAATAAAATAAGTGTGGACGATACAGCATTGTAAAAAATTTAGGCTTAGATGCCCTTGAGTTTGTTTACAAAAGACCAAAAAAATTAGAATATTTATACAAATTCACTCTTATCACTATGTACATTCAAAATGAAATTAATGTATAAATATCACACAAAGATAGAATCGGAAATAATTGGAACTTTACACTTTTTGATATCCTTAAGGCCCTAAGCCCTAAATCTCTGAGAAAGCTACGCATTCATCCAACAAAATAAAAAGAAAACAAGAGAAAGCTAGGGTTTCCTTCGAGACGTTATCTTATAGCCGCCATGCACCCAAGGTAAGTTTTCTCTCCGAGACTCTACGTGCGTTCTTGGTTTCCTTACAGTATTCAAAACAAGTCTTAATTCTGATATTATCTTCGATCTTTTATCCTCCCAGTACTTCGCGTTATCGTAGCAGAAACGGTGATGGAACCTCCAAGAAGAAACGACGAGTTGATGTGAAGATGGATATGATCAGTGAGTTGCCTAATGCTCTGTTGCTTCAGATATTGTCCTTAATTCCGACAACAGATGTCGTAAGTACTTGTGTTTTGTCGAAACGATGGAGATCTCTATGGAGAGATGTGTCTAAGCTTGACTATAGTCACCTGAATGATAGAAAACTGTCGCACAAATTTGTTAATAGGTTCCTGATATTACACAAGTCGCACAGGCTCGAGAGTATGCGACTTATAGTTGGGTCGGATTGTGAGACTGCTGATATCGGAATCTGGATTGGTTATGCGGTTGAACATGGTTTGCGTGAGCTAGAACTCGACCTTTACTTGGAAAAAGATCAACATATCCGATTGTCAAGTAGCATCTACACTTGTAAAACACTTGAGGTCTTGAAACTAAAGAACTGTGTTCGCGTAGATGTTCCTGACTCCCAAGTTTGTTTCAAGTCCCTCAAGATCCTAAATCTTCAGCTTGTGCACTTCGAGGACGAGGATTCAGTGCGTAGGCTTTTCGCAAGTTGTACTAATCTTGAAGAATTGGTTGTTACGCGATATATGGACAATGTGATCAACTTCACTATCGAAGCACCATCTTTGAAGAGATTATCAATACATGATCGTAGCGATGGAGATGGTCAAAGAGGGTATGTGATAAACACTCCTTCTTTGAAATACTTGTCCATTAAGGGACATCAAGATTTTGAGGTTTCTCTTGAGAATACACCGGAGCTACGGGAGGCAAAGATTATTGATATTGATACTGAGAAGATTCTCCTACCTCTCGCCTCATCAGTCACGCGTCTCTCCCTATCTTTATCGCCTTTAGAGGTAAACATGTATCTTGTTGATTTCAAATCATTTCAGTTTCTTTTGAAATCCAACTCTTTCACTTTTGAGAACCAAGACGAATTAAAACTGATCTAATCTTGGATTTGGAAGAAGAAGAAGCAAAATTCGAAGATTTATACGGTTTGAACATGTTTATTTTCGTTTACTTGTATACCACAGATTAGGTACGCTTATAGTATTGTCTTTCATAAGCTTGTAAATTTGGAGTTAAGTACAAGTAAAACCGAGTGGTGCAATCTACTTGTGGTTCTGCTATTGAATTCTCCTAATCTACAAGTTCTCAAGCTCATGAGAGATGTAAGCAACTTCTTAAACTTTGCTTACTTTTCAATCTTACCTACATTCTGCAATCTGATGAGTCTATAAACATTGTGTTTTTAATCGGTTTTTGGTCACAGGAGTCGGGGTTAGACAACAAGGAGCGCTCACAATTTTATGAACCGATCAATGTTCCTCCTTGTTTGCTATTCTACCTACAAAGATTCGAGTGGAAAAAATACAATGGACGACGTGAAGAAGAAAAAAAAGTTGCGATGTACATACTATCAAATGCGAAACATTTGAAAGTAGCAAATTTCACGACGAAAAACTTTAATTCGGATGTGAAATTTGAGATGTTGAAGGAGTTAGCTCGTGAGCCTAAGGCTTCACCTTCGTGTCAGTTTTTCTTTGAGTGAAAAAAAAAAAAAATCTCAGATGAGATGCAACTGATGCAATTTCGTCCACGTACTAAGCTTTTTGAATACTTTTTGCACTTTTGCGATTCACATTGGTTTTGAGGTACTTGATTTGTAAGATGAAGACGTGTAACGTTTCTTGCTAACCAAGGAACGGTGTATATTAGGGCATCTTATGTCAGGAACAAAGTATTTATTCTTTACTGGACTTATACTTGTGAGGTTGAGAGAATAATACGAGAAAACCCGCAATTTTTTAGATTGGCTAATATCAGAAACTATCTCTAATACGGTGATTAAGATGAATTTGTGTTATATAACCCAATAATAAAAATGAGTTCAGCAGCAATTAGACTTAAACTTTTGTACACAACCTTGACCTATGATGCTATATGTACAGGGAAGCAAGGGAAGCAATCAAATAGATAAACTGTTCAATCAGATCCAGACATTGATTATACGCTTGAGTCTTCAACTTTCTCAGAAGCCGAAGAAGAATGGTCACTACTAATTCGTACATTATGTCTCTCTATAGCGTCTCTCAGTTTCTGGAACTGCAGAAATGTTTGCAAAAGCTAGTTAAGACTTAAGAAGACACCACTAAGAGACTACACAATGCAGTGGCCATACTCTGCTTTCGTGATAATCAAACTGGGATTTGAAATAAAAAAGAGAGAAGAGGATAAGAAGAGCTAACCTTGGCAAGAGAGCACGAGAAGGATTCGACTTGGCCATCAGCACCGCGGTAGAAATGGAAGTATGGTAACACCTTGACGTTCAAGCTTTTGCAGAGTGACTTGTTCTCGTCAAAGTTTACTTTAAGAAACAAGATTTCAGGGTGTGCTTCCGCTGTTTTGCAGAGCTGGATAAATAGAAAAAGGTCTCAGCTTTTTGTTTCAAGATCCGATTCAGAAAGAAGAAAGCCGATAACTTTAGCAAACTCATTTTGTTATCCAAGAAACATTAATGCAGCAGACATCCAGAAACTATAGAGGAATGCTAAAGCACTCATATTTACCTTTGGGAACATTGCTCGGCAAGAACCACACCAAGTCCCATAAAAATCAACGATAACTAATCTATCTCCAGCATCTTTTAAAGCGTTCAGAAACTGTTCTGCAGAGGTAATGTCAATCATGTTTGGCCCTGCTTTCTTCTCCCACCATTTTGGCTGTTCGGTTTCAGCAGCTAACGCTCTGACCTATTAACAAATATTTCACCTCTTAGCTACAAATATAACAACACTCTACAATAAACACAACACCAAACACTACAGAGATGTAATCCGATCATAGTTTCAATCAAAGTGATATGATAAAAGAGTAAACTAAATCGATGTAAACTTAGACACAGAAGTAATGTAATCGTCTCCCTGCCTGAGAAATCGAACTGAGATAAAAGAGTAATTTCAATCAATGGCGCATGTAGAAAACCCTAAATCCCAATCGACTACTAGCGACACAAGATTGAGCAGATTCCCCAAAAAGTGGAACATGGGTTCTCGAGTTCCGGCCACAAACTTGAAATTCACCACAAAAAGTTACGGAATTGAGTACCTTTACGGAGAGAGACTGCTTCCTTGATGGGAAAACTAGATTTTCCGGGCCGATCGAAGAAGAAGGAAGAGAGGAAGAGCTCGAGAGTGATAGACTGTAGAATCTGTTGCAGGAATTCAGTAAGGGTATGATTCCGATTGGTGGAGAAATCGGAGCACAATTAAAGGTGGCGTAAAGCGAAAAGCTAAGTGATCGAGAAGCTGTCGTCGGAGACATGAATCGCAAGAGAAAGACTTTCGACTTTTTTTCTCCGATTTGGCTTTCTAATTTTTCCCCGGAAAAGCAATAGTTCGCTTTCACTCCCCAACCATCAAACTTATTTCAAAATAGCCCCTTTAGTTTTGGTAAATTTCCGAATTTTCTGTTCTTTTTTAAGGAGATTTGCGCTAAGGGATTGTATTTCCACTTTTCTTCTTATAAAAACAAAAGAAAACATTTGCCCAAAAGAAAACAAGATAATTTAATATTTCGAAGGTTTACATGCATTGATAATCTAATATTTCGAAGGTTTTCTTAATTAGTTTCTCATAAAATGATAATCTCTCTATAGTGACATATGTTATGCTTAAATTTTGAAATTACCAAAGAGTTGTGATCTAGCTAAGGAAATTGGTCAAGAAATATGTCTATGCTACCGTACCATTTATACAACATTAACAATCGAAGATTTGTTCGGTTTTTAGATTGTCCAAGTCTAGTGAAGACGTCATCATTCTATGCATTTTCTTTCTAAATCTTACAAGAGTAGAAGCTATATGGCTTGGTTTGAGGAATAAAGTATTGTCTAGGCTTCTTGAGGTATGAAGTATTTGTCTATAGCTTCATAGATTTATTGTCGAGTACTAACTCAAGACCTCGTTAATTTAAATAAAGCACAAGCAAATTGTTTTCTTTGGACATGATCTCTTGCTTAATACATACATTCATACTCTCATATCAACTCCTCCGTATATACTATACTTTCGGGTGCATAATGATAATGTATTGTCACATATATTGATTACAAACTAACCCAGCCACCCAAAAAGTATAATATAGATCTACTGACAACATACAGTCGATTACCGATTAAGTACTTCTAATGTTAGAAAATGGTTTTACAAGTTGACGAGATACATAATGAGATGCTGTTGATAAATGAATGTAACTTTTTATATTAATCCTCAAATCTTAAAAAACACGATGAACATGTGAATGATCAAGAACAACCACACAATATCAGAATATAAAGTTCCATACAAAATATACTAACTATATTAGAATCTATTAAAACCCAACAGTCTCTTATTATAGAGTTGGACTAATATGAATCTATCACTGCAAGAACAAAATTCAATCAAACAAATAATCTGGATGTTTGTATAGTTATGAGGGATTATGGTAAAGAGGTAATTATATAATAATCACCCGTGAACCATTCCGTACGACAAAGCCATTAGTAAAATGGCTGCCTCCTTCTCATCTTGAGGGAAAACTTGCTGATAAGCTGAGCTTTTGCTCAAGATTATTGCTAGATCATCGAAATAAAACTTGTTTGAAGAGGAAGATGTCGAAGAAGAAAACGGCATCTCGGATTTGCTTTGAGTATTCAAATCCCCGGCTGTTTCAGCCTCCATCACCGCCTCCTCCTCCTCCAACGTCATCGCCATCTTACATTTCTTTACCTTTGGAACCAAAGGAGGAGAAATGTTATATACTTCATTTGATCTCTTGTTCTTGTTTTGCATATTCGTCTTTAGGAGCGGTGGTGACACATCAGAGGCTGCGGCTGCGGCTGCAGCGGCTCGCCTTGCCTTCCTTTGCCTTATTCCACACGCGTTACAAAGAGACTGTAACAAGAAATCAAAAACTATAATTAGGTAATTATCTTGTAATATGATTTTAAGGAGAAGTTACTTATTTAGGAAATTTTTTGAACCAATTAAGATACTACCTAAGATAGATTCTTGCCGGTTAGAGTTTGTTAGTGATAATATAGATATTTCTTGCGCTGTTAATTAGTCCTGTAAAAGGACACCAACTCTCCAATCGAGAGCTTCTAATGATGATATAAAATATGAAACTAATCTTTAGGTATGTGCGGAATTAATATATATATGGGTGTTTTGGTTGATTACCTTGGGACCTCTCGGGCCGCTTCTCCAAAGAGGAGTCTTGGTCGTGTTACAATCGGAGCAAATCCTAATCACGCAATTGTTACTTCCGTTGTAACCATTTTCGTTGACAATGGTATTGTACTGATTTGTGGAGATTTTCTTGTGATGAACATGGTGATCTCCTTCGAGATTGCTTAGGTTCAAAGATTGGTCGCTATCAACGTGTTGTTTGTTGTTGTCGATGGTGGTGATCATCGTCTTCCTCTTCATCAATCTCACCTTCGAAGAAACCCACTTGAGAGAATTAGTTTCGGTCTCGCCTTTTGTCGGATATTGAGGATTTATATCGATTTGCTCTCGATGATCATCTTTCTTCCTTATCGTCAATTTTAGTCGTGTCTCCTTTTTTGGCACCACTTGATCGCTTGATGATGATCCACCGTTAGATACAAACTTCTTGCCCTGAAATTTATATAAATCATAATAAAAGAATTTGATTAATTAAATTTTTCATATGTGAATATGAACTATACAATTTCTCTGGGGTCATCATCAAGAATATTTGGTATATATGAGATTCACTTAAAATTTTATACCTCGAGGGATTGGGAGAGATGGGGATCAAGAAAACCATGAAAAGTGTTGTTGTTGTACCCAACCTGTACTTGATCTTGGTGAGAGTTGGACAAGAAAGGGAAGTAGGAAAGAGATGGTGAAGTCAAAGAAGATGATGAAGAAGAGGGATTAAAAAGAGATTGATGATGATTATGATGAAGAGAGGATCCAAGAGGGGAGAGAAAAGGTTGATGGTTATAATCTTCGTTGAGGTCGATAGTGTAATGAAAACTCGAACCCATTATCGATAGAGATCAGTGAAACACAAAAAGAATGAAGAGGAGAGATTGGGAGAGATCAGGGACAAGCAAAGAAGGATCCAAGCTATACTGTGTTTGACCCTTTTTAAAGGCAAGAGACCACGTACGAGCCAAAAACAAATTCTAAGAAATTGTATGTATATATCAACTTACACTAGTAGAATTTAGAAGAATTGAGAAGATATGTATATAACTGTTATTCATAATAGGTTTAAATTTTTGTATTATGTTATAAGAATTTAGTATGCATATAAAGGAAATAAGTTATTTAACAAAGAGAAAAAAAATCTGAGCATTTCTACTTTTCATCAGTGTTGGCTAACATGTTACTTTAAATCTGACCAAAATATTATAGCAACCATATTAAATTAAATATAAAAGTAATTATCGTGGCAGTGGCACATACAATTAAAACCAAGTTTTAATTCAAACCGGCATAGTGCATTGTTATTGATTAAGAAACAAAAATGAACCAAAACGGAAAAAAAAAACAGTAGACAATAAGCATTTGTCAATGACTAATATATTTACAACTGTATAAGGTAAATCTTCAGCACGAAAGTTGTATCACTAATAACAGTTTGATGAAAAATTGTAAATATCATATGTTTTATTCTTTTTTACCTTTTTAACATGCATGTTTTAACTTCTTAATGCTACGTACTTTGAATTCAAGATCTCTAATCAACGTAACGACACATCGATCCTTCCAATATTGCGATTGGTAAATAATTTTACTAATGGTTAATGTGATTTAAATTCTGTAGAAGAATGTTTGATAATAATAGTCTGAAAAAAAAAGGGGAGCTTCAAAAGAGTTTCAATGAGGTTGATATTGTCATTTCTACTAAAATTTTTGGTGTGTAAGTGGAAGTAACTATTACATATATCAGTCATGTATATATATATATATATAGCCCGTTTTTACATTAAGATACCACACACAAATTACAGTATATTTCAGTATCTGTAACACGTGATCTTTCCACGGGATGTAATTCATCAATAATTACATTCAGAGAGCGAGAGAGAGAGAGCGAGAGAGAGAATTGCAAAGGAAGAACACATCCCCACCTTAGTATTGCCAAAATTATTCAATTCCTCCTGATCAAGTTTACAGGTCAGTCAGGACCCTCCACATAATTGAAAAATATAATAGTTATTTATATATTTTTAATTTCATGAGTCGAGCTACTACATGTTCAAAGTAACTGTACAATTACCAATCTGCTTATGAAAATTCCAAATCTCATAATCGAAGCTTGCATAATGAGCTTCAAGGTTCTTGTAAATTCTCTGAAGATGATGGAGATTTGATCCAAATTAAAGGAGAATAACGTCCAAAGATTGAGGGTTTATTGTGATCATTTTAATTTCGTTGAATTTTTTTATTAAATATTTATCGTCATAGAATGTAAAATATGATCGTTTCAAAATTTAAAAGTAGGGACAGAGATCTAAAAATCAAAACCCGGATCACAAACAAACAAAAGAAAATATAAAAGCGAGGATCTTTCACCTTTCAAAGTTCTTTATCTACAACTTGCAGTAAGCACATAAATCCAATTGTAGCAGCTATTACGTAGCCCCATATCACATGCATGTCCATTTTTATTGCCTTATCAGTATATTGTTTATATTTTTTTCTGTTAAAGGGTTTGCTCAGTATATTGTTTATAACTTTTCCAGGTTCCAAAAGTTATTAATTAACAACAATGCATACCAATTCTGGCCCATTAATCATATATGGTTACAGAAATATTTTCATACCTAAGTACGTATAATATAATTGGATAATCTTTAACAAAAGAAAGAAGCAGCAGATATGTGTTTTACTTAATAAGAAAAAATTTCTTCAAGAAAGAACTACGTAGTGAGTTCTATGTACAGCAGAATATTAGGTTGAGTAATTGTATTATAATTGCATTTTTAATGTATATGAATGGTGACGCCTTGCATATAATAATTCAATATTTTCATCGTACATCAAAATGTCCTTTATATATCACTATTATACTTCAACGGTTATTTTACTAGCTACTCCTATGTTTCACTATTTAAAACATCATGAATTTCTTAAACAACATATTGTCTCATTTGAACAACGGTCAACGGTCCAATTTCGTGCGGTCAAAAGAACATTATATATGGATCAGACTTCTAACTACTAAAAAAATTATCTAAACTTTAAGTGGTTTTTCTACTGTTATATTTTATAGTTTTATCACTAGGATTAAGATCAATTACTGATGTGTGATAGTGAGAGTGATTTTATATTTCTTTGAAATAATTGTAACTCTATTTATAAACTTACATATTTAAAAGGTTATTAAAAACGTATGTATATGTTTAAATACCATACTATATGGTTCAGCCATTCATTTGTAGTGCATATCAATAATTAGGCTATGAGGATCCAAGGGATCATGCTAATTGATTAGACTGTCTTTCCTTTCAATCTTTCAAACGTTCATAATTAAAAGAATAAAAATTCTCAAACGAGTAAAAAAAACCAACCTATTGTAAGATCAAGTATGTCTGTTATTTGGACCAAGTAAACGATGAGTAATGTAACCATGCATATCCAATCAGAAGAAGAAAAAAACCTTAATAATCAATTTAACTCCCAGTCTAGTTGCACCTATTGAAACACACCTAAGGGCAATAGGGAAACTTATACATAAAGACTAGAATCTGAATCACACAATAAATGAAGTAAAAATCAGATGGATATGTATTTAGGAAAAAAACAGAAGTGGCATGAGAAAAAATAAACGATAGAGAGATGGGATACGTATGCAGCATAGGGATCACAAAATCCATCAAGTGACACTTTGAGGGTGACAAGACACAAATCTAGACATACATATATATGAGACTGTATGTATATGTATATATATGTGAATGTCAGTACAATTGGGTTATGTCCAACATTTTGGTACTTTTCACGACTTGTCTCTTTTTTTGGTTTCTTCTATATTAAAGATTTCCCAAAAGGGACCATTATACCGCTCTGATCTTCACCACCGTATCATCTGTCTTGTGACGGTTCTCTTTCGCTTCGATATTATCATCTAATCTATACCTCATTTTCACCTATATTTTTTTCATTAATTAATTGGATTTTCTAAGATTTTCTTAGCTAGAGCCCAGACTAATCTTCAAAGCATAAGACAAATGTGAATTATGTTGTTTTCAAGTGTATAAGGGATCTGAGTTCGAATTCTGCATGAAGAGGGAACTTTGTCTTTCGGAGCAGTTCTTTAGTAATAATATAGTCCATAAATTATGGTAAGAGAAAATACGTTTTTCAACAGATACCCAAATGTATTATACCATAAGAAAAATACAGAACAGTGACAAAAAAAAATATAGAGAAAATATGTCAGATGGCAATGTTACAACTTACAAGGGGGGAAATTTGAACTGGATGAATATTTTTGAAAAAATTATGACGTTTCTGCGTGGTTAAGCAAAAATGCTACTGGACATGGGCAATCTAAAAGCGTGAGTTGATACCAGCGGGCCTTACAAGAAAACATGAGCCCATTGGGACTTCAAATTCCAATTTACGTTTAAGAAATCAAGTGAAGAAAAAAGGACAAAAGAATGCAAAAATAAAATAAAAAATGTTGTTACATTCGGAAAACAAATTTAGAATTTTATCTTTTCATCTTCCAGCAGACTCTCAACTTATTGTGATTAGAGAAAATTTAGTATATATTAGTTGTTTGAATGCTTAAATATGTTATCTGTGTTATTATATCATTGATCTCATGCATGGTTAGTTATATCTCTCAGTTTCTATTTAATTCAGATTTTTGTTTTCTTTGAAACACATGTAAATGTTGGTACTATTAAAGTATAAACAAAGAATACACGGTATATTTTACTTGTCAATGTTTGTCATAATGGTTAGTTGGTGAACGTTGGGGGGTTTGTTTGGATTAGGGTTCGGTTAGTAGGATTCGGTTAATTAGAGCCACGTGGCAGTTTCTGGATGGTTAGTCTGCCGTGGAAGGTAAAGCTTTGTAGTCAACGAAGTTACGTCATGGCCCATGGGATGCGGCTACTTGACTTTTCTCAACGAACCACGATGTCAACTAAACCTCATTGCATAACTTCAATTATTGAAACCTTAATTAATGTATGTATCCGCATAAACTACAGAGAGCCTTTTTTTTTTGAATTTGTTGCTAACTTTACAATATGGTTTGTTCACCCGATTCATGACCAAATTTAAACGAGATCAAAGTATTAGTTTGTAAATTTATGGCCAAGTTTAAACTTTGTTGGGCATAAAGGTTGTCATTTGGTGCATGCTCGGTATTTATGTTTGGTGTATGCGTCGAGTTAAGCTACATTAGCCATGTTAATCGTATAAATGGGGGAAAAAAATAACATAAAAGTTAATTAATATAAAAATTGGGGAAATAGATTGTAAAGAAATGGAAAAATTGTAAACTACTCAACTGGAAACTGACAAGCTAATAAGCTAAGGGGGTTCAACTTCAAAGTCACCCGCCCAAAGCAAGAAGATTGGGTCCCGTTAATATTAGAATAAGAATTAAGAAAACATATGCACTGTGACGTCAAAATATATAATAAGACAAATGCATTCAATAATAATCCACATTAATATTGATGTACCAACATATATTCAGCGTGCATAATCTACTTGGGTTAGAGTATAACTTTTCCATTTTGGTTAAATGTTTTAAATTTTGAAAAATTATTTAGGTAGTTAATCTAATGAAATTTGAGAAATAACTGAAACATTAGAAAAGTTTAGATTAGTGCAAAGTTTTCAGTTTCACTTGGTTTGTTAATTTGGAAAATATAATCGGGTATCTAATGAATTTTTAACAAAAGTTGGATAAGAATGGAAAGTAAAACGATAATGTAATGTCAAAATATATTTTTACCCTTTATAAAGATTCACATTTTTTTTCTTCTATTAAAGGCATGTGTGAAAACCTTAAGAAAACTTTTTAACAAAAAACAAAGCAGGTGTGAAAACCTTAATATATAAATAGCTTCAAGAACCTCATTAGTTCCATACCCACGAATACCCAATACCCATCATAAAAAAACTCGGTGGAATCTTCTTTACCAGTTTCTCACAACAAAAACATCCAAAGGTTTGATCTGGCAAATCAGTGGAGATGGGGTTGAGTTTTAGCGATAAAGTATGGATATTTCTGGGGGTTCTCTGTTGTTCATCGTTGATTTGTTCAGTTAAAGCAGTGGTCACATACGATCATAAAGCTGTGATCATCAATGGTCAGAGAAGGATCCTTCTATCTGGCTCCATTCACTACCCAAGAAGCACACCTGAGGTATTATTCAAAAAAAATTAATTAGATAGAAAACAATCTCTTATTAATATACGTTGTTATGAAGAATGTAAATGTTATTTTTCAGTTCTTTTTTCATGGATTTTCTTCTGTGTTCTGATTGAATCGTGCACATGGGTTTTTCTGGGGTTTGCTTATAGTTTACACTATTTCATTACAATTTTTTTACTATTATAAGAAAACTCAAAGATAAAAATCTTTTGAATGCTCTGTTCTACGCAGATGTGGCCTGATCTTATACAGAAGGCCAAAGAAGGTGGCTTGGATGTAATACAGACTTATGTTTTCTGGAATGGGCATGAACCTTCTCCTGGACAAGTAATTTTAATAAAATCAAAACAAATATGTTTTCAACCCTATGGAAAATCAAAACACATAAACCAAAACTTCAACCCTTTCTATGTTTTCTTTTGGTTTAGTATTATTTTGAGGACAGATATGATCTGGTTAAGTTCATCAAGCTGGTACAACAAGCCGGTCTCTACGTTCATCTCAGAATCGGTCCTTACGTTTGCGCTGAATGGAACTTTGGGTAAAATTATATGGTTCAGTATAAATAAAGTTGCGAATTTGTTTCTCTTTATCAAATTTCTGATTTAAATATGCTACTGGATTTTCAGAGGGTTTCCTGTTTGGCTCAAATATGTTCCCGGTATGGCATTTAGGACCGATAATGAACCTTTCAAGGTCTAAAAGCTCCTCGTTTTCCTCTTTTATGTTATGAAGTTTTCATTTTTGGGGGGTATTTTGTTAACTAAAGAAATTGATGTGATAATGAAAAGGCTGCAATGCAAAAATTCACTGAGAAGATTGTGGGGATGATGAAAGAAGAAAAATTGTTTGAGACTCAAGGAGGACCCATCATTCTGTCACAGGTTTGTATGTTTTCTTATAGTTTAGTGATTTTTTTCAATGTTAAAATTGGGATTTTTGTGGTGTATATATGTGAATAAAAAAAATATGAAAAATGGGCACAGATAGAGAATGAGTATGGACCAATAGAGTGGGAGATAGGAGCACCAGGGAAGGCATACACAAAATGGACAGCTCAAATGGCAGAAGGACTCTCCACAGGTGTCCCATGGATTATGTGCAAGCAAGATGATGCTCCTGACTCCATTGTATGTTCTTCTTCTTTCTTTTTCTTTTTTTTTCTCTTTTAATTATTACATAATTGCTTTTCCTTTTAGCTGGTTATATATTCTTTAAGCTAAAGAATAAATTTATCTTAGCATCTGTTCTTTTTCGTTTTTGTTATTGTGTTCTCTTAAATCTTTTCTTTCAATAATGTAAATACCTAATTATTCTTGTATATTATTTCAGCAAAAGAAAAAGTTTTGTATTTTGAATTTTTAAAAATATTTTCTTGTCTTGTCTTGTTTTTCCTCTCAATAATACATATTCCTAATGATTATTATATGTGTTTTCTTGTAAGTAAAAGAAGATGTTTGTTTATTCTTGTTTCAAATTATATACTCTCTTTTTGCGTTTGTGTTCTATAATCATCATCTTTCATCATTTATTTACATGGTAGGTTGCATTATTTTGTTTTTGACGTCTCTGTGTCCTCTTTTCATGTATATAATTGTCTTTATTCTTTTTCTTGTTAGTAGATATTGCCGTTAGGTTATGTAGCGTGGGAAATAACGTTTTCCAGTTAATATGATTTCCATTTCCTCAGACTTTTCCGTTTAAATTACATGAGCTACCAACTAAATAGAGAAATGTGATCCATGTTTCTTCCATATTTTGCCATTCTTTATAACAAAAGTATTTAATATGAGAGAATGACAGCAAAAAATGATTGTCGAATTTATTCACCGCTAATTCGTTTTGTTTTTACTTGTTCAATAGATAAACACATGCAATGGGTTTTACTGTGAGAATTTCAAACCGAACTCGGACAATAAGCCGAAGATGTGGACAGAGAACTGGACTGGTTGGTAAGTCGCACAACAAGACTGTCCTTATTATTTAATTTTTTAAATATCTAAGTCGAATATCAAATCTTTGTTACATGATTTATTCAGAAAAGTAACTTTCTCTGTGTGATTAATAACTTACCAGGTTCACAGAGTTTGGAGGTGCAGTACCATATAGACCAGCCGAAGACATTGCCTTCTCCGTGGCTCGCTTCATACAGAACGGTGGCTCCTTCATCAATTACTATATGGTAACTTCATATTATAACTGAAACAATCTACATAATAAAGACATAGATAGAGTGAGTGAAGAAATGTTGTTTAAACAGTACCATGGAGGAACAAACTTCGACAGAACAGCCGGTAAATTCATCGCCACCAGCTATGACTACGACGCTCCTCTTGATGAATACGGTAATTTCACCCTCATCACCTGGAAAAACATAACGGTAACAAGTAACAAACATCGTCTAACGCTTTTTGGGTTGTGTGTTCAAAAGGGTTACCGAGAGAACCTAAGTATAGTCACTTGAAGAGGTTGCATAAGGTCATCAAGCTCTGTGAGCCAGCATTGGTCTCTGTTGATCCTACAGTCACATCGCTCGGCGATAAACAAGAAGTAATGGATGAAAATGCAATACAAAGCAATATACATGAGAAGAGAAGAGAAACCTTCAAAGATTATTTACCTTTTTGTTCGCTTGTTGTTGTTTTTCAGGCTCATGTGTTCAAGTCCAAGTCATCTTGCGCTGCTTTTCTCTCAAACTACAACGCTAGTTCAGCTGCAAGAGTCTTGTTTGGCGGATCAACATATGATCTGCCTCCTTGGTCTGTCAGTATTCTACCCAACTGCAAAACAGAGTATTACAACACTGCAAAGGTAAATCAACGTTCAAAGCTTGTCGAACACGTTACCTTGTTGTTCCGCAAGGAGTCGTGGTATCACTGAGATTGACCTCTGTGTGTTGCAAGGTACAGGTCCTTTCACCAAGCATACACATGAAGATGGTTCCCACAAACACACAATTCTCTTGGGGATCATACAACGAAGAGATTCCTTCTCCAAGTGACAATAGTACGTTTGCACAAGATGGGCTTGTGGAACAGATCAGCATCACCAGAGACAAGACGGACTATTTCTGGTATCTGACAGAGTGAGTAATACTTGAAAACTCTTGACTCGCTGAAATCTCATTATCTACCATACTAAATCTACGGGAGAACTGACGATTGGTTCTGTTTGTGGATATAATCAGCATTACGATCGGTGCTGATGAGAAGTTCTTGACGACTGGTGAAGACCCTCTTCTTACTGTTGCGTCAGCTGGGCATGCTCTTCATGTATTCGTTAATGGTCAGCTTGCAGGTAAAGTTAAGATAGGCCAAAACTCATCCTCATGGTAGCTTGTCTTTGTCTTCTTTAAAAAAAAAAAACTCTTTGTTTCAGGAGCTACTTACGGATCATTGGAGAACCCAAAGCTAACATTTAGTCAGAAGATCAAATTACATGTAGGAGTAAACAAACTTGCTCTGTTTAGTATTGCAGCAGGTCTCCCGGTTAGTTCTCTTGATGAACTATCTACTTCCTCTCTGAGCTTTTGTCCCATAAAAACGACTACGTTCTGAGCTTTGTGGTCCTTTCTTGCTAACAGAACGTTGGTGTGCATTACGAGACATGGAATACTGGGGTTCTTGGCCCAATCACACTGAAGGGAGTCAACTCCGGAACATGGGACATGTCTAAATGGAAATGGTCCTACAAGGTCCTCCTGAAGTTCAATAGATTCTGAATCTCATCAATCATCACAACAATGAAATAAACATGTGCTTTTTTCTGTTTGTGATTCAAGCAGATTGGTACTAAAGGTGAGGATCTGAGCCTTCATACCTTAACGGGGAGTTCCTCCGTGGAATGGAAAGAAGGAGCATCCGTGGCCAAGAAGCAACCTTTGACCTGGTACAAGGTAAGAGAAACAGAATGGATTAATGAACCATGCGTCGTATCAACAAAGTTAGAGATCAACATAACATAAAACTGAAAACCACGGGTCCGGATTCTTACAATCTACAATTTGCAGTCTACTTTTGACACACCAGCAGGCAATGAACCATTGGCTTTGGACATGAACACAATGGGGAAAGGCCAAGTTTGGATAAATGGCAAGAACATCGGACGACACTGGCCAGCATATAAAGCTCGTGGGAGCTGTGAACGCTGCAGCTACGCTGGAACTTACACGGAGAAGAAATGTTTGAGTAACTGTGGAGAAGCTTCTCAAAGATGGTGAGTGAGGAAAACTGCTTAACCTTCTTCTTCTTCTTCCTTAGACTAAATCTGATACAAAGGGTTGATTTTTTTGGGGTTTTCAGGTACCATGTGCCTCGTTCGTGGGTGAAGCCGTCTGGGAACCTAATAATTGTGCTTGAGGAGTTGGGTGGTGACCCCAATGGGATCTCTCTTGTAAAAAGAACAACAAAGAAAACAGCTTCTGACTCCATATTTTCAGGATGAAAGCTGTTTTGTATTGTGTCTCTGCTTTGGAAAAACAAAGACAGAGTTTTGTTCAAGTAAATTGCAGGAGTACAGATTGTATGTACATATATATACTGGAAATTATATTGGCTCATTTATCATATATATACTGAAAATCCATCCCTATCCTATGATAGCAAGTGTATAAAGAACTTATGAACTCCAATTTTCATCTTCTTTTATATCTTCATCTAACTCTTGCAAATGCTTAAAACAGATAAGATCAATTTTCATTTTCCCTCTAATTTAATCAATCCTTAGATATTTCTATCAATTCTGGAGAGTAAATGATTTTATATCGAGTTCAAGAAACGGAATATTACAGATGATTGAAGATCATAAGAAGAAACAAACGGTCCGCGATTCAATCATCAAATCGAAAAACTTTAAGAAATTTTACAAAATTACCAAGAAAAAAAAAGAGTAATAATGACGGACCTGAGGTACCGAAGCAGATAGGAAAAAATCTTCAGGTCCAAAAATTAACTCCATAATCATCGCCGATGTCCAGAGCAAGAGAACGGTTAAGCTCCGAGATGGCAAGTTTCAGAGACGAAGAAGACGCTTCTCGACTGATATACGTCGACTATCGAAATCGATTTCATTCGGAAACGTTCTTGGGCCTTTCATAACAAAGCCCATATAAAGGGACACTGAGTCTAATTGCATATAGAGCCTTTAATAACAAAGCCCATATATAGGGACACCGGGTCTAATTGCATATAGGGCCGCACCTAGCTGAATTGCATTAAGTGTGGTTAAGTGGAAACTCAATAATATCATCGAAGTTTTTAGTAGACAAATTCTCTCACCTACCTAAAAAGTATATCGAAGGCAACCAATCGTGATGAAAATCTCTTAAAATAGTTAATAATGTGTTCCATTTATATATATGTTTACCAAGGCGTAACAAAATAAAGATGCTAAGCAAGAAAACACGAGAAGAGACATAAAATAAGAAGGCTTATATTATGTAACGTAATATTTGGCTTCAACACTGTTGTGAGTGATTTTAATAAAAAATCATTATCAGATTTGGATGAGATGAATGCGAGGACGACTGCAGTTTTTGAAACACCTAATTGTGGTTGAATTATTCAAAAATAAACTCGATAGTTCACGTGTAACATTTCTTCGATGATCGATCACTTTCAAAAATATCAGTAGTACTTGTCTCTCTTTGGGTGCATGTTCGTCTCAGTTACTTTGTCATTGTAATTGTATCTCTCTTCATTTCAAACTTAGCTACTATACGACTCAAACGAGTTGTGGTATATATTGACGTATTGTCTAATCTTTCGAGCAGCTGGACAAGTAATGCCTCAAGTTGCTCGTTTGTGTTGTTTGCCATGTCGTGGTCCCTTTCTTTATTACCAAACTTGATTTTCAGTAGATTCTCTCATCCACTTGGCTACACCGTTGTGCAGAAAGACAATGAAACAGTCTTTCCTCTTTAAAGTCCAAAATAAAAAGAAAACAGTCTTTCCTCTTCTTTTCTTTGTAACACATGAGTTTTCTGTTTCTTAGCCTCTCTTTTTTTTTGTTTGTCTGTTACTCTTTTGGTGTCTTTTTCTTTTTTTCTTTTCATTTCCCAACTTTTTTTTACAAAATATCAAAGCAATGGAAAGAAAATAATTCATTACAAAGTGAACGTACTGAAGTTAAAATATCCATCACTCAGCCAAAGTTTCTAATTCCAGAAATTGATACACGTTTCCTAAAAAAAGTTAGCTCGAGTCAAAAACATGATTATGAGTAATGCAATAACAAAATGACTGTTTTGTCTTCTTTTTCTTTTACACGTTTAGACAATATCATGTTTTACTATTATACGACGTAGTGATTTTTGCTCTAAAGTGTCGTCATTGATCTAATTGACTTTACAACATATATTATAGATTACAGTGCCACAATTAGCAATGATAATCTACGGCATTGTGTTGTGATGTGTTAAAGATGCAACAACAAACATTGTAATATAACAAAGTTTCTTTTGTTTTTTTTATGCGATGGGAATGCGACCAAGTGAAGACGAAATGAAAGAAGAGAGAATATTTGTATCGCAGAATCCATGCGTGGCTCATGTGAACGTATTAAGACCATCTCCATTGGTTAAACCCCTAATGGGTTTTTAACTAATTTTTTAATATAAATTTTATATTATTTTATTTTAAGAACCTTTGTAACAAATTTTAGTTTTTTTATCCTCCATTAGCAGAACTCTTAATAGGGTCTTTTAAGAATAAACAATTATATTTTAAAAATATAAAAGAAGACAATATAGAAAGTGATCAGTTCGTGTCTGACACACGACCAATCACGGACTGACACACATGGATTTTTAAACAATTCTTAAATCTCTAAGTTAACAATCGACTCTTATCAATTTAACACATTAATGATTTTTTTATTAATTTTTTAACTTAAAAAACTCTTTAAAAAACCCTTAACAACTGCCGATGGGGGTGCTAATAACTTTTGTCAAACTAGATTCTATCAATAACTACTACTACTATTAATGTTTAAAATTTGCTAGGTGATAATTGGATCAAGGCCATCTAGCACCTATGTTAGCTACTTATGTGTCGATATACTTTTTTCTTTCTTTTTTTTTTGCCAAAATTTTGACCGCTTTGATAAAATTCAGAGGGCTTGGAGCTTAGTTTAGTCGCCGAATTTTCCAAAATCTTAGAACTTTGGTGGTTGCATATAGAAAGCTCATTGGAGTCTAAAGGTGGTACCACCAGTTAAAGAGTACAGTATATATATATATATATATGTTCGCAACTTTTTTACTAGGACATCATCTACTACAAATCCACCAGAGAAAATAAAGGCGAATCAATTACTTTTTATATTTTTAAATATATCAAACTGAATATAAAATTAATAGCTACTATTGAGTATTGACAACCAACAAAACATTTGTCTTGTTATCTGATATGTCATCGTAGAGAGAGTTACAAATAATGATAAATTGATTATAACAAGTTAACAACTATTTTAAATGGATGATAGATTTATCTATAACAGATGTATTTAACAATTTCAAATGGATGATCTTTACTGCAATGAAACGAAACAAACCTGCATGAGGACTGATGACATATAAACAACACGATTCATGGAAACATACTATTAAATAAATACAGTTGCATTTTTGAAGTTTAGCCAAATTTATATTAAAAAATATGTTCTGTTATATTTCTGGCCTGTGTGTTAAGAAAAAAGAAACCAATATAAAAAGACAAATTAGAGAAGACCCATACCAAAAAAAGTCAATGAAAAAATGGAAAAAATGAACTTAACGCAGGGGCTCATTAATGATTAAACCAAAACAAAAATATCTAATATAAATATTATCCATTTGTTCATCCTTCACTCTGCGACACACAACTATGGAGCTCGTCACAACTCTGGCCAGCTGGTTTACGCCGACGACTCTCTTCCTCCTCCTCAATTTCACCATCGGCACCATTTTCTTCACCAACCGGTTCGGTTCCGGTTCCAAGAAACACCAGCCGCATCAAGATGGCTTCGGGTCGGGTCATGCCCATGCTTCGGCGCCGTTGGCCAGAGCTCCCTCGCTCATAGACAGAGTCAAGTCCATCAACTTCAGTCTCTACAATTCTCCTTCCCCAGAATCCGAGATCCACTTCTACGAGTCGGATTCTCGCCCGAATCCGCCACCTTCTCTTCTGGATCGGGTCAAATCCATCAACATGCCTTACTTCAGGTTCCCGCAGCACAATTCCGAAGGCGACTACGCTGCTTACGCGCTGATGACCCGACCCGAAGAGACGAACCGGGTCGACCCGATCGACAAGATCCCGGAAGATGACGTACCGGCCCAACCTAGAGTTGGAGCTCCATCTCTCTTGCAGCGGGTAAAATCCATCAAACTCCCGTCCTTGTACAGAACCGAGCCAGATCCGGTTTCCGAAGAGCAGAAGCCGGCGAGGACGAAGTCGGAATCGAGTAAACCGGCGATGAAGAATAAGAAGAAGAAAGCGGTGAAGAAGATGACGAAATCGGCTAGTGAGAAAGCCGGCGTCGGATACCTCGGCGGTGAGGGGGAGACGGTTGCAGCCGTGGAAAAGAGGCGGCCGGAGACGACGAGAATAGAGGGAACGACGTCGATCGGCGAGGAAGAAGAAGGTGTCGACGATAAAGCCTCCGATTTCATCAACAAGTTTAAGCAGCAGCTTAAGCTACAGAGGCTAGATTCGTTTCTACGGTACAGGGAGATGCTCAAGAACGACTAAGGGAACAATTACGCTTTTAGCCTTCATCGGAATCGAGTTTTTCGAATTTTCCCATCGCGAGTTCGTGGTTAAAAATTGGAAATACCCATTAATCCGAAGGGCTTTTAGGTCATTTCGACATATATTTCTTGTTTGTAGATTTTTGGTGATGACTGATTACGACAAACTTGTTGTGTGTCGTCAGTCCTGTGCGTAATTTCTGGATCTGGACGTCTGTGTTCTACTGCACTTTTCGACTTTTTACTTTTCAAGTCCATGGTATAAAGTAGTTTATGCTATTTTTACGTGGGAAAGTAATTTAATATCAATTTTTCTTTAAATTAAATTAAACATTTATCGATACGACGATGCCTAACCTAATTTTCTTAAAATGTTCTATAACATACTAAGTTAACATCCTTATCAATTTATCATCTATGTTGGTTGCTTCATAATTTTCTTACGGTGCGGATGGTATATATAAAGTAGTTTATGCTGTTTTTTTACGTGGAAAAGTAATTTAATCCATCGATACCTAACCTAATTCATTTTCTTAAAATACTAAATTTTCTTATTAAGATCTATATAAATGTCAAAGGGATTTATAGGTCTATCTGTTATTTTCTTTCGTCACTTACTCATTATCATCTTGGTTGCTTCATAATTTTCTTACGGTGCGTAGTTGTTATCAGTTTTACTTTTTATTGAACCACTAATGACAAGGACGGTTCTTAATCTCTGACACGTATTTCTATAACTAAACATTTATGATGCTATTAATCATCCGACAAGGATAATTACAAAGGAACAAGTTGATCAAATCTTAAGCAAATGAAAAAAAAAAAAAAGGTTGATCAAATCTTCTGTTATATAGTGATAAAAGAAAACAAAAATGTCTTCAGTTATATCATGAGGTTTTGTTTAAAGTAAGATAAGGGACATTTTTCACGGGTCAAAGTCGAAGATATTATTCCTTCAGATATTTTTCAATTGTGTATGGGCATATATGAAATATCTCGAACGAGAAAAAAGTGTGATGTGATTATAACTTTTTTATACAAGGCAATGATGAATACATTTCAGTTCACATGCCTCTTTGTTATCTAGCTCACTCTCCAGTTGATACATGTGCATCTAATCTACATATATACTTAAATTTCGAGTTTATAAGCCCGATGATGTATATATACCTTGTTATATGAATATGGACATATTTTATTCAGTACTTCTATTTGTGTACCGATTTTATAAACACACTGTGGTATACGAATGTTCTATTTTTCCGGTAAAGAGTATCTGGATGTTTTGTATGAACGTGCAAGATATATGTCATTCACGAAATATAATGATGTATCAGAATTTAATACTGGCTCATAGAGACCTGACCAGTCGATTTGGTTTTTATATATCGGTTTAGTTTGGTTTATTTTGGACTGATTTGATTATGTTTTCTCGCTTATACAGTTTTTTGGCCTCAGGCCCTCAAATGATTGGAACGGCCCTTTGCATGTAACATAAGTAAATACTATTTCACGTGAATTAGTTTGTACTCCATTATGTCCATGGCATCCTTACATCACCATATCTCTATTCTCTAGTCTCATTGGACAATGATAGAACCCACGAGCCAAGAGTAGGCCCAGACATATGGGGACCCACGAAACAATAGGACAACTGATCCGTTCTTACAAAGTCCGTATTGGAATTGAACTCATCATTTACGGTAGTGTGAAAGCTAGTGAAATCACAATAAAGATAACAATTTTTTTTGATTCCTGACAGAGACATCGTGAAATTTCCAACGGTAGGTGTATTTTGTTAGAATGATATGTAACCACAACAAACTCGTGGACTTTTTTTTACGATAAAAGGTATATTTGAATTGACCAAAAAACAAAAGAGAGTATGTTTGCCAAAACAATATAATATACACACTGGTTGAAAAATTACAACATTTGTTTGAAATACTCAAATACACCTGCAGCTAGTATACACAGGGTGTAAAGTGAAGGACAAAAAATTTATATGAAGACAGATATTTTATATACAACAAAACTGCCCAAAGAGTCTCAAAGGAGTGAGCAAAAATCTCGTCCCGTTTCAATTTATTTGAAACTTGTGACACAAACAAGACAAGTTCTATTTTAGTTGCGGGAGTGAAACGGGACATGGTGTTCCGTTCCCGTTTCCGCAAGATCTTTTCTCGAAATTCCTTTTGTCCACCTATAGGCGCCGATGAGAGGCTCGTTTGCCACTAGACGTTACTGACTTGGATGCTGAAGACTTTCCAAATTCCTCCTCATTGTCGTTACTGAAGGTCTTCATCACAGTCTGTTCTAGTTCCAGGTACCTTTGCTTCTTCTGTAGCCGTTTCTCAGGAGTGTCTTCTTCTACGCAAGCCAGATGATTCAAATCCTCGGTGTCCATAAAGTGGTCGAGCGAACATCGTGGGAAGTATCGTTTCCCAAATTTCGCTGATGATAGAGAAAAAAAAACAAACATCATTTAGCTTTTCTTTACCGGTAAGAAAAGAAACGAGACAAGTAAGAATCAGTCCATAGTATGGACTCCATACCGGTTTTAGTAAGCGCTCTTAGTCTACACAAATGCTCCTCTCGGATTACGAAAGGTGCTCTGTTTAGGTCCAACGATGTCCTCTTTGCACCAGTGTGATGATCAGGCTCGAGACTAGAAGCTGTAAACTCGCACGTTTGCTCAAGTTTGGCGATATCCATTACAACTTCTGCTTCCGCTGGAAACAGAAGTCGAGCCAATGCAACTGGAAAGTAGTCGCACAGTATAGTTAATATCACTAGAGCACACAACGGAATCAGATATATCGGAAGAAAACTAACATTACCTCTGTTTTCAAGATAGAGCAGCCTCATCCTCAGTTCATTAGGAGTCGCTGGAAGAGAAGGTGAATCTTCTCTAGGCAACCGACCTAGCTTGCGTGCATGCTCTAGCACCTCTATGCTTAAGCCACCTTTCAGAGAAGGCTTGCCTTGCTCCGTACCGGTATTATACTCAGCCGCTTTAGTGAGCCGTTTCGCGATCACTAGAGCGGTTCTACCATCAAACGTCGTCTCTGATGCGTCTGCGCCTTTCGTCAACAGATACACTATCAGCTTCGGCTCGTTCCTCATCGCAGCAACGTGTAGCGCAGTGTAACCCCTCGGGTTTCTATGGTCGAGGTCCAGGTCTATTAGGTCAGACGCGGTCTTCACGTCGCAGTGCGCGACGGCGAAATGAAGAGCGTAGGAGTCATCTAGATTCGTGTGTCCTTCTGTCAAAAGCATCTTGACAAGCTCCACATCGTCCGAGTCTAGGGCCTTGTATATGTTCATGACGTGTTTATCTATATCCGGTGGCTCTAGACCGAGCTCTCTGCGTATGTCGGTGATTTGTTTGACAGTGTGTTGTGGCAAGGACTTGTCAAGAGTAACGGTTTCAGCATCAGACTTGGCAATAATCTCTATGCATCTATCCAAAAGCTTCTTGTATGTTTTACCACAGATATCAGCAAGCTTGAATATCACCAAGATGTCTTCTACAACAACTTTGTCTACAATATCCAAGAATTGCCTCTGAAAATGCAAACAGAGATGAAACATTCCTATTTCGAATCAATATGAGATTTGAGTGTCTGTTTGTGTTTACCTCATAGAGAGTAACTAATTCCGGAATCTGGAAAACGTAAGCCAAGTAGAGAAGCTCCACCATGAAATCAACAGCCGGACGGCAAGCCACGTGGCAGCAATCATCGTCTACGCAATCAGAAGCTCCCTTTGGCGGTGGCCTCACTCTGCCGCTGTAGACGTACGCTAAAACACTCACAACGGAATCGAAACCGACTTCGTGATCCCTCGCGATATCCTTCAGCTCGAGCTTCACGGCGGAGGATTTTGTGTCCTTCACGGTGGTGGCTAACGCGTTCTTGAACACCGGGATTCTCGCCGAGAGAACGCAGCGGTGGAAGGATATCTCTTTACCGTCGGCGAGAACTAGCTTAGCGTCGCTGTAGAATGTTTCCGGCGAGTCGAAGACGGACTCGAGGCAGCTGGAGAGCAGCTGCAACGCCGAAACCTCCGGTCCGGTGAGAAACTCCGTGGCATAATCATCAATAGACGAATCGGCGAAGAAGCTGTTGCCGCTTGTTGTGTTGCTGATATCATACGAGCCGGAGAACCTAGCGGTGGTGGCCATCGACTAAATTCGAAGAAATTGACAAATCCGAGATCCGATGAAAACAAGAAACAGAGAGTATAAAGTGAAAGAGCTTCAATAAGCAATGATGAAATGACCACCGAATTGGTCATTATTAAACAGAAACAAAACAAAACGGTCTCTTTGGAGCATCTGGTAAATTTCCTGTTGGGGATGATTTAAGCAAAAAGACATTAAAATACTCTGGATGAAGCGGCTTCTCGTTCTTCATTGTGGGACCCTTTTTTTCATGTAACCGTAGTTCCCTACAGTGCAGTGAGTGATGAAGAACAAAAATAAAAACAAGCTGTGTGATGCGTGCGGACCACATTTATTTCGTTTTTTCTATTCAATCTGCTTTGTTTTTGTACTGACCAAGAAAAATGAGGTTTTTATTATGACAATGCAGGAATTTCGCGAATTGATTTTGACAGATTTAGACTTTGACTGAGTGGTAATAGTCAAATTATCCACTATTTATATGATAATAAAGGTCAACGTTGAAAACCAAAAAGACAGTAGAATGGTAAACCAAAAGATCAATAATAGTGGTTGATCAAATTGAAAACTAGTAGGGGATGATATGATTCATTAATTCATAAAATAAAAACCAAAGTCATTCAATACTCTTAAGTCTTGAGTGATTCAAAGAAAGTAAAAGATCAAAACTCCTACGAGCATCATCATCACTAAAGAGATGAATTTTCAGTATAAATATAAAAATAAAACCCCCAAACCTTTTTCTCAATCCTCATCCTAGATGAACAATGAATCTCCCAGAATATATATATTTTTTCACGCATGCCTTTTTGTTCAGTAGAGTGATTACTGTTGCTTGCATTCTGGTGGCCTCTCGCCTTGTTGACCGTCACCAACTATCTGAGATCTGCCTCCCTTCTGCAGATGCAAAAGAAAGATTAATATCACCACAATTATAGTCACTGATTCCAAATATTTGAATGATATGAATATAGTGATTCGTGAGAATGATTCTACGTGTGATCTAGTAAGCCTATCTATGGATTCAACTGCTTGTCTAGTGACTAATGTCTTAGTACTATGCCAATAACAATTTTAGTTACAGATATATGAGTTTGCATACCTTGTTTCCCGTTGGTGGCTGCATAAACAATCAAACCAATTTCAAAAGGATTAGTAAGCACTGACACGGCAGGAATAATTGAAAAAAAAGCATACTTGGAGTACTTCGTACCTTCTTTTTGGTCTTGCTCTCTTCTTCATCATCATCGTCATCTTCATCATCATTCTCGTCCTCTTCCTCATCCTCATCCTCATCTTCTTCCTCGTCGACATCATCATCGTCCTCATCATCACCTATTTCAAACCCCTCTTCATCCATAGCCTCACCAGTAAACCATGAGACAGCATGAGGGATAATCTTGTCCCGGATAGTAGATCTGCAGGAATCAAAAAGAACAATCAATACTTAGCGACTCATACAGTAGATCCATGGTCCAAAGCAAACCCACAAAACCAAACAGAACAAGTATTTTCAGAAAAAAAAGACGAACCCAATGTCATAATCTAGTTCCATCAGATTTTGAAGATCCTCAGCCTGCATCAAAGAACGGGAGACATTACTATATACGTTAACTATAAGATGACAAGTTTTTAGAAAAATCCATATCATACCTTCTCCTCGTCGATATCCTCATCTTCATCTGGGACTTGTGGAGGACTAAAGAAGTTGAAGAAGCTTTCACAATCTTCAGTTTTGGTGATTGGTTTGGCATTCTTTGAACCCTTCTTAGGCGTCTTCTTAAGAATCTTCTGAGTTAAACACTTTCCAGGATACCAATCAATTTCTGTCCTGAAGTAAGGGAAAGAATATAAGTGAATAAACAGCTCACTGCAGTCAGCTAAGCACATTATACTTAAATGTATACAAACATTTGCGGGAGAGCATAAGCAGTTACCCTATAGCCTTCTCAAGCAGTGGCTCATCTTCATCAATCATATGATAAGACTTTGTCAAGACAGTGTTTTTAAAATAGGGATTGGTGTCAAAGAAAAACTCAAGCTTGAATCCTTTAGGCTCTTCAACCTTGGACCACTTGATATCTTTAAGATATTTGAGAGCCCCTTCATCACGCTCTGTGACCTGACATGAAAGACATTAAGCTACAGTCATTTTCCGTTGTTAAAATTGGAGTGCATATAAAATGAACACCAAAACTGCATATACAATTACCTCCTCGGAAGTAACATCATTGTTTTTCAAGGCCGTTAGCCAGAAACTTGGAACTCCTTTCTCTGAGATAAACACATGTAAACAGGTTAAATTGTTTTTTATCTTTCCAAAATGATATTAAAAAAAAAAACATAAGAAAGAAGACATTGTGTTCCTGAAATTACCTTCTGCAGTTTTTTCCTCTCCTTGGTCCATCTTCGTATCCTCTGGAGCCAGTTCGACTTCAGTAGTTCCATTCACAATTTCATAACGCTGTGCATTACAAGATGCCAAGTAGAATTTATGAGATATATATACATAGTACACATAGATTCCCATCGCCTTTCATTGCTTTAGTTTAATGCTTTTGATTTAACACGATCTCACAGGAAAATCTGACTTTCTCACTAACAAATTACCTTGGTATACAAAGGCTGATACAACTTTTGATACTTGGCTTCAAGAACATCTCTCTCCTCACGGAACTTAGCCTCGAGTTCATCATGTTGGCCCTGCGTGGAAAGAAGTCATTGGTAATCTCAAAAGGCGGCAACACCTTGTACTTTAAAACTTGACATTCGTATAAGCAAGGGATGACACTCGTGAATCTACACAAACTCAATTGAATAGTAGCAAACATAGGTAAGAAGGAAATTCTCCCAACCTGAATATCTCTCAAGGCATCGACACGCTTTCTCACTTCAGGAGTCAGATTCTCGAGCACATCAGAACGCTGTCCAGCCATATTCTGAAGCTTGTTCTGTGTATCAACATACACAAAGACTCATAAACAATCTCCAAGGAAACCATAAACAATCATTTCTACAAAAACAAAACCAAGGAATCACACTGAAACCTACAACATCAAACCAAGGCACGCCTTACAGTGTCTAATCAACAAGACACAGAATCTAATAGAAACGCCGAGATAAGTAAACTCAAAAATCCTCCACATCCACGTTTTTTTTTCCAGAAGAAAACAACTCACCTTAAGAGCGGTCACAAGTCCAGCTCGATCCTCATCCTTAAGAGCTGAAAAACAAAAAGCAAATGAAAGAGCAACAGTTATTAACCACGAAGGAAGCTGTAACAACAGAGGGAATTAGGGTTTAAGAAGCGCAGAGAGAGAGAGAGAGAGAGAGAGAGAGAGAGAGAGGGCGCTCGGCGTGGAAATTTACCAGCAGTAAGATCGGCGAGGCTGAAATTGTCCTTGTCGTTGCTCATTTTCTGAGGATTTGGAGAAGAAAGGTTTGAGAGTGAGAGATAAGAGAAGACAGGAGGGTTTTTGGGAGGCGAAAGAGAAAACGTGGCTTCCCTTAAATCCTCTCCCTCCCTCTCACACCAAAATTATAAACCTAGCAATTAACTGCCATTTTAATTTCCCTAGGATTTTTTTCTATATAAAACTTTCATTTCCTAAGATTTTTGAATGCGTGCCGGTTTGATTTTGTTTTTAATTGTTTATCAATTCTAATATCTTGTTTGTTTAGTTTATTTCCATTTTTTTTAATTGAAATAAACAAGTACGCAAAATATGAATTTGTTTCTGAGCTAGACATTCAGGATGCGTGCCAGCTTTACAAAACGCAGCTAAACATTTCGCCGTTTATCTAATCAGATTTTCCATAAAGGAATATTCCAAAGTAATGCCCAAATGGCCAGTGACGTACTTGTCATAGGACACTAACCGGCCAAGCTATGGAAAACCTAAAGCTATTTTTGGCTTGCTATCTCGAAAAGGAAAGAGAGATAAGGTTGCTGAACCACTTACTCTTGTTCTCTTCCTCTGCGTCTTTTAGATTGGTAACAAAGCCTTTTGATAATTACTAAACAGAAAACCGAAACTTATCACGCCTTTCAAATGACCAACTGTTATTGCTATTGCAACAGAGGTTTTGAACTTTCCAAACCAAACAAGTGTATTACAAGAGAGATGAGAACGGTTAGAGAAGCAGCTCCATTGAGAGATCAAAGAACTAAGTAGCTGTTCAGGGAGAAACTTTTGAGATATTGGATGGTGCATCCTTTTGAGGATGATGCCAAAAGAAACACCTGACTTGATCCTGCACCAAATTCTGGATAAACAGCATAGTACATAGTTTTCTAGTAATGAAGAAGTGTTTCCCGGATTGTAATGTTGAATCACTAGTAACAGATTCAGAAAGAGACAGATCATGGGCTTGTGAGATTCAACATTACTAGCAAATATAGCTACTTGTCCTAAGAACTTTATATTCCGGTTTCTAGTGTTCACATTTCTCCATCTCTCTGCACCTATAAGCGTTGCAAAGGGTATACTACCTATCATTAACAAGCGAGCTACCCATTATGCATCAGATGAACACTAGACTTCAAGCAGTTAGCCCAGAGTGCCAGGCTGCTTCCGAACATACTCGTGCACTCGCTCTTCTCTGATCTCCACCCTCAGAGCTGAAGTCAAGAGAGGTTAAAAAATGCACTGAAGATCCTGCACCTATAAATAAGGAAGATACAAATAACATGAGATAACATGGCATTTCAGCCAAGAGTCAGGATTCTTTTCGAACTCAAGCTGTGGTGATACAAAGGGAAACTGACTCTGATTTGGTTCTCGATAGAAGATACCCAGTAGATGAACCATTTATCATTTCTCACACTTGGATTCTTGGTAAGTCTGTAACACCATCATGGTTTATTATTTATGTACATAAATCTATATCACAGATATTATATCGCTCATTCATAAGTTACATCATTTGTTTGAAACACACCTGCAGCTGGAATTCACAGGATGCAGAGTGAAGAACAAAACTATTTGACGCCAACAATAGACAGAGACACTCAGAAACATGAAAATTGTAATATATATATATGGTACAACAAATTGTATATACCCCAACAATAGTCTCACCGACGCCGGCGAGAGAGTTTACCATTAGACCTCTTTGTAGAAGCTGGTTTCGATGTGGAAGAAGACGAAGCTGAGAGAGACGACTTTCCTAATTCCTCCTTGTCCTTATTGAAGGCCTCTTGCAGAGTCTCCTGTATTTCCATGAACCTTTGCCTCTTTTGTAGTCGTTCCTCAGGAGTCTCTTCCTCTACGAAAGCCAGTATACTCAACTCCTCACAGTCCGCAATCTGATCGAGCACAGACGAACAGCGTGGGAGGTAGCGTTTCCCGAATTCCACTAGTGATACAAAAAATTAAAGAAACAAGGTCAGGCAGGGTTTATTTCAGTTATATATTACAAGTGACAAATCCATGTTTAAAGATCATTTAGTTTTCTTCTTTGTTGATAAGGACTGATGAAATGGGTGAGAATCATTACCGGTTCTAGAAAGCGCTCTTAGTCTACTCCGATGCTCTTCAAGGATTTTGAAAGGTGCCGTATATCCGTCCGGCGATGTCCTCTTTGCGCCAGTGGGACAGTCAGGCTCGAGGGTAGTCACTATAAACTCGCATGTTCCCTTCATTTGGGCGATATCCATCGCAAGTTGTGCTTCCATTGGAAAGAGACATCGAGCCATTTGAACTAAATAATAGATAGAAAGTATAGTTATGATTAGTTCACTCGACGTCTTAACAAAACACACAGAATCATAATCTTATGCTTTTGACCTTAAAGTAAGAAATGAAGGATTAAGAGTTAATAGATACCTCTGTTTTCAAGATCAATTAACGTTGTCTTCAGTTCATCAGCAGCCACTGCAAGAGAGGGAGAAACGTCACCAGGAAACGGGTCTCGTTTGTCTGGCTGCTCTAGTATCTCCACGCATAGTCGGCCTTTGGGAGAAGACTTCCCTTGCTCCGGAATATAACTATACTCGGCCGCCTTAGTGACTTGTTTTGCGATCAAGAGAGCGGTTCTACCGTCCGAAGATGTTTCTGATGCATTTGCCCCTTTAGTCAACAGAAACCCTATCAGGTGTGGCTCCTTCCTCATTGCAGCAACGTGAAGCACCGTGTAGCCCCTTGGATTCCTATGGTTGACATCCGCAAGCTCCAGCTCCAGGAGATCCGTTGCCGTTTTCACATCGCAATACGCAACAGCAAAATGGAGAGCACAAGCGTCGTCTAGGTTCGTGTGCCCCTCTTTCAAAAGCATATCGACAAGCGCAACATCATCTGACTCGAGTGCCTTGAGTATATTCGAGACATGTTTCTCTGGTTCAAGTGCCTCCAAGCCAAGCTCTTTACGGACATCAATTATTTGCTTGACAATGTCCTGCGGCAATGACTTGTTAAGACTAACTATGTCTACATTAGACTTGACAATGATCTCTCTGCATTTATCCAATAGCTTCTTGCATGCTTGACCACAGATGTTAGCAAGCTTGAGTATAACCAAAGCGTCCTCTATGATAACTTTGTCTACAACATCCAGTAAGTGCCTCTGAAATGCAATTATGCAAATAGACTGAGTTTAAAAGAAAGGGGGAAATTACACAATCTTACATAATAGCTAAATAGATTTCTGAAGTTGCAGATACAACCAACTATGTATAGAATAGTCTTGAGGAAAGCTATCTCTATCTGTAACTAGTAAGTTGTTGGTACTCGTCAAATAAAGCAAGTTTGAGGATCATGTAATAACCTGATAGAGCGTTACCAATTCTGGAATCTCGAAGACGAAAGCCAAATAGAGAACCTCCGCCATGAAATCCACCGCCGGACGACAGGCCACGTGGCAGCAATTATCGTCTGCGCATTCAGAAACTCCCTTCGGCGGCGGCCTCACTCTGCCGCAGTAAACGTAGGCCAAAACAGCCACCACCGAATCGAATCCGACTTCGTAATCAGTCGCAATTTTCTTCAGCTCGAGCTTTGCGACTGCGGATTTATGCTCCTTCCCGGCGACTGCTAACGCCCTCTTGAAGAATGGGCTTCTCGCGGAGAGAAGGCAGCGGTGGAAAGATACCTCCCGGTCATCGGCGAGGACCAGCTTGGCGTCGCTGTAGAAATCTTCCGGCGACTCAAACACAGACTCGAGGCTGTTGGAGAGCAGTTGAAACGATACCTCCGGTCCGGTGAGAGGTTCCGACGAATAAACAGTAGATGACTCGGTGTTTTCCGTTGGTGCTGGTGCGGCGAGGTAGCTAGCGGTGCTCATGTTGCTGACTTCATACGAATCGGAGAATCCCGCAACGGTGTCCATCAACCGTCCCGATATAATTCAGAAATTTGAGATCCCAAACAGAGAGATGGCGAAACTTGTACAAACAAGGACCAATCAACGAATAAACCTTATCAATCGCACCTCTTCAGATCGGAGAGAGACGTGCGGGAGAGAAGATAACCCATTCACGAGCACACACTAAGGTAGCGAGTGCCAAGTCAATGAGAAAGATAGAGATGAAGAAAGCAGCGACGATTTCACGAGCACCGGTAGATTTCCCGAAAAGGAAAGAGAGATTTTGCTTAACCGATTAGTAACCGTTCAGCACTCGAAACCAAACCGGATAGAACCGGCCGGCGGTGAGGACCCAACTTTCAGAAGAAAAAAAAACATGCTCATCGTTTTCTATCCATCAAAGCTCTTTTTTTTATCTTCGTTTTCAATTCTTGAGAGGAGAGAGAGGAGCATCCCAGAAACGACATTCCGTTTTAAATGGATTCTTTTCTCCAGATCGAGATGAGGAGGATGAAGATAATTGTTGACTTTTGGATTTTTCAGGCGTAGTCGGCGAAAAATCCGTGGAAATCTCCGGTTTTTGTCAAATTCAACATCTATAAGTGTGACCAGGTACACTTCACTCGTTCTAAAGTGACATGTAAGTATGTAACACACGCAGCAGTGACTAAATAACATTTTTTTGTTTTCATGTACATAATTGATAGATGTCCTTGTGTCAGACAAGTATACATCAGCATTTTCAAAGTTTCTTAAGCTGACACATCAACGAAAAACCAATCAAAATAATATATTAATACACATTATATAATATTATTTGACACATAGATAAATTCTTTTTTTTTCCAAACTCATGAAAAAGCTCACTAACTAACAAAGACATATTAATTAGAGAGAATTAGCAAAATGCCTTATTTAAGTTTTTAAATTTGAAAAGTACATTGTTAGTTAAATTTTTAAAAATAACACTTATTTAATATTATATAAAAACAAATAAGTTTTTCTTTACCTAGCTTAAAATATATATTACATATTTTAATAAATTAAAATTAAAATTCGAAATTATTGATATTAATTTATTTGAGAAATTTAAAATTTGAAATTATTAATTATAATAATAATTTATTTTAGACAATTAAAATTCGAAATTATCAATTTAAATATTTGAAAATTCATCTCTAACAAAAAAATAGTTTATTAGTGTATTAATTAGATGTTTTTTAACTAAAATTATTTTGGTCTATCATAAAGTTTCTAAGAGTTAGATCTAAATATAATTTAGTAAAAGACCAAATCAAATGATATATGAACTGCAATGATGATTCAAATTCCAAAATCATGTGTCTTCATTCTTTTATTAATTTTTATATATTTATTTATATTTTTAATTAAAATATTAATTAAATTCCAAAATCAAGTGTATTCATTCTTACTTTCATTTTATATATTATTTATATTTTAATTAAATATTTAAGGTGTTACCAATTTTTAGTGAGATTAGTTTAGACATTTCACTAAAAAATTAAGCATAGTTAAAAAAAAAAAGAACAATGGTGTAGTTTTCAAAATACAATCTCTTTTGAAGGTATTTTTCCAAATTTTCTCTATTAATTAATACATTAATTTAGTGAATTAGTTTAAAAGTACCTAAATTTAGTCGTAACACTGATAATTAGTTTTCAAGATTGGAAACGGCTACATATATATGCATCAATATAAACTCAGTGTAGTAGTGTTTGAGTTATATACTTATATTCTTTCATCCATAAACTATATATTATATGTTCGTTCTATATATACAATAAAATATATAATTAATTCTATCAAATCCATCTGTAGCACAGCTGTGAAGGTCTGGATATCACCACACACTCCTTCTAAAAAAATAGAGATACAATATAGGACGGAGTGGAATTTTCAACATAGCCTAAGGTGATCAAAGATATATATTTACAATCGTATATGGTAAATGAAGAATCCATGTGCTTACAATCATATCTGGTAAATGAACCGATTATAAAACTTGATGTTGATTAAATTTTAGTAAAAAAACTTAAATTGAACTTCACCAAGTTAGAGATGGTATCCTATTCACCAAATTTATGTTCACATATTAAAGATCAGTTTATAATATATATATATATATATATATATATGTGAACATAAACTTACGTTTTCTAACCATTTCGAAATCAAACAAAAATTGACGGGCGTTAAAAAAATAAAAACCATGGGTTTAGTCGGTTTGGACAAGTTAGTCGATTTAGAACATTTTGCTTACCGGCACCGGTTTCAGAAAATGTCAATTTTGTAACTTTAAAAATAATTTGATTAAATAAAATTTCAAGAAAATGGAGCAAACTTTAGAAAAAGTTAACTTATCGAAAAAGAGGTATATATCATTTGAAATAGAAATAAAATAATATAATTTTGATAGAAATTTGTTAAAAATATTGAAAGAAAAATTATTATTTTTATGAGAAATTCATTAAAAATTTACAATTGTAACCGAAGTTAAAGAGCACCAAAAAAAGCAAAATTTGAAAATTGGTAGAAGAAAAATGAACGTTAAATAATAATGGCTGAAAATAGTAAAAGATAAGAAAAATGAATGGCTAAGTATGACAATTGATTTATTATCATTTTTGAAAGTAAGAGAGACATGATTTTGTCTAAAAAAGAGAGTGACATGATTATTTATAAGAATAATAATAGTAGAAACATAAGTATTATAAGAAGGGTTTAGTAAAATAGATTAACAAAAATTGAGACAAGAAAGATAAGTCAAAGATAACCAAACTTATTTTGCACTCAATGTAATACTAAGATAGACAAATTACATAGCTATTTTGTTGAGAATGATATCATAGATGATTAAAAGATAGTGAGTTATACCAATGATCGAATAGAATTACAGAGACTAAGAAAGAAATATGATATTCATAGAAAAATTAGTAAGGAGAGCAACTAAATTATATTCATTAAAAAATAATATATTTTTGAAGAATATACTGTGAGTAAAAGAAAATAAATGTAAACAAATTCAAATATAAATAGATAACATGTTAGCTTTGAGTGTGTTTTATGAATAAATGATGTATTCAAATTAAAAAAAATTTAAAAAATAAATAGATACATTTTTTAATAATGTATAAAAAAATTAGACGATGTTAGAAAGTTGGAAATAAATGTAAATTAAACAAAAAATATAATTACATTCTTATTTGATTTTGTTTAAAATAGTAATTGTTTTTAAAATCTTATATCATTGTACAAAAATAATAATAATAATAATAATAATAATAATAATAATATTAAAATTATTAAAAATTTATTAATTATATATAATTAAATTTTAGTTAAATTATTTATTTCTATATCTATTTTTTATTTATTAGAATATGATATAAATTAATAAAATAAAATATAAAAAATCCTGCAGCATCAGGCAGGTATATACCTAGTGTATTCAATTTGGAACGAAGCGAGGTACGCAACAAAGCTCTTTGTTTGGTTGATCATTTTCCAGTGCATCCCACCATTTCTCATTACAGTAAACTGTTGGCAAGTTTGTCTGGACCCTTTTCTGAAATGGCAGTTTCTTCACTTTGGGGCACCTCGTGATAACTAAAGTTTCTACTTTTTGGAAATAAAACTGAGATGGAAGGATGCAGCTTAGTTCTGGGAGATCTCTAGTTGACAAAGTCTTGAGGCCTGGGAAAAACGCTGGTTCTTCGACGGATGTACCCTCGTGTTCACTTACCAGTTCCTCTATCTCTCTGCAGTCTAACAGGTCAATCACCTCTAGCTTTGGGAGCTGCGAAACCCATGAGACGCTCTTCAGCTTGTGGCAGTGTGAAATGTTAATGCAACGTATGTTCCGCAGACACTCTCGGCTTAGAGGATTTCCCCACACTCTGTTTAATTTATAGAGGCTGTGTAACGTTAGAACCTCTAGACTTGGAAGCCAGTCATCTGTGGGTGTGACCAGGTACTCGAGGTCATGGCAGCTTTTGATGCTTAGTCTTCTCAGGTTCCTACCATGGTTAGCGAGTGATGTAAGATTGAAGTTGAGGAGACCCTTGCACTCTTCAAAGTGCAGATGATGTATGAGTTTATGCAGGGCACCAAACTCGTAGAGGCTTTTCAGGGTCTCGAGTGAGAGCACAGTGATACCGAGCGTGGTGAGGTTTTCCAAGTGTTCCAAGTCGGCAAACCCGAGTTCTTCTGCTTCACCTTCTCCTAAGCTCTGCAGTTCCCAACTGGCGTAACTGTAGTACAAGTTCAGAACCTCGAGCTTGCTCAGCCAACAAATGGCATCTCGTGGGATCGTCTGGAGAAACTGAGTTCTCTGTAGGTCTAGATGCTTCAGCTTTCTAAGATTCCCAAGCTCTTGAGGCAACACACTTATCTTTGTTCCTGACAAAGCCAGATGATACAACTCCACCAAATACTTGATAGACAATGGAATCTCTGTGATACTTGTGAAGGACAAGTCCAGGACCCTGAGAACAGGCATATGAGTGAAAAACCCTGTTGGGATCTTCTTTAAAGAGCTGTTCTGTTGGAGCATAAGTGTTGTCAGATTCAAGCATATGGGTTTTTCAGGCAAGGTCTGGATTCTGTTATCCAACAACGAAATCACTAACGCTTGTCGCCAGTTTTCTGCTTTTGGGGATTCAGTAAGTCCCATGCTAGGCTCCACTAGGATCAGGTCCTTATAAGTCCCCTGTTCAGATGCCATCCACAATGCAAAGCTTCTGACCACATTATGCATCTTCACCTGCGTTTTCTCATCCCCTGTTTCCAGCAAACACGCCGCTTTCAGATCTCCAATCAGAAAATATCCCTTGTACAAAGTGTTGACTCCATGGGAGCTGATGAGAAACCCTTCTCCGACCCAGTACTCAACAAGCTGTTCGATCTCTATAGAATGTTCTTCAGGGAATAAAGCGCAGTACAAGAAACAAGTTCGAAGCAGATCACTCTCGAGACTGTCGTAGCTGAATTTCAAAAGGTTAAAGACATACTCCATACCCTTCATCTCTGCTGGGAATCTGTTGAGAACTTCACTCGCGTGTATCCACTCTTCTTCGGTCTCTCTGTGAGCCATGGCTCCTCCTAAAGTGATCAAAGCAAGCGGCAATCCACCGCATTTACTCACCATAATCTCTGCGAGCCGGCGAATCAACGGTGACTCCAAGAGATCTTTACTCCCAACTTTATCACAGAAGAGCTCCCACGCGTGTTGCCTCTCAAGAAACTCCACTCTCAGCTTGCATCCAGCACCCATATTGCTGCATAATGCCATAGACCGTGTCGTGAACATCACCTTGCATTTGTTTTCCCTGTCGGGTCGAGGAACCCCGGTCTTCTCCAAGTCTATCTCTTCCCAGACATCATCAAGCAACAACAAGAACCGTTTCTGTTTCAAAGCTCTGTATATCTTCAAAGCTCTATGCTCCCCGGACTCCTTCTCGTCCCAAGACAAACCCAAACGCGCTCCAAGAGCTTGCTGAATTGTACACTCGCCGAAATCTCTGGACACGGTAACCCATATCAGTTCATCATACTGATGGCCTTTTGTGATCAGCTCGTTGTTAATGCTCTGCATTAACGTTGTCTTCCCAACCCCACCAGGTCCATAAACCCCGATGATTCCTCTTTCTTCTTCTTCACTTAGAAACCCCCAAACCTGTTCCATCATCGAGTCAATCCCGACCACAGACTTGATCGGTATCTCCCTACACGTCACTTGAATGGACCCAACATCTGTCTTTACATCTTTAGAGCGTTCCCTCAGCTCACCGATGCTCTTCAGTGTAGCCAAAGCCTTCTTGCTCAGTTTGTAGTCGGCGCAACCGAAGCAACCCACGCATGTCCTTCTCCTTCTCTTCCTCTGTTCCCGTCGCATAAACCTTGCTAGAACCAAGTCTGCTTTGATCTCTGCTGCTTGCACCGCACTGAGCCACTCTCTGGCACGGTTTGTGCAGCTTCGTCCCTCAAGGTCGTCTTGTTGGATCCGTAAATCCAGGTCGTTGCGTATGGCCTTCAAGTCGCGGGTAGCTAATTCGAGATCACTGATGGCTTGCTTAAGATCAGTCTTGTGCCCTCCTCTGTCTGCCATATTCATAGATTCACACAGCACCTGAGCTAAGCCCACGAGTAGAGATGAGATGAATTCCATTTCGACGATTTTCTCGTCCTTTCTTTACTTTTATGAACAAACTAACTAATTAGTTAACTATTCATTTCTCATGGTTGATCATCTAATGCATAGAGAGATAAGGTGAGAGTTGACTCATAAAGTCAAGTCAACAATGATAGGCCATTTTTTGTCACTTGAAACCTCTCTCTTAATGCTTCTTCCAAATGTTGTTTTATTTCCATGTTTGTGATTTCCACTGCCAGAGTCAAGACCCACAATAATAAACTGGCCCATTAGGAGCCTTTCGGTCCCAATATGTCTACTCAAAGACATTGAATTGTCAAAACAAGACTCTTGCGTATTTACTATTTAGCCATGATTCTCACCAAGAGACTTTGCTTATACCTAATGATCTGCAAAAGAAAGTGCTCATGTTAAGATTATTAGACTAGGAAATCGAATTGAGAAGACATATGGAGAGATGTTGAACTTTAACACAAAAGAAACATTATATGTATATAATGATGATTATCTCTGTAATTGTAGGTTCTGAGTAATTTGTATATGGTGATTGACCGCATCGCATGTAGCAATGGTTAAAAGTAACACTGGCATTGATACACGCTGATGCTTAGTTAGTACTTAGATCTTTAACATATCATAATCGCGATGAATTGATGATGCTCATAGAAGCACTTCTCAGGATGTGGCCCGGTTATTTTATGATAGTGCCATGAGTTTATGGGATCTTATGAAAAGTAAAATTTCGAAGAGCTGAAAGTTAAAACAAGTTTTTTCTTTTTCTTTTGTTAATAGAAACGAGAAGAGTATGTTGAATACCAAAAGAATCGAATAGTCTGTTTCACCAAAATTAGGAGGCATCCTTGATATAAAAACTGTGGATGGATGTAAATTAATGATACGCCACTTTATTCTTTATAATGGTATATATATAGTACAGTTCTTAGACCATCTCCATTGGTTGAACCCCATTATGGGTTTTTAATCAATTTTTTAATATAAATTTTCCATCATCTCTTTTTAAGAAACTTTGTAATAGATTTTAGTTTTTTGCTCTTCCATTAGTAGAATCTTTAATAGAATTTTTAAGAAAAGAAATTTATATTTGAAAAGTTATAGAGTTCGACATTGGCATAGAACACATCCCCAATTGCAATAACATCATCATCTGATCTGGAATTAGTCTCCACTTCCTCAGTTGTCTTGTTGCTTGGCCTCACAATATCTTCTTCCCAGAGTGTGTCTAGCTTACCTCCAATGGTAATTCTCAAAGCTTTCAGCTTTGTAAGATGCTCTTTATCTACATAACACGACTCCAGTTTCGAGAAGATGGTGATGCTTCTTCCTGTTCTTATCCTTCTTCCAAAACTCCTCAAAAGAAACCACAACGGTCCTCCCTAAACAAGTATTGATTCGATCAATGTCAATGATTCTACTGTAATGGTAATCAAATCTATGGCTAGGTATCACAAGGATCCGTTTAAGCAACGCGGCGAAGAACATGTGCCTCTCTAGGCAAATCATGTGGTTACTCATCTAACCAGATAAGCAAATGTCGAACATAAATTTATCTGGCCTCGACTTCCATCAAATGGTCTTCCTCCCCGTTAACTTCTGATCCACTTTCCGGCAACTACCCACCGGTGAACCAATTGATGATCGTCAATACTGAAATTTCCAGTTTTATGCGGCGAAAGTAATGCATTTTGAATCTGTCTATTCGGTGAAAGCTGCTGGAAAATTACCGATTTCACGTCTTCGATTGTAGAGAGATTCGATATACTGTGGTTCTAGATTGAGAAAAGATCGATTTCCTGCTTCTTGAGCAGATACAGTGCTTGAAGATCCGATTCCTGAGCCCGAACTATTCCAGTATTTGGCTGGAATACAGAATCCGAAACTTTGACGGAGAAGAAGTAATTGCTGAAATCGGAGAGAATCGATATTGAGAAGAGAAAAATTGTGATTTTTTATAGTTTTTTTGTTAAAATTGAGCCAATCCATCCACATATTGACACGTTAAGAGTTTTTAACAATTCTTAAAACTATTAAATAAGATACAGTCTTTACCAATTTCATTCAGTATTCAATTGTTTATTAATTTTTTTATTTTAAGAAACTTTTAAAAACCTCCTAAAAGACACCGATGAAGGTGCTCTTATTATTTAGTTCGGTTTTTAATTACGAGTTGAACAACCCTACTACCTCCATTAACAACTTTGCCCGCAAGAAAAGCTAAAAGATTAACATAAATAAGTAAACATAAATCGAAATATCCACTATCCAAGTTTTCTTGGCCATCTTCTCATTTTATCTAACATATCTGTATATTAAAGAATTGATTTTAAATATTATTTTTTTAAAAAACCTTTTTATTATATTTACTGTAAATAGTAGATGATTGGTTCATTGAATTTGAGGTGTTTTGGATATTTTGTTTGTTGCCCATCATCCAAAACCAACTTTCACATTTCCATCTACAATAACATATCGTTACACATTGTCCAAAGAATACAGCACAAGTGGCAAAATACATATGGAATTTGATAAATAATTTTCTTATAACGTTTCTGTTGAGAAAATTTATTATTTATTGAGATATTAGGAAGAAAAAAAGAAAAAAGAAAGACAAGATATTTACGGAATTAAAAGGGCTGTCTTTGTCAGTGCAATGAACCTTTTTCTCTCATCTCTCCCGCCACCCAACTAACACATCTCCGACCGTACACGTCACCCTCTCTCGTTCACCAAAATCGGACTTTTTCTTCGTCTACGTGTCGCTCATCCACCGGTTTTCCGCTAGAACGTGGGACCCACAATTATTCACATTTATTTTTCTCTTGTACTTTAGAAAAACTGGACGGATTCTCTATCATGTTCTTTGTTTCGTTGCTCAATTATGTCCATGAGTCTACTACAACAGTACAACTATTATCCATATACAATCGCAAACACGTTTTGCCACAACAACAGAAAAATATGATGTTTTATTTATACAATTAGTTTTATCTTCTGCTTAATGGATTTTTCGGTAAGGAAAACTTCAAAAGAAATTTATTGCACGTAGATTTTAACGTATTTTTTTAATTGCACCGACCGATTTCTCTTCTTGTTATTTTTCGGGAAAATTTAAAGACCAATCTCTTTCAACTATACATAACCATTCTACGGTTATAAAAAAAAAATTAAGATTCAATATTCTAGTTTTTTTTACTATAATTTGATTAATGAATAATTGAAGCGAGTACTGAATAATGATGATATATATTCCCATGCTAACAGATACAAATAAATGTCAAGTTTGACCAAAATTGGTTTTCAAGATATATAATTTTAAATTATAAGACGAATAATGAAATGATTCCCCTTAAATTATCATTATTTAGATATTTTACCGGTGGTCTTCCAATTTCTAGAATTTAAAAACATCCGATTCTTTTCTTATCATATTGATATGGATACAATATTGTTCTTATACTGAAAATGACATATGTTTTGATTATTGTTTCTAATATATAAATGAATTGTATGATGTTTGGTTGATTAGACCAGTGGTTAGAGATAGAAGATACGAATAAAAAGCTTCCGTAATTCTGCTTAAAATTGTGTTTATGACAAATAAATAAGGAAATTACAAGACTTAGATCCGAATATGACACGTCTAAGCCGATGACCTAACTAAAGTTAAAAGCTAAACATATGTCGTTTGACAAAAAGAAAACATTTACGGATATTTGGTTTCACAAAAAATGCTTCAAAACATTTGTATAATGTTAATAGTGGCCAAAAAAGACAAGCAATGAGAAAAATATAAATAAATTTTGTTGAATACAAAAAGTCGGAAGCAAGTGTCTTTTATGATTTTTTTTTTTTTTAATTTTCTAGAACGAAACATCTCCCCTTATTACAAAAAGACAAATAAATAAAAACATCACATTTTCTCTTTTGATATAATGTAATAAAATAACGAAAACTAAATCTATTTAAGCTAACATAAATAGCAGGTTTGAGGCGAATGCTGTCTTTTGCGTACCCATTTCCTCTTTCGTTCTTTCTTTCTCCTTTTATCTGTGAAGAAAGCACAATAAGTTTTACAAGAAGAAAGCAGAGTCTTCCTTCAACTTTTAGGTAGTTGAATCCAGAAATGGTTTTAGTTGGAAATTAATTGAAGAGAGAGAGATTACAGAATCTTTAAGAGGTTGTAACGAATTACCCACAATCCAGGAAACCCTGGTTGATTTTTTTTCTTTTTCTTTTGCTGTGTGGTGATTTTCCCGGGAAAATTTGGGTATCTCTATCTGTCGAAAGAGTCATGTGTTTCTTGTCTGAATAGCTTCTAATAAAGTTTGTTGTCTTAAATTTTCTGTAGAAATCTGTCGAATTTTCATTTTCGTTCCATTAGAGAGTTGTTTTACAGATTGACCATCTTTACAAACAAAAATAAAAGAGAGAGAGAGAGAGAAAAAAAAAAAAAAGCTTGAAGCTTTGCAATTTCTTTGTAAAATTTATCACTTTCCTTTAAATTTCTGAGAAAACCAAACTCAGAGCTAGAGTTCCATCAATGGAGGAAGTATCTCCGGCGGTTGCTATGCCTTTCATGCCTTTCCCCGAAACCCAGATGGAATTCACAGGGATGAGGCTGGGTAAAGGTTACTGCAACGGCCAATACTCAACCCAAGATTCCGAGAACGGCGATTCTAGGGTTCCGCCGTCACCGGAGACTTCGCGTTCTGTTTATGGGTCTCATGGAGCTGAATCGAGGAAAGTTTTGTCCGCTCGGATCAATTCGCCCAACTTAAACATGAAGAATTCATCATCGTCATCATCGTCGGAGATCGTCGCTGATATCGCCGCCGGAGAGGAGATCAACGGCTCAGATGATAGATCGACTGTTCAGAGCGAGAAGAAGATGATCAGCAGAACAGAGAGCAGGAGTCTGTTCGAATTCAAGAGCGTGCCTTTGTACGGAGTGACTTCGATCTGTGGAAGAAGACCGGAGATGGAAGATGCTGTCTCCACGATACCTAGATTCCTTCAATCTTCGACTAACTCGTTGGTAGATGGCCGTTTCAACCCCCAGTCAACCGCTCATTTCTTCGGTGTCTACGACGGCCATGGCGGTTCTCAGGTGAAAACCAATCGATTTCCTTTTTAAATTCCGATTTGATCTGGTAAGTGATTGCAAAGATTTTGATTGGGTCTTTGGGTTGTGTAGGTAGCGAACTATTGCAGAGAGAGGATGCATTTGGCTTTAGCGGAGGAGATAGCGAAGGAGAAGCCGATGCTCTGCGACGGAGACACGTGGCAGGAGAAGTGGAAGAGGGCTTTGTTCAACTCGTTCCTCCGAGTTGACTCGGAGATCGAGTCAGTCGCACCGGAGACTGTTGGGTCAACGTCGGTCGTCGCCGTCGTTTTTCCGACTCATATCTTCGTCGCTAACTGCGGCGATTCCAGAGCCGTTCTTTGCCGCGGCAAAACCGCGCTCCCGTTATCCACTGACCACAAAGTAAGCATATACAAGTAATACAGACGCATAGAGCTTTGTATCCATAGTTTCTTTAGATGAACAGTTTGGATCTAGAGATTGTGGCGAGAATCTGTGTTCAAAATGTTGAATTTAGAGTTTCTTGTATTTGTTTCTGATGTATGTTTGTGTTATGTGTGTAGCCTGATAGAGAAGATGAAGCGGCGAGGATTGAAGCCGCCGGAGGAAAAGTGATCCGGTGGAATGGAGCTCGTGTTTTCGGTGTTCTCGCCATGTCAAGATCCATTGGTAAGCTTTCTTATGTTTCTCTCCTAAAGATTCAATGGTTTCTTAAAATAGAAACCTTTTTCCTTACGGAAACATGCATTGGCACAGGCGATAGATACTTGAAACCGTCGATCATTCCCGATCCGGAAGTGACGGCTGTGAAGAGAGTTAAAGAAGATGACTGTCTGATTCTGGCGAGTGACGGGGTTTGGGATGTAATGACGGATGAGGAAGCGTGTGAGATGGCACGGAAGCGGATTCTCTTGTGGCACAAGAAGAACGCGGTGGCTGGAGATGCGTCTTTGCTCACGGATGAGCGGCGGAAGGAAGGGAAAGATCCGGCGGCGATGTCTGCGGCTGAGTACTTGTCGAAGCTGGCGTTGCAGAGAGGAAGCAAAGACAACATAAGTGTGGTGGTTGTTGATTTGAAGCCTCAGAGGAAATTCAAGAGCAAACCCTTGAACTGAGGCAGAGGGTCCTTTTTCTTATTTTTTATTAATGAATATGGGGTCTCTCAAAGTTAATTTGTGCTTATTTTAAAATTATTATTTTTAAACTAACATGTTATATGAGATTATAATGCAGCTTAAACTGTGTTAAGCTCTCTCTGTCTTAACGATATAAAAAGCCCCTTGTATTTTTCCTCCCGGGCTAATTGTAATATGGTTACATTATACATTTTTTTTTGTTCAAAATTTACAATATACATTAAGATATAGTATTATGTTTATCAAAAATTTGATTAGATAGTAGTATTTTCTTTTCATATTAAGTATATCAGTAAGAAGAGAGAGTGAAAGTACACAAGAAAATCAAATTTTGTGGACTAATCTCATGAGTTATACAACATCTTGTAAAATTCGTCTCTCATAACATCTCTTCTAGTGGATAAAAGGATTTGTTCAAACTCGGCTCTAGCTGTTAGCAAGTGGGGGAATCAAAGATCCTGCGGCTGTGAAGTAAGACGAGAGATTCACATCCATATCATCAAACATGTTCACGAACTTGTGTTCCTAATCACCAGCAATTGCAACAACAACAACAACAACAACAACAACAAAGAGTCGTTAAAAGTGGTACGAGACATCACAAGAAGGAAAGACGTAAACAGTATTGTATGATTACACACCAGAAGCTCATTTGCCGATTTTCTGTCTTTTGGATCTTTCTGTATACTACACAAGTAAAATCATCAGTTAATAATAACATGTTAAAGGTTTTGAAAATCTGTCTTTTAAGGTATTCTCTCACCATTGCGAGATGAAGGAGCAAAACTCTGGAGAAAACATATGGGAAGGTGCACAAGGAGGTGGGCTTTCAACAATGGTGTTCACTATCTCATACACACTACTCCATCCCTTCATGTCTTCCGGAGGATTATACGGGAATTTACCAGTCGCACATTCGAGCAAAACCAGACCCAAGCTCCATATATCGCTCTTGTTACTGTACTTACCTCCTCTGATTCTCTCTGGCTGCAAAATATATGACAGTAATCATATGTAAACCCTTTTTAACTCTAGAAACTGAGTATGCGTTTATGAGTTGTTAAAAGGTGAATGGAGGAGACTCACAGACATATAGTAGTATGTACCCACGAAAGAATCAGCTAGACTGCTCGTGCTTGACAAGATCTTGCTGACACCAAAGTCAGTGATCTTGACATGGCCTCTATGATTGATTAGCAAGTTCGAAGGCTTCAAGTCCCGGTGAATGATTCGCCTCTCATGGTGAATATAGCACAAGCCTCGGAGCACCTGCGTTTAGAACCAAGAAAAGAGCTTACTTATGTGTGTTGTTATCTAAGAGAAGACTTAGAGATTAAGATTTTGCGTAGAGTACTCGCTTGCAGATGGCAGAGAGAATGTTTTCAGGAACTCTCTTGACTTTCTTTAACAAGTCCTCAAGGGATCCACCGTCCATGAACTCCAAGATGATTGAAACAAGACCGTTATGGTAGAAAGACTGATAACACGTGACGAGATATGGACATTGCGAGGACAAGTTTATCCTCAGCTCCTGAGATATCGCCCGACATGTTGATTCTTCTGTGTTCAATTGAATAACCTGAGATACAAAAACAACTCCATCTTTCTTTTTTTAGCTCAGCCAAGAGAAGAAGAACATTTAAAGTGATAAAAGAAGCAACATAATCAGATTCGACCTTAAGAGCGAAAAACTGTTGAGTCAGTTTGTGTTTCACCAACTGAACATTACCACTGCTTCCTTTGCCAATGACTTTGATCACTTCAAGATCTGCCATACTCAATTGGTTATCCAATGGCATGATAGGAGGTGGCTGCAAAATAACATATAGATAAACACATAAAGAAAAATGTAAGAGAAGAGAGTGAGATCTAGATTTCAAGAAGCATGAACACAAACAAGACTTACAGCTCCGGGTTCGGACTGAGACACGGTCTGGATTCCATCTCTGTTCACTCGAAGATCTCCATCCTTGAATGTTCCGCTCTGTGTTCTGTCCATTATATTTTCAGTGTCAGAAGACTCATTGACACAAATCAATTAGTAACAATGATCATAGTGACGTAATCCAGTGATCTACACAGGAAAAATACACTGTAGAATCACTTGAGGTATGAAAACGAATCCTAGAAAGTGAGACCAGTGAACTCTGATTCGTCAAATCCTAAAAGAGAATCCTAAATTCGAAGGGAGTGATCTGAAGAATAAACAAAGTAAATCGACATTACACGAAGAATCCAAAGAGAGGTAGGAAGAGAGTTACAGGAATTTGGAGATGGATTGCTCAGGAGGAGGGAGACAGATGGGATTAAGGCTCAATCTGCCTCTATTCATGTCTTGATTGGAGATCAAATCCAAGAAACAGAGTAACAGATAAACACACACACAGAACAGATCAGAGATGAGAAAGATAGAGCTTAGAGGAATGACGAACACTCGACGTCGTGTAGCTCATGACTATGAAGAAGAAGACGAAGACGAAATGGTCGTTGACTACCCCTTGACTCATCTTCCCTTTGAATATTCTTCTCTTTTCTTTTTGTTTGGTCATCAGAACTTTTCTTCCAAAATCATTACATTTAAACCTCTCATTTCTCAATGTTCCCATTAAAGACTATAAGAGGAGGCTAATGATGATTATTAGTATTTTAGTCTTACGATTAATTTTCTTCGTGGAACGGTCTTCTGATCGTGAAATCTTTTTTTTTTGTTTGCATTATTTTAACAGCCTCTTGATTTTTTCTATAATCACTATAATTAAACAAGGTATACTATGTATCTATTTAAGTTGTCATTGTCATTAGAAAAACACCACCACATGGAAGAAATTAACAACAAAGAAAAGTGAAGGTGTTGGTAAGGGATATCGAGTTGGACTTGATTTAATATATATTGTATCTACTACATAATTCTGTTTATTCAAAAACAAGTAGCATTTTTCAAATAGTTAGTATAATTGTCTTTTGGAGAAAGATTCAACTGTTTTTAATGGATTATCTGATCCATAATATATTAGATCATGATGGACAAGTTCAAAATGATAGCTTGTAAACCAAAATTAATGTTGAAATTAGTGAAAACATTGTATATAATGTACTAAAAACCATCCTCAAGCCGGGTGACTAATTAAACCAAATATGTTTTGGCTATACATAAGATATCTGAATTAGTACTGTTTATGTGGTAACGTATCTAGAATGGTCTAATAGTAGTTGCTGTCTGGATTGCAAAATAAACAAAAAAAAAACACAAAAATTATAGAAAAATGATGTTTGTTTCTTTTTGAAAAAGTGTTGTCTAGGAAAAGTTCGTTAAAAAAAAAGTTTGCCAAACAAAAGAAGAAACCAAGAAATTATAGTATTAGTAATAAACAAATCTATAATCAAAAAAATAATCACGATAAAATTGCTAAAACTGTGTATATATGAGATCGTGATAAATACCTAAACCAACCAACTAAAACAATATGCTTCATGACAAATATAAATTAGAGTGAAGATTGGAAGAAAGGTTATTGCTTATGAATTAGAATAATTTTGCAAAATTAGAAAACAGACAATTTGCTTTGGGCAAAAGAAAAAGGACGTTCCTTAAGAGACAAACGTCAGACTTCGATTTTCTTCTTCCGCTCTCTCCGCATTTAACGCTTACGAAGCAGCAGCAGCCGAAGAAGAAGAAGGACGACGACGACGACTCTCGCCTTTTAGATTCCTTGATTCGAGATTCATCTCCCTCTCTTCTCTTCCACAATCAAATCTCTTCTCGAAATTTCTACTATAGAAAATTATCTGGTGAGTTACTTATCTCCGTCGTTTTCCTTTCCCTGAGCGATCTCTGGCTCGTTATGATAGCTAGACCGTTCAAATGAACGATTTCAAGTGTTATTCGTAGATTTCCATTACTAATTATTTCCAATTAGAGAGAATCATCTGATCTGAGCTCTGGGTTATTCATGGTTCTGTTTCGCCGATTTCGATTTCTCGTGTGTTTTTGGTTTCGCTCGAAGCATCTTTGTGTTTTCTAGCCTTTTGTTCGATTGAAATCCCCACCTTCATGGACCTCTCATACCGTTGTTGCTTTTGGTTGTAGTCAATTTTGAAGATCTTGTGGGTCACAACAAAACTCACGAGCAAGAGCTTGGCATTCATCAACGCTCTCTTCTACTGAAGAACGTATGGCGGAAAGTAATCATCTTCTCCCCCTTTCTGTCTTTTGATCATATTAGTCATCTTAAGCTATGTGCTTTGGTAGTTCTGGTTTGTTAGAATAGAGTATCATAGATCCATTATCTGGGAACGAAAGTAGTTTACTAGATGTAAAGTGAATGTTCACGAACAGTCAAAAGATGATGAATTCTGATTCATACATACAAAAACATGATTTTTCGAACACGAGACATGGTTTTGAGATGGGGCAACATTGATTGACCTTTCTCATTTCCATGTAGAGACCTTTCGACCTCTTTGGTTTACTCTAATCTATTGAGTTTTGCATTCGCAGCTGTTAAAGAGCGTGGAGATGTAAGTGCGGAAATGGTAAAATCAATGGCTGATAAGCATGCCGGTCTGATGAGACCAGCTGCTAGATGTTGCTCTGTAATTAAAGGTACTCTTTTTAAGATATAACATTTATGTCTGTTCATGTGTGGAACATTCATGGTCTTTGATTTTACTATGATAGATGCTATGGTTTGTGGGAAAGGAAGATATACGCTTGTAAAAGACGTGGACGATGTGGAAAATGGAGCGTATGATAAACCACTTCCATGCTTCGGTTGCGGAATCGGATGGTTCTCGTGAGTAGAATATTGTGACTTTTTTGTCGTGTTAAGTCAACGCAGCTTCACTCGATTGACCTGCTTATTCTCCCCTTGTACAGCTTTCTCTTGGGTTTTATGTTCCCTTTCTTGTGGTACTATGCAACATTTCTCTACTTCGGGAACTACTACCGCAAGGATCCTAGAGAAAGAGGCGGCCTTGCTGCTTCCGCAATCACTGTAATGGCTCTCCCTCTTTCTCATTTCAATATATCTCTTTGACTGTATGAGTTTCGGACGAAATTGATGATGAAACCTGGTGATGTTGCAGGCGATGGGATTCTCCCTCTTGCTACTGGTGATTGTTGTTTTCAGGTGGTTTTAATTGGTTCTTCCGTATACACCATACTCGAGAGATACACATGTCAAAATCTTGGTCCCGTGCTTGTCAAAAGGAATAGAGCTGGGACTTAGATAATTGTCTGTACATTCAATACAAACCGTAAATAAAGATATTTTTATACCTCATATTCTCTCAAGGTTTGTATCGTTCTCTTCTCACAGTCAACCGTTTGTGTACAAAGAACAGAGTATAAAAATAAATGAGTAAATGTTTGTTTCTTTCTTGAGCTGATATGAATGTTTCTCAAACTCCTTACAGGTTTTGGTAATGTCCTTATGACTTATGTGGTATTATGTATGAATCCGTCCACTCACTGGTGAGTCTGGTCATGACTTTTGTGATCCATCCAAGTATGTGATGGAGAATACTGAATACTATAGTATATTTTCAAAATGCGATCTTACATTACATATGTACATGAACCAAACTGTAAGTCTGTGTTATAATTTACAAATGTGTTCAACAAAGTTGAACCAAAACACAGCGAAAAAAAAAAAGCCACCCAAGAGTCTATGATTCAGAGAAAAGAACGCTATAAGCGAAAAAAAAACATACAAGGAAACAAAGATGCATGCAAAAATGAAAATGTGAAGACGGTTTGAGGAAGAAAGACAGAAGTAACCCTGGCTAGCTAATACCTTGGAGGAGAGAAATACGCGGATAATGGAGACAAGAGGCGTCGCGGGTTGAACAGGGACACGTGTCGCGGGGAGGCGATTCCGTCGATTTGGCGGTAATCGTTGACGTTGATGAAGCCCTCCCTCTCGTCTCCACGGTGGTCACCGCCGGTTCTCCTCCCCGGAGATGAGCTCAGGCCGTGAAAGGTCTTGTACTTGACCATCTTACCAATGCCCCACAACTTTTTCTTCATAGGAGTTTTCTTATATGACTCTGTCATCTTCTCGCTCATGTACCGCTTCACTGCTTCCAAACCCTGTTCCACCTGTTTTAACAGATCATCAAACATAAACTATATCACAATTCACAACACAACCTTTATCATATAGTAAACGTATATAATATAAGGTTCTTTTATTGATCTATTCACGTCTCTCAAGTTTATTGTATCATGTTAATTATTTCCGTAGTCCATTAGACGGATGATATTAGCGTTGACATAACAAATATTACATACAAAACTGAACTAATATCTTCAAACAGATATCATACTTGCTTTGCTAACTATAACACACTACAAATCATATAATGCTTGCGAAGCAAGTTAATCATCTGTATTAGGTTATTTTTGGACTCGTTTTATGTAACTTCTACTAAAGAAAAATTTGAAATACGCTATCACTATGTTATTAGACTGTGATAATGGTTTGTACTGTCGTGGCTATAGTAAAAAAAATAGTAAAAATTTAAATTAAATTGTACATACCACTTCAAAAGGTGGGGAGACGAGGGGATTACCCTCGAGGGAGAGCTTCTGAATCCGGCGGAGACAACCGAGGGAGTCCGGTAAAACTGTGATTCCGTTATAACTGACGTCAAGCTCCACGAGAGATATCAGCAACCCAATGGAGTAAGGTAACGTCGTCAAGTGCTGGAAGTTCTGGCTAATGTTAAGGACCTGGAGGTTCACGAGGTTCTCTAGATCCTCAGGGAGCGACCCAAGGCGGTTTAGCCGCGCGTCGAGCACACGCAGAGACGTCATGTGGCTAAGGGAGCTTGGTAACATGACAAGCTTGTTCGAGTTGACTGAGAGCTTTGTCAGATTCGTTAGCTCGAACCCTATCGTGTCTGGAAGCCTCGTCAGCTCGTTGAAGTTGGCATTCAGTTCTTCTAGCGATCTGCGTTGTGTTTGCGTTTCGCGTTTTTGGTACATATAAGATCATAAGAGAATTGGATGCGAGGAAGGGATCTTTACCTGCAATCTTCGATAGTTTTGGGGAGAAATTGGAGATAATTTCCGGAGACATTGAGAAACTTAAGCTTTGTAAGACATCCAATGGAGTTGGGAAGAGTTTTGAGCTGATTAGAGTGCAAGTCCAATGCCCACACATTTAACATTCTTGCTACTAGAGATTCCGGAATTTGCTGCATTAATTAGAAACTAAATCAATGAGTGATACAGTTTTAACTTCTTAAGTGTGGTCCATGTACATAAAACATGGTTATACAATTGAAATACAAATCCGAACGCTATATAATATATATTGTCTGATAAATCATATTTATGTGTAGAATATAGAGTACTGGTTTTTTTTTTCTTTTTCAGATTCTATACATAATTAAAAAATTGGGACGTCTAGTTAGAAAAGGCACAAAGGATATCTTGACGGTAACCAGCATTTACTATACCCAAAAAGTAGAAACTGATTAATCCAAAGGTTCTAAACTAACTGTATCAAGAAAATTCATATTTTTTGATAACGGGTTTTATTTATCAAGACATTAATATTGCCAGTGGAAAAAGACAGTCAATACAGCAGAGTCAAAGAGAGAATTAAATGTTAAGATCAACTCAAATTTATGAATAGTTGTAACGATTATGTAACGAAAAAAGTTACACTATTTTTTTAATGAAAAAACGGACACTTGTGGCTCAGTTGCCCATGCAACCAGACGTCGAGTAAATAAGAGCGAATATGCTTTCTAAAGGTTCGCGTGGATAAGGAAAAAATGTGTGCAAGTAAATATGTATACTTATTATATGTAAATAGAGATGACTTTAAATAGTTGGGAAATCCACTATATATTATCTAAGAAATAACATTATTGAAAATAGTTAATTTGTCAACACTAGAGTTAAAGTTAGTACTTTTAATTGATGATATATAAATGTGACATGTTAAACTTCCTAAAATAAACAAAATGTTTTGATTGGTTGAATTAAAATTATAGAAATTGTGGAATTAAAACATAAATAAATTAGATTATATTTATAACACTAAAATTAAAAAATTTAAATTAACAGAAATAAAAGTTATTATAATTTCAATTTTGTACATATCTTCATAATTTCATAAAATATAATTACGAAAATTTTTCAATAATATATATATATAATAATTTCATATAAAACGAAAAAATAATAATAAATTATCCAATAGAATAATAAAAATTTTATTTATTAATAATACTTGAACTATAATATATTTTTATTTTGGAAAGTTATTAATTTACAAAATATATTCATAACATCTAAACAAGTTTTAAATAAACAAATTATTGAATAATACAATTTTAAATAAAATACAATCATGATAAAAATAATTTAAAGAATAAAATGTTAAAAATAATAAAAATAATCAACTTTTATTGATTTTTTTTAAAAAAACGTAATTTTAAATAATTTTTCTTTTCAAACCAATATTTAGTAAATGAATAAAGTATGTACTAATTATTAATTTATAATATTAATAAGATCATATATTTTTCTATAACTTTTATTATCTTTTTATTGTTGTTTTCTAAAATGTACATAACTTATGTTACCATCTCATTATCTATTATCATATTTAAATAAAAATAAATTTTATATCATATGTATATATATACATAAATTTATTTTTATTGTATATCAAAATTTTAAGAATGTAAATAAAATAAAAAATAACCGAACGAAATAATAAATTATAATAAGATGAAACAATATGAATTGGAAATAAAATAGAAGTATGTAAAAATAAATCTCTTGCACTTTGTTTTACAAAGTCACTTAAAAACTTTTTAACACCTAAGAACCATATTTCATTTTTTTTACAAATACGCGTACAGACATAAATATTAATTGTACATTAGTTGAAGTCACATGAAAACTTTTCCGTGCATGTATTTTGTTAAGATTGATTACAGACTAACTTTTATTTTAATTATTATACAATTTATATTTTTAAAAAAATATTTATCTATTCTAATTGTAGTGAAGTGGTTGGTATGTCCGTACATGCGTGCCAACCATCTATCCGTTCTTAAGAATAACTAAAAATAGTAAAAACTATTTCAGTTTAATTCGCAATAAATCAAGAAAAATATATACTTAAAATATATTATATATGTATTTGCAAATTCATATTATGTAAGATGCAAAAAGCATATTGTATATTGTGTAAGGAGAAATAAAGCATATTATAGAAATATTCAAAAAATCTTATAAAAATTTATTTATTATTTAACATAACTTTTATATTTATGATTATGTAGTATTATAAGCATTATAAGCATTATAAAAATAAAGTTTTTAAAATACATTAGTTTCAAAAAAAAGTTTGTGAAATATTAAAACAATATATATATAAACATACCAATGTTTAAAAAAACTAATCAATATTTAAATATTACAATTAACTATGTATATAAAAAAATTATAGCAACCACCTAGTTTTGTTTTTATATAGTATGTCCAACTTCTGGTAAGGTTTGTTTGTGTAATCCTTAACCTTTTGTCTTGTTGTACTTAATTGAAATTTAATTAATTTTTATTTCCTCAAACAAAACAGGAAATGACAAAAACGAAAAATTAAAAAATACAAACAAATGATGCATATGCAAGAGGGAATTTCCTTGCTTCATTTTCTCTACGACCTTTGCAATCTTATAATTTAATTAGAGCCCACCACTCTAAATTAAATTCACTTAATTAAAGTACAACCCAACAAATTGTTATATAGGTATTTGTTGACCTTTCGAGTTTCTAAAACCCCCCCCAAAAAAATACGTTTAGGTTTCAGTGTTTTGATTCTTTTGAATAGTGAAAACAAGCCTATTTTATTTTGTTAAAATTACGGTTGATAAAAATCAGATATGGTCCAACATAAATAAATACCTGAATATTGTTGTTGGAGAGATCGAGTTTCGAGATCAAGGCTAAGTTGATAGAAGAGGCTGAGAGAGAGGCCAGGGACATGCCGCTGAGATCGAGAGTCTTGATATTCCGGCGGCGATCTCCTTCTCCGGTCGACGCAGCTGCTGCCGCCGCACCACCATCAATGGCCGACACACTCCTCCTCGTCATTTTCTTCCGTGGAGTATTGACTGGTCCCATATTATTAAATTCCTTCATCATCGCCGTTGTCGTCATTGTCATCTGATTCATCTGCTCGTAACCCATCATATCTTCCTATGTGTATGTGTATGTGCATATATATATTTATGCACACAAAGTATAACCTACAAAACGAGAGAGCGAGAGAGCTAAGAGAAAAGAGGGAGAGAGAGAGAGAAACGGAAAGACAGATACAGAGAAAGAGAGAGATGTTGAAGATGTGTTATTAATGAGTTGAAAATATATCCTACTTATATATAATAAATATATGGTAGAGAGAGTTGAAGATTGAAATGGAGTTGAAGATCGAAACGGAGGATATGTACGGATGATAAGAGAGGGCGTTGAAAACTTGAAATTCTCTCTCTCTAGATTTTCTTCTTCTTGTACCACATTATCTATTTACTTTGGCGCATATATATATATATTCACATTTTAATCCAATCTCAATATAGTGATGTTTTTATAAAGGAAAAAAATATTTCTTTTGAAAAACTCCTTTAAATTTAAATTTTATCTTATGATTATCTGTACACTACTGTTAATTACCTTATCAAAATTAAATAGAAATCGCAATAACATTTCAGAAGGATTGATATTTATAGATAATTCAAGTTGAATTCTTTTTCACTGATGATCTTCGACCTACAGAAAAAAATAATGATGTAATACATGTAAAAAGATATGTAAGAGTTGACACAGAGCATAAAGTTGAAAAATATGATGTTAGGACGAAATTTGTTAGAGTTTTGTCATCCATTTTTACGACGTAAATAATATAATATAGGAGAATTATTTTTATGTAGAAAAACTATTAATATGCCATGATATATATGTACGAGAAATACATTAAAATAAAGTAAAAGAAAGCCGAGACGGGAAGTGAAGGTACGGTCCCGTATACGGTATATAGCTGCTGTATGCCAGGTCAGAAATTTGAATAAGTCAACTTTCATTAGGGTGGACTTTCTTATTTTAATTTTCATTTGGGTACCCGCGAATCTCGCAAGTCGCCACCCGATTTTCTTCGTTTGTTAAAATGCTACTATACATTTTAAAAAAAGAAAAAGAAATAAATCATATCTAGAGTGGTTTTCTTTGCACCGCCTACTATATTTTTTAATTGGTAATTTTAGTAAAGTATAGTTAAGAATTCTATAAATTTTATTGACAAGTACTTGGGGTTTTTTTTTTAATAGAGTTGATCAAAATCCATATCGCACGATTATAGTTCTGAATTAATGTACAACACACAAATGCAGACTGAGAAAACATGTACAACACACAAATGCAGACTAAGGTCGAATATTAGTAAAAATAGACATTCGACTCTTGCTTTGAAAAACTTCTGTCTCCCACGATATTAGCCAAAATCTATATATTGTTTTCTCTAAAATCCATAGTAATTGGTTCTCTCACAACCGATTATTTTAGGTTTTAGCAACATATTTGATACTAGTTTATTGCAATTTCTTTCAAACTGATCTATCAATACATTGCATTATCTACAAATTAATTTGTGTTATTGGCTCATACGTGTTACAGAGTTAATACTAATTGAAAATAATATTTTTCTCTTTCATATTTCAATGCATCTGTGAATTACTTCGAGAGTTGTAGATAATAGTTTTAACATCTAGACTTGACGACTTTTTATGGGTTTTTTATAATATAGAAATTTTTTCTCAAAAATATATTCTGTCGGAAAACAAACGTAGTACTATGGCGGTTTATGGTTTCAGTTGAAGATAATCTTCTTATCTTTTGGTGGAAGAAAACAAATCTTCTTATCTTTTATTTATGTCTTTGTGAGTTACGTCAAATTTTGAAATATGAAATTATATCATATAAAGTCATAGTATGATCTCATATTACGGAACCAATAATTTTTTTCAAAAGAGATATATGGTAATTACATAACCTTATCGTATAGATATATTTGAACTTTGAATTACACATCTTTAACAAGTTGTTGTTTTTTCTTTTCTTTGTCAGTCAGAAATCTTTTCAGTTGGTCATATTATCAATGTTATGCAAGTTCTTTGTAGATAAACTGGATAATTCGCAAACTGATTGGAGCTAAAACTCTTAAAACTGAACTGAAAAATATAAAGGGAAATAATCTGAACGATGGTGTTTTTATTGAGTTTCTTATGAACAAATACAAGTAGTCCAAGATAAATAGTGGTGAAAGTAAAAAAAAAAAAGTGAAATAATTTATAGTGTTATTTTGCGGAAAGAGTGATTAGCTTTCTCTTGGTTGGCCACTTGGCCTCCTTCTCTTTTTATAGCCCCTTATCAATAGTTAAAGCTTAATCAGTAGCTAATGGTGCTAATGAATGCTGAGATATATTCGTCTTCAAATTCGAATCCGCTCGAGCTTGCGACGTGAGTGATGATGGACGTAGGTAAAAATGGGTCGATGACGTGGTGGGGAGGCGCCGAGCCTGCCACAGATGAGGTCCGACGACATGTCACATGACTTGGAAGTTGAGACTTCTTATGGATTTTGTATCTTTTTTCTGGTTTGGACTTTATCATCGCTATTGTAATAAACTTTCTTCGCAGTGAATTTCTTATGTAAGATTCAACACCAATAAACTCAAAAGCTAAAAAAATAAGCGATTAAATCTTAATTACACCACGTAAAGCAAATGAGTAATAAATAACAATAAATAACTGTTCTTTAGATGCTCTTTTTAGTATTTATTAAAACTGATTTATGTGTAGAAAACAAAAAGCAGTTCGATGGGTTTAGGTGCAAGCGCCCACAGATTCTGCCGCTCGGCAAATTATTATGAGCAGATGGGAAAGGTCTATAAAGTTCATTTTTTCTTCGCAATTATTGTTTTTGTTGTGCCTATCGAAAACACTTTTTTTTTTTTTTTAATTCTTACCCTAATAATATAAAGTTCACCATTTGCTCTTATTCAATAATGACATAAATATTGCAATGTGTTCCTCCTCGAGAAGATTCCAATTAGAATAAGTGACATTTTTTCTTCAACCGCTACGGGAAGTTGACAGTAAGTTTTTAATACTCAGGAGCATTTATATATAAAATTAGAATTTAGTATTTGATAGGAGAGATAGCTTATATATTTAAAACCCCATATTCTAGGCTTGTAGCTAAGCTGTTTATCTGTTCTCTTAGTCTATAATACTTAATTAATTAATGACTCGTTGTTTATTTGCTACTTGCAACTTTGCAAGTATATTTTGCTTGTAAGACATACCTACCCACGATATCTTTTAGACAGTGCTTTCTCCTCCGATTAATTTATAGATATCTCATTTCTATATCCTCTTTAAGTATATGACTAACCACTTGACAGCAATGTTTAAAGTTAAATAAACTATTTTTGAATTGAAACAGCATAACTTACGTAGAACAAATACTTCATAAATTTGGTTGAGCAGAGATATTTTTGTTGAGCAAATATTTTTTAAAAAAAAAACAAAATTTGGGTCGTTTTCTCTTAGGATTTTTATTCTGGGCCTGGGTCTGGGCCCCGTCACGCCACCCCCTAGAGTCGAGTCGGGCCTGCTCGAATTTGAAACCCGTAACGAAATTTTGGTTTTAATCTCCCTCGCCTTTAGTCAATCGAAACCAAAAACTCAAATCTAAAAATCATGGCGGCAATTAGCGAAGAGCAGATGAATCTGCTTCTCTCTAGTTTCGATCAGATCTACGAGGTAAAATCTCGCGATACTCTGTTCCGATCTCTTGTTCTTCGCTTGCTGCTTGCATGATTCTGTTTTGTTTCTCGATAGAAGGAAGGGAAAATCCCGTGATAGGTTGGAAACTAAAATTAGCCTCGAAGGAAATCGTCTGGATTCGATTATGATTACATTCATCTTGAATTCAATCGATTATATCTCGTTCTCTGTTGGATCGATTGAAAGAAAAAATCTGGGTATTACGATCTGCTCATGTTGTAGTTTTTTTTTTTTTTTAAATTCTCGGAGGAGTATTGGTCAGTCAAATCACCGTTGATTTCAGAAATCATCTGCAGATGCCTACAGATTTCAAATTGATTGCTCATAAGGTTATGAAGTTCTTATCAACTGCTAATCCGAAGGATTATATTGTTACAAAAGTCCATCATTCATAGCTCGTTGTGTTTCTCTGAGGTACTTGAATGATTATTTTTTTCCTTCAGGATTTTAAATGCGGGATGAATGAGATCAACGTTTTCAGAACAAAGAGCAATGTTGAAACTAGCAGAAGAGAAGCTCTTGAGATTAGTAACAAGGCTCTTAAAGAAGGTTTGGTTGATTTTTTTTTAGCTTTGCATTCTTTGTACTGCTAGTGTAAGTGTTTTTTTTTTGAGGTATCTAATTGTTTGAATCGAATGAGGAACCTGCAGAGAATGAAAGGCTGAAGAAACTATATACGGAATCTCTAAACAATTTTGTCGATCAGGTCTTTTCCTCTAGAATCCCTGAAGAAATGTAATAAGCTTCTCTGCTTCTCTGTGGCTAATATGATCTGAAGCCCCTTTCTTTATTGGCAATATACAGCTTGAGCATCGAACTAAGTGTCACGGGTTGAAAGAAGAACTGAAGAGAGTGTATGATGAAAGCAAAAGCAAAGAACATGTGAGGTTTTCGATCTCCATACATGTCATCTCTTTGTCAGCATGAGTAATTTCCAAGTGATGCTTGGATCGTTCGTAGATATGAATTTGCTTCTGATATCTCTGGCAAGCTGTGGCAGGAACATAGGAATGCTTTGGAATCACTCAGGCAGAAGCATGTAACGAAGGTTGAAGAGCTAGAGAATAAAATCAGGTAAAAACTATTATTTTTACAACTATTATTTTAACTGACGTGTGTCTGTGATCTATTTGGTAACTACCGCAAACTTTTTTTCACCTACAGAAGCCTTTTGGTTGAAAAGGCAACAAACGAAATGGTAATCGATAGGCTACGCCAAGACTTGTCAGCTAACAAATCGCATGTTCAAGCAATGTCGAGGAAGCTGGATCGTGTATATGCTGAAGCGGAATCCAAATGTAAGAACTAGACAGTACATGATCTTTAAATCTCTGAAGTTTATGTTTTCATCATGGCATACATATGGCTTCATGCTGTAATCATTTGAATAGATGCCCTCGAGATTGAGGATCTAAAGGACTGCCTTCAGATGGAACAAGAAGAGAAAAATGATATCAGTAACAAACTTCAGAGTCTGCAGAAGGAATGTAAGAGTTTCTTCCTCTTCACTAACTCAAGCTCTTATCGAGTGATTCTTGATCCTTAAGAGTTAAAGGGATCACACTGCCAATACTGTGTCTGTCTATGGGAAAAATACAAATTTTCAAGACGATCTAGTTTTGTTTCTTGTTTCTATTTTGCAAAACTAATTGCAGGTCCCTTTATATTGCTTTGCAGTGCTTATTAGTAGAACAACAGTAGCCGAAAAGCAGAGGGATACAACTTCAAATCGACAGGTAGAGACATTGAAGCAGAAGCTAATGAAAATGAGAAAAGAGAATGAGATCCTTAAACGGAAACTATCTTCTTCATAGAACAGCCAGAGGCCAGACTTTGCTCGACTAGTAACTTACTGCTCTGTCCCTGCAACGAGTAAGTTCCGTAAAACCAAACTAATTTTTTTTTTTTTCATATTATTTTAGTAGATGATATATAGTTTGAAAACATACACCAAAACCAATCCTTCTCATCTTAAAGCACATATAAAATGTAAAATTGAAACGGAGCCCTACATAATTTAAGACGGTTTGCGAAACGGGGTTACCTGAGCCATTATTCACTAACCATTGTTATTCAAAACGTGAAATTCACGTCTTCTTTCTTCTGCTACGTGGTTGACAGATTTAACACAAAGAGTAAGCACAAAATAGCACAAGAAATTACAACGTCACAAAGCAGAAAACAAAGAAGTTCGATGTCAAAAATATTACATAGCCCATGCAGCAGGCAAATCAAATAAAAAATAAAACACAACATTTGTTAGCAAAAAAGAAATCAAATAAAACATGACACCGAAATAAACACACTTTCCGGTTGATTATTTGAAATGAAATGGAGGGAAAAAAATAACGGTAAAAAGAAAATGTAGAATCAACGTCCGTTGTTGAAGACTCTGCAGTTTCTTCTGATCTCACCAGAACGTCCTGTAAGAACCCTAAGGGAACCCATTTTCACCATTGCTTCAGCAAATCTCCGCCTAAAGAGGTCATTGTTTTGTGCAAAACTCGACACAATTCCACGGGTTGAACCATCGAGACCCATGTTCTGATCAATTCGTAGGATTCCTCTCTGTCTTTGGATCTCTCCGTAGACTGCGTTATCCACGACAAATGGAGTCCTTTGGTCCAAGAACGCCGTTGGGTCATTTGGAGCACGGCATGTGTTCCTCAACCTTAAAAATATGTACGACTGGGTCAGAGATTTGATCAGATATATCTTAAAATCAACAAGCATTTGATGCTATATGTATCATCAAAGTACGTACTGAGCGTTCAATGTGCGGTCCATTGCCGGGTCGGCTAGCCTATCCGAGAAGAGACTGCAATGCGCAACACCGACACTGTGGCCACCACCAATAAGTGTAACCATATCATCCACATTCATGCCTTGAGCTGCAAATGCTTGGATCGATGCCGACACGGGGATTGTTGGTCCGGGCAAGTTCACATCATTGGGGTTTGACCTAAGTCCATCGCGTCTTCCTGTTGGTATCAAGAAGCTTGGACCACCAGCTAGTGCGATCGCGTCTCTGGTGGCTAGAGCTACAATGTCTGCGCATGAGACAACCCCGGGACACACAGCCTCGAGCTGTCTCTTAGCCTCGTCAATGATCTCGTAGCCTCTCACGCTTGCGTTTGGTCCGGTGCTTTTCTCCGATGGCCTTCCAGGTTTTGGGTCGATCAAGAGGGAAGCATCACAACCCTACACAGCCATTCAGAACATTTCTTGATCAGTGTTAACGTCTACATATTAGCAAGTCCATGATATACACACACAAGGAGAAGCTTACAAACCGTGACAAAGCAATCATGAAACTGCATGCGAAGCAACGCTGCAGTAATGCTACGGTCACGACTGAAATGGCTGGAAACGACACTAGAAATGATAGATCCGGTGCGGTGGCATGACGGGCCGTAGAACCCAAATTGGAGTTGCGCCAAAGCAGAGGGAACAAGGAGACAGAAAAGCAAATACAAAGATGTGATTGTCCTCATTTCGTGTGATGAATGAGCTCTTCCTTGCCCCTCCTAAGATACATATTTATATGTAAATTTTGGGGATAAGACATTGGCAAAGAGAATGTTTCAATTATAAGACGTGCATAGGGTAAAGGTGGATAACAATGGCATTTTTATTGACTGGTTTAATTAAAAGGATGTAACAGTTGTGCTTTAAAAATGTTTGATAAAACAAATGTTATAGATCGTCCTCTACACGTCAAAAGATTGATTATGGCCAACTTGTGAATATATATTGAACAATTTGCGTTTAACATTCTGTCGATTCTTGATTCCCTCAAAAAAACATTCTGTCTTTTGAGAAAGAGTATGTACCATTTCTATTTCGAGAAGTGGATTTGATTGCAACTGTTTTGTGATATACCTTTTTCCCTTCTCAAGTAGAACAAGTTATAGAAAAGAAAAGAAAGAAACTCTGCAAGCATTGGTTCTTAGATTTTAAGAATAAATAGAAAATGGGGAAATGACTCATCAATGATTTGATTCTTAAACTTCATCAATACAGTCAAATTATACACACGAATAACGAGGGAGAAAATTCCATTGATATTTATCTCTAGCTAAAGATGTCACGGGTGAAGATTTGTGAATTTCGGACTCATCAAAAGCATCATATAGATAGTAAGCAACCGATTTAAACATGTAATCATGGTATTCCAGATTTGATTACGTAGGGCTATCCACGATAATGATTTTATTTGTTGAAGGATATCACAAAACTTTGCTTCTCCCGGTCCCGGGATTGAAATCTCTCATAATAGTCCAAGCATATATTTTTTTTATATTTTTCACACATCATATATTCAAAATGAACCACTAAAGGCAAACAAGCAAATGAAAATGAAATATCATGCACAAGTAACATAATATCACACATCACACTAGAGGCCTCTATTTCTATCGTGTGCATGATATTTCTATCGTGTAATTGTGTTGGCCTCGATATCCTTTTTCCTACCGTACAACAGTCCATATTCCTTATATTTTTTCAAATCATAATTATATATTAAATTCGTTGACCAAAAAGAAATTATATATTAAATTATAGATAAAAAATTACCAACGAACGAAATAGTTGAATTGAATTGAACCACATACAATTGCACACAATAAAATAACAATAGAAATCACAGGAAAACAAAAAAGAATACAATAAAATGCAACTTACATATCAAATTTGAAGGAAAGAATCAAATACCGGGAGAAAAAACAAACTTTTGGTTGATTATTGGAAAGAGTAAAAACAAAAAGGGAAAAACAAACAAAGAGTTTGAAGGAAAGTGTAGTAGGATCAACGTCCGTTGTTGAAGACTCTGCAGTTTCTCCTGATCTCTCCAGAGCGTCCGGTAAGAACCCTAATTCTACCCATTTTCACCATTGCTTGAGCGAATCTCTGTCTAAAGAGATTATTGCTTGATGCATATCTCGACACAATTCCACGGGTTGAACCATCGAGACCCATGTTTTGATCAATCCTAAGGATTCCTCTCTGTCTTCGGATCTCTCCGAAGATTGCATTATCCACAATAAACGGAGTCCTTTGGTCCAAGAACACCGATGGGTCATTTGGAGAGCGGCACGTGTTCCTCAACCTTAAGATAAAATTTTCAAACGTGACATACAGATTAGTGGTTAGTACTACAATCGTCTATGTGTTAATCATTCGGATTTAAACCCATGCATGACAAAAAACAATTTAAAAAAGTCAAAGGAACCTAGCATATATGTATATATATATATATATATATATATATAAATTATAAATACGTACCTAGCCTTCAAGGTGGATTCCATCGCAGGGTCGGCGAGCCTATCCTGGAAGAGACTGCAATGTGCAACACCGACACTGTGGCCACCACCAATAAGTGTAACCATATCATCCGCGTTCATGCCTTGAGCTGCAAACAATTGGATGGATGCGCCCACGGGAATGGTTGGTCCGGGCAAGTTCACATCATTGGGGCTTGACCTTAATCCATCACGTCTTCCTGTTGGTACTGAGAAGCTTGGACCACCAGCTAATGCAACCGAGTCTCTGGTGGCTAGAGTCACAATGTCCGCGCATGAGACGGTTCGAGGGCACGCAATCTCGAGCTGTCTCTTAGCCTCGTCAATGATCTCGTAGCCTCTCACGCTTGCATTTGGTCCGGTGCTTTTCTCTGATGGCCTTCCGGGTCTTGGGTCGATCAAGAGGGAAGCATCACAACCCTACACAAATCATTTGAAACATTTCTTGGTCAATGTTACGTCTAAATATTAGCGAGTACATGGTAAACATATATATATATATATATATATATACACAGATACAAGGAGAAGCTTACGGACCCTGACAAAGCAATCATGAAACTGCATACGAAGCAATGCTGCGGTAATGCTACGGTCACGGCGGAAACGGTTGTTAACAACATTTCTAACGATGGATTCGGCTCGGGGACATGACCGGCCGTAGAACCCAAACCGGAGCTGCGCCAAAGCAGAGGGGACAAGGAAACAGAAAAGGACAAACAAAGCTGCGATTGCCCTCATTTTCGTATGATGAATGAGCTGTCTTCCTTTTGCTTCTCCTCTGGAAACTAAGAAACACTTTTTGGATTGTGTGTTTAGTGATGAAATTGTTAGTGCCCGTAAAATGCATATTTATATGTGAATATAGGGGACATGACGTTGGCAAAGAGAATGTTTCAATTAGAAGACGTGCATAGGGTTAAGGTGGATACATTGACAGTTGATGGTTTCAAGGAATATACATGATTGATTTATGTATTATTAGTGTGTTTCAATAATGTTCCATAATAAAAGGTTAAGAGTTGGTCCTCCACACGTCAAAAGACCAACAAGTTGGAATATATATTTTGAACAGTTTTTCAAAGTCGCATTCTGAAAGAGTACCATTTCTATATGTCGAGAGGTGGGTGGATTTTGTTTAAGCGCTGACTCGTTTAACTATGCAATTGTTTTGTCATACTTTTTTGGATTCCGTTTGGACCCTTTCAATCAAATCATATTAAATATTAATTTTCATTTCTTCTTAATATATAGATATATATATATACCCATACCAACCAAAATCGATAAAATATTAGTCGTTATTAAGTCGAGAAATTATAATTAACAGAGAAAGGTTTTCAACATGTACCCTGAAAGAACCAAGAGAGTTCCTTTTAATCACACAATCGATTCATGTATGAACTTTAAAAACACAACTCGCATGTGTAGGTTCTGCTGAAAATGATTTCAGATTACCATCATGATATAAAGATGTATGAAATTACTACATTTTTGGCCATCACAGAATTCAGCCTGACGGTCAAAGTGTACTAAAAACAATTGGAGCCTTGCTAACAATCTTTAAACTTTAAAACGTGATGACTGTATGCAGATGAATTTTGAAGACGGCGCTTCATTTGTGGAGTCCCCGTAAAGTTATCTTTCTCAAAATGGTTCTTCTGAATCCGACCAAACAAAGCTTCGCTCCCTAGCTCTAACTATAGAAAGCTCTCTACATCAAAATAAAGAAGCTACGACATTGACAGGTAATTTCAAAAATTGTTCGTTCATAAGTAAACTTTAAACTCTAAAAACTGAAAAAGTCATTCTGATTTTTGAGAATAATCTCTTAAACAATACCAAACAAACACCAAAGCGGACAGGATTAGAGAAACAAAACAAAACCCTCGAAACTATTGTTATTTGATAGTGACCAGAAACGTCGTGTAAAACATATCGTGACTAGAAAAAAAAAGAAGAAAAAAACAGGCACCTAGATTTACATTACACAATCAACTACATTGGCTCTCTAGCACTTGTTCTTTCCTCTCTATATTATAGAATGAGCCTTTCTCTTAACAGAAATTAATCTGGAAATGAATTAAACCTCGTAAATAACACACAGAGCACACGATTCAAAGATTGTAACTGCTGCTGTAGCCACCAACATCAGAAGCTGGTCTATATTCCGTACCATAAGCTTGCCCAGTCAGCGACGGCGTGTAGGTCGAAGGACCCGCCGGCTGCTGAGGGTATGAGGTTGGTCTGTACTGCACCGTCTCTGTGCCCATGTAGTTGCTCGAGAGCGGCTCTTGACGGTTACTCAGCTGAGGAGGATATGAGGGTACATAGCCAGTGTCGATTCTTGCAAATCCCCCTGAAACCGAAGCTGGTTCCTTGTGATTGCTGATGAACTCCTACACACACGTAAACAACAAACACCAGTTTTATGGCGAGGAATGATGCAGACGGTAGTATGCAAAGGAAGCTTAGCCTTAGGCTTATAGATGGAATGTGTTCTTACTTGAACTAGTTGCTGAGCAGTTTGTACTTGAGAAGATGTGCCTTTGATTTCCACCGTGATTTCATCAGGATGTGGACTTTCTTGAATAGTTATGGTCGCTCCGCTTCTTCGACGGATGTAGGCTATATTAGCTCCTTCTACACCAATAATATCCTCAGCATAGGAGAATGGTATTTGCATCGTTTGAGATACCTAGTAAGAAAAACCCATTATTGAAACGTCTTTACTTGTTCCGATACATAAACATAGATGTGATAAGATCAAAACCGTCAGTATAAAACTGATCATCATAACAAGTAACCAAGGATAGTGATAACCGTTTTAACAATTTGAGGATATGATTCTGTAATGAAATCTACCTGTGTAACAAAAGCAGCAGAAACCCGAGCAAGACCAGGAGAGTGTCTGGAGGACAGTACAGGATCCTGACTGTAGATAGAAGCTCCTGAATGCTGAGCACGTGACTCCAACCGAGGATCCCGCTCCATAAACAGAGGTTCTCTCCGTGCTAAGAGGGAGAAATCAGACTCGATTGTATTTGACGAAATATTATGGAGAGATGATGACTTGTTATCAGATAACGGTTCTTCCTGACGCACTTGAGAGACTCTAGCTAGATACTAAAAGATAAAAGAATTACAAAAGTTAGATAGTTCAGAAAGAACCCAAAAAAAGAGAGTGAGAAACGCAACGAAGTAGTTGTTTCAGACAACCATGACGCTTACTTGCTTCTCGAAGAGAGGAACCACTGTATGGTCTACTAGAAATTTCCTTAGATGTCCGACTATAGCTTCTAACGCTTTTACAATCTTCAGAGCTTCCCCCTGCAAATCCACTATCCTCTCATCTTGCGCAGCATAAAATGGTGTTTCATCTGGCAAAAAAAAAGGTACAGTTTACATATTACTACTCACCTGAACTATACAGCATAAGATTTCAGAAACAGGAAAGTGGCAACAGAGGCATAAGTTTCTAAAGATGAGTTAAAGAAGAACTAACTGAACTTAACAAAGACCAAAAAAAGAAATCCCTTTGATAAAAAAACAATCAAGTATACCTTCTGATAATATACGAACTGATGCACCAGAGTTCTCTACTATTGATTTAATCAAGGATCCTTGTTTTCCGATTAAGTTAATAGCCTGCGTAGATGCAACTAATAAACGCACTGAGCAGAAGGCACTTCCGGCGTTTTGAACGTCATCATCATCATTATCGGGCAATCCTGAAACTCGTCTAAACACCCTTACGACTGCGTCCATCGCAGGGGACATGTAAGCCTCTGGCTCTTCCTTTCCAGATATTAGCACCTAAAAAAACATCACTAATTGTTTTAAGAGCAAGAAATCACTTAGTCGACACTTAAAAACAGAAACTAATCAAATCGCGCAACTTCAGCTCAAAGTTTACAGCTTTTACCGAGAAAAAGCATCACAAGAGCTGAATGTTAAGACAGATTTGTACCCGAATCAATGATCATACCCAGGAATTTTACTAACGATGCTTGCCTAATTCTCTCCAATTATGTAAACGAAGTTACAACCGTGAAAAAGAAAACCTAGGGATATAGAAAAAACAATTTCCCAATTTGGATAGCTTTGCACACAGTGAAGCAAGACGATAAAGGGGATAGAGAGAGGGAGAGGAAGATACTCACGACGCGATCGGGAGTCGTAACGGGACCATCAATGACTTTGATGCGAGCACGAGTCTCCTCGCACATCTTCTTAATGAAATCTCCTTTCCTTCCGATGATAGCTCCGACCTTAGTCACCGGAACGATCATACGAAACACGCAATCCCCAGGCCAACCTGGCCATCTCTCCGCCGCGGAATCGTTCGTATCGGGGGCAGCTTCAGCAGCTAAACTATCCGGCTGATTCAATTCAGGAAAGGAACCAGAGTTTTCTTCAGGGAATGCGATGGTACTGGTTCCCGCCGGTATGTGATTTTCATTGTCAGGATAGTTTATAGTACCGTTCTCCACGGAATCTGCGACGGCGGCCATTAGAACCGGCGAGAAAAAAAAAGATAGCGAGCGAGAGAGAAAGAGAGAGAGATTTTAACCTCTGGTTATAGGAATCGGCGCTGTAGCTTAGACGATGTCGTTTCATTCTGAGGTTTGGGCTTTCGATTAATAACGTAGATGAGACCCGTACTGATACACAGATATCACTTTAACTTTTAAGCCCATGAGCTTTATACTTTTCTTTTTGACAACTTCAGCTATATAATACCCCAATAATATGAGCTTTATACTTTTCTTTTTGACAACTTCAGCTATATAATACCCCAATAATATTCGTACTCTACTTGAATATACTATGTTCGATCGTTTATTTTTTTTTGGGTATGAATGTTAAAGATTTTTACCATTTTCTGAGAATACAATGTTGTTGTAGTAAATTTGTGTTTGATTGTTTCTATGAGTTCAGATTACGTTATCACGAGATATGGGATCAACTTTATTCTTTTTTAAGAGTGTTGATTAGTTTACTTACCTCCTATATAATACAAAGTCACTCTACTCGTCATGGGTTTAACGAAGGTTCTATTTTGCTCCTCCCATGTAGGGTAGACTTCTTTGAAACTTTCTGTATGTAAATAGCATATATTATATTTTACGTACGGTTGTGAGTATAAAGACAACCTAATTAAATAATTGAGATGAAAATGCATTATTCATTTTACCGCAATTGAACATATCTTATGTTTTGGGAGATTTAGTTATTATATATCTTGTCGTAATATACAATATGCAATGGGGAAGAAAGGGACGTGACCTAGAAATTATCTGCTGTCCCAGAAGATACTTTATCTCTCTCCGTGTCCTTTTTGTATTTTTAGGTTTTTAACTTTTCTATTCAATTTTTTTTTTTTGACAACCTTTTCAAATCAATTTTTTTTTCTTTCTATGTTTCAAGTTTTTAGATCTTAATTTGGTTATATGTTTTTTTGGATCAGAGACTATAATGAGTATTCTTTAGAAACCCAAAATCTTTTCCCCAAACGGAAGTAGAACATATATGCATATAGCCCACGGAATTAACATGGATGCATCATCTTTATATATATATATATATATATATATATATATATCTTTTCTATAAAAACTTTTAAAATAGTCTTCTAGTTTTCTTTTTTACATATTTTCATAGAAATAATAAATAATCATCACTTTCTAAAATTTGAATGCACAATTGTTTTGATATGCTTTCATTTTGCTGATCACTCGAGAACTAAATATTCTCCATTCATCTTTCTTTTTCTTTATAAATGTCTTACACTAATTAATTAGTTCTTAGCGTTTTTTATTTAACACGTATATATTTTTTTAGACATTACTTAGGAGATTCCTGGCTAAATTCTGGTTAATTTTTATAGGGTGGTGTAAAATTTTAATACCCTCTCATCAGAAAAATTAATAAACCTAAAACATTACACTATTTCGATTGTTCGAATAAGAACAAAACTATTTTTGGTAAAAATTAAATTCAAGGGATAATTACTTGTTCTTTTTGTTCTTAGTTTTTTCTTTTACTTTGTTTTTTTCTCATTGGGTTAATTACCAGTGAGTTCCAAAGTTTATCATAAGGAATGGAAAGCAAAGTGAAAGAGCACAGCTGTTCCATGCCGAATCAAAATTTGGGGATTTATAGGGCAAAACACATATGTGTATGAGTATGTATATGTTTACACTAATGGTCCCCTCTATACACGTAAGAGAAGAGAGTTCACTTGTAGTTTGTAACCATTCGGGTCAATCTTGTACTGTACAGTGCCCTAATTGACTCCCAAGGGTCGCATGCTTAATACCATACTTATACGAATATACATTTATCAGCTTCTATTTTTCAGTTACATGTAACTTTTTTTTAGTTAGTTTTTAAAAATTTCTTGCATTTTTATTAGCATATTCGATTTAATATTAACTTCATCATTATTAACGTTTGGAATCTGACTCTCCAACACCAATGAAAGGTCAAAGAATATACTAGTATATTTAAACCAAAGGCGAACACAACAGATGATGTGAGACTGTGAGTTTCACGAAACGAGTGAGAGAAGATCGGTTGAAAAGTCAAATACACAACTGAATCGTCTATCTCCATCAATATATGCTCCTACTCTTTTCTTCAAAAACTTTCTATCTTTTTAACAGTACGTATAGCTTATATATTTATTATTGGAACATTAAGAAAAAAAAAACAAATGTTATAAAGGAAAAGAAAATGAAGAAATAAAAAGGAGAAGAAGAGAGGTCACATGTTGTCATATGAAAAGAAGTGTAATAACATAAGAAGACTCCAAACAAAAAAAAGTACTGGGATGGACTTTGCAGACAGTGGCAGAATTGGCAGACAGGTTTATCCTCTCTTTTCTAAGTTATCATCCTATATATGTCCACATATGATCACTCCATAAACTGAACATATACATTACATTTTAAAAATTTGAAGGAAACAAATCTATCTTACTGAATAATGGAATATTTGTTAGATGTAATGTGAATGTACAAAGTAAGTCTTGAAATGCTAAATTGTGAAATATCATATTGAAATGGTTTGAAATACTCGATTGTTTACTACTGTTAAAGGCTAAGAAAAAAGTTGAATGAATATTTTTAGATTGGATATTGGTTTGTTTTTTGAAGTTATGTAAATTAAGGTGGACATACTGACGCAATTAATTTTGACTTTTAACATATATATATTGGTATCCACCCACGAAATCACATCACATGGCTCCAATTTTTACAAAACTTCCAATCAAATCATACTGACGCAATTCGCGAGGTTTTTGTACGTGAACTTCGAGTTACAAACTCAAGATAGTGCATAGTGGATATATCTCATATATACATGAGGAAATCCGTGTAATTAATGTAGTAGTAACCATTCTAAGATCTAAACTCACATATGAACAAAAAGAAAACAAATTAATCTTAAAAAAAATCTAATGATCCCATTGAACGTTATGAGGCAAACGTATGATACCAAATGGGTCCAATCGTCTCTCTCTCTTTCTCTCTCCACATTTTCATTTTAAACTAATTGAATATGAACATTCGTTTCTGGAAAAGATACGAGTTACCCAAATAGTTATACTATAGGCAAATATAACTCTTGTGTTTAGTGGTTGATAGTTTACTCCAGTCATTGGTTTCTATGGATATATGTCTGACACTAAACTTATATTCGAACCAATAAGTCCAGAATAAGAAACAACAGATGGTGCTTTTATTCTCGTTGACATACATCGAGGAATTTCTTAATTAAGTTTATATAAGAAACTTTCAGTGTTCCAGCTTTGGACAAATCAGTTAACTTCTTTCTTTTCTTTTTCAAAAATATATGTGAACCTTGTATAGTTCATAACTACAACTTCTTAAGTAACTCTTTGGAATATGGTGAAAAGGTTTCCTAGTGTAAAAGAAAAACACCACGTCACTACAGAAATCTAACTCATGCAATGAAATCAAGTCACGTAAACAGATAAGGTGACCTGTTAGGTTTTCTACATTACAAAGCCGAAATGTTTTTAACAGGTGGGTGGTTTATGATGCTTTCGAAACTTTAGAAATAGTCCAGTACACCACCCCATCATTAACGTAGTTACTTGTCATCTGGAAATATCAGATAAGAAAAAAAAATTTAATCTAATTATCCATGTACTTTTAAGTGCTACAAAAATGATTATACTAATTTTCACTTCATTCCACTATATTTTATTATTCAGAACTTTTGTTAAATTTTAGGTTTTTTCTTCAGAAAAATTGATCCAACTATATATGATTGACATGTTAAAATAGCGAATAAATCTAATAAAAAAATGAGTATTGCGTTTTATTATCCAACGAAAACTTCATATATATATATATATATTTAACCTTTGCTGAATACTTCATATATTAAGCTAGCTGGAACTTTTATAATACGGCTAGTATTAATCTAACAAGCTGAATTAATCTGTTTTCCCTTATAAATTCAGCCAAAAAAACTAAAAAAACAATACTTCTACTCATTATCTTCAAAGAAATTACATTTGATTTTCTTCCCTATAGGCTCTATGCCCCTACTCTTACTCTCTCTATCTCTCTCACCTTTTCACTTTTTTCACTCAGTAATCACTATTCACCGTCATTAATTAACAGAGCCTTTTATTTGACTATATAAACTTTGACAAACCATAACGGATCTTTTATCTTTTCTTATACCATCTCGTGACTCTTCCCAATCCAATCGGTGCCTCTTTCTCTCTCTCTCCCTCGTTGGGAAAATCTTACTTCTCTCTGCCTCTCTCTAATCTCAGTTGTTCATTGGGTTTTTCTTTTGTAGGCAGGAGATTAAATGAACACTGTGCTTTTTCTTTCCTTTCTAATCGATATAATCTTTCCTTTTCTTCCCTCTTAAAGTTTTGACCTTTTTACTAAATTTAGTAAACAAAGATTTTGTCAGAGGTTTAGGGTTTATCATCATCCTATAGAAACACACAAAACAAATCGATTCGTTTCCCAAAGCTCTACAAAAGGGAAACCTTAAAAAAGCTTCTTTCTCACACGAACAGTGAAGTTCGTACGATTCTCAGAATTTTTCTGAATCAAAATTTTCTCCTTTTTATTTTCTTTTATAATTTTACCGTAGCTAAAAATTAGTTACCCCCTTAAATCCAACAGTTATCGAGATTTGCTTCCACACTGAAGATTTCTGAACTGATAATAATTAATAAGTCAGTCCTCTGTTTTCTTATTTTTCCCGGAAAATTCAGAGGTTTGTTCTTTTCTTTTCTAATCGGCAGAGAAATGTCGTCTTGTCTAAGCGGCGGCGCTGCCTATAGCTTCGAGCTGGAAACGATGAAATCGCCGCCGTCGAGAACCGCCTCACACAACACTCCTTCACCGTCATCTACAATCTCCGACTCCAATTCTCCTCCGCTCGCAATCTCCACCAGAAAGCCAAGAACTCGACGGAAACGTCCGAATCAGACTTACGACGAAGCTGCTGCTCTTCTCTCCACCGCTTACCCAAACATCTTCTCTTCCAAGAAAAAAACTCCGTCGAATCCTCTGTTTCTCAGCGACTACGACGAAACTTCCCAGTTGCTTCTGCCGTTTGAGTCCATCGAGGATGAGTCTGATTTTCTGTTCAATCCCTCGATTCAGACGAAATCGGATCACTTTTTCGAGCATAAAGAGGTCAATTTCGACGACAACGAAGTGAACCGGTTCGGTATTTTCGACGATTTCGACGCGGAATCGATTCTGGACGAGGAGGTTGAAGAAGGGATCGATAGTTTTATGGGGAACATTGAATCCAACGACGGAGAGAATCGTGGAAATGGAGAATCTGGATTTTCCGGGAGGAATTGTCACAGAATCTGCCGATTAGGGGAAATGATGAAGAGTCCTTGGTATGGAGGCTCAACGGGATTCGGATTCGCCGGAAACTTGAACTTAGGGCTCGGATTGAGGAGCGCTCTCCGGGAAAACGATGACTTGAACTGGCGCAGATTTCCCACCGTGGAATTCGAACAGATCTCGCCGAGGATTCATGTCACCACAATCGACGTCGCTTCAGCCGCCGCAGCTAATGGCGGCAAATCCAACGCCGTGGATAGTGGGAAGAATAAGATGATCGCGACGGCGGCAGGAGACGAGAAAAAGAAGAAGAAGAAGAAGAAAAAAGTGGCTCCGGCGGCGGAATTGAAGAGCCCCGAGAACCAGAATCCGATATCGGAGCAGAGAGTGAGTCCGTTTTTGAAGCTGGACTATGATGGGGTTTTAGAGGCTTGGTCCGATAAGGATTCGCCGTTCTCCGACGAGTTTCTGGGTTCGGACGCTGCCGGATCCGACGTCCATGTACGTTACTTTACTCTCTGACTCTGATTACTCTTTCCCGCCGCAAATTCACATTTCAACTTTTGTTTTTGTTAATTATGTAAATTATTCAAATTTGATTTATCCGTAATTTATTGTAACAAGGGATCTACTAAATCCTGTGACAAGATTGGACACGTGACGTCAGATTTGCCGCTGAAAAGAGTGTTGTCTTTTCAAACTTTATAAATGTTTGACAACCAATCGAATTAAACTTCTGAGTATTTGATTCTGGCAATTGCATTAAAAAGTGGAGTTCTAATATAAAAAAATTTCTATTTTTGTATTCAAATTCTTAATAGTTTTCTATTGGTTTCATTGTTTTTTTTTCTCCGAACGATTGAGCTTTAAATTAATATCTATCGATCTACAGAAATTAACGAGAAATCCATCTTATCCATGTTTTTATATGATATATCTAAACTTGCATGGAGATATTTATCAACCAAAAAAAACATGAATATATATGAGTGAACTTCATTGACGGAGAGTCCTCGCTTTGTATAGACAGCGGTACAAGCAGTCCTGGAACTAATGAAGAATGAATGATTTTTTTAGAAACAACTGCAAAGTAACTAATGTGTGAGGGTTTCGAACAGGCAAGGTTGGCCGAGATAGATTTGTTCGGAGAAAGCGCAGTGAGAGAAGCTTGTGTGTTACGGTATAAAGAGAAACGAAGGAATCGTCTCTTCTCCAACTCCAAAAAAATCCGATATCAAGTTCGCAAACTCAACGCCGATCAACGACCCCGTATGAAGGTATATATATCTATCTATCTGTATATTCTAGTCTTGCAATGTGAATGAACAAACTTATCTACAGTATGCTGTATGTATATATAATGATGATTAGGGTAGAAAATTAGAAATGATACTATAATGTTAATAGATTTGATTTGAGCTGCCGTTTAGGACAAATGTACTAATCATAATATTGTTGGTTGTCTCATCGACAGGGGCGATTTGTGAGAAGGCCCAATGTAAGGAACTTCAGTGGGTTACGATTCTAAGAAGAAGAGTCGAAAGAGCTTGATCCCTTTTGATTCTCGTCTCTTTTGTTTATTCATGTTTACTGGTTTTGTTGTGGGAGACTTTCAACTTCAGCCTCTCCATCTTTGTTCTTTCTTATACTGACACCCTGTGCTTTTTTTTTGTGTGTCTTAAGGGAATGGGGAAGAAATTTAGTTGATTCGGGAAAGTAAAGAATAACAATGAATAAAACTTTTTTTTGACTTTTGTTGGAAACCATGTCATGATTCATATTTGTAAACATTGAACACTATTAACGTCGAGGATATGATGATTTAGTGGAAAAAAATGTTATATATATTGCACATGAACTTTGAATTGGAGTAAACATCGTTGTAATATATACATAGCAATTTGAATATTATTTAAATTTCTTCTTTATATACGAACATACTCAAAAGTCAAAACCGTACTGTTACATATCTTTTTTTCCGATCATATTGTCTCGCAAAATGACATCATGCATAAATATAAACAGTCTTCATGCATAGATACAGTATACTAGGATTGTTACTGCACACTCTTTCAATTGAAAGCCGAGCAAACTCGTCGAACCTCCCCTTGAAAGCCAGTCTTCACCTGAATCTTCCCCATCTTCACTATTGCCTTTACGAAATCGGATTCGAACGATGGGCCAAAGAGCAGATTTTGAAACCCAACATAGGAATCCACGACCCGTCGGGTCGTTACATCCTCGTAGAGTCCCGCGTCGGTCTGAAGCACGGCGAAACCATCCTTTATATTCTGCAGAATCTGCTTGTCGAATAGCCGGTCAGTGGTCCGGTCCATTGGTAACCGGATGTTTATGTCACCGTTTTGTGGGCACCGAGTGGTTAATTCGGGTAGAAATACCGGATTGATGGTCGGGTCGGGTTGGCCGCCGGGTAAGAAATTGTAGAGGCGTTTGGTCATGAAGAAGCAGGCCGTTGTTCCAATAGTGTGAGCAGCTGATAAAGGTAGATAGAAGAATTATTAGGACGAACGGACGCTGGATCACTCGAGTGTTGTTGAATGGAGATGATTATCATATAGTTTATATCTTTTCACTACCTTAAGCTAAAAGCACTGTTTTTTTTGTATCAAAACTTTTCTCATATTCTACTTGAAATGTAATTAAATATTTATATGACAAACTGAGTCGGACCAGGTTTAAAACGCATGTGATCTTGAGCTACTGTATAAGACTTGCATGTTGATAGTATCTTTTTTTTGGGCCACACGTGCAAGTTTGATCATGGTCCGAATAAAAGAATATGACGGAATTGCCGATCGTACATAACAGGCCTATTTTCGTGTGAATCATATAGTCATGACATTTCTGGGCCATGCCTGATTTAGAGGACAAGATGACAGAAAATCAAAACACTTTTGCTAAAATATCACTCATTTTGTTTATGGGTTTTGTTGGTAAAAGTCTAAAATACAAAACCCATTTTTTCTCTTCAACTGACAACCTTTTCACAATTCATCATCCAAATTTTCCATGAAAACTTTTTTCGGAGCAAGAAAAAACTGCTGGCTTAGCTAGAAAAATCCAATATTTTTTTTTGATTTCAGTTAAAAAGGTCGACCAAAATTTCGTAACGCACGGAGTCGCGTCACGTGACATCAACACGAAGAAAAAGAAGACACGGACGAAACATGACAAACACATCACGGACTTAGGAAATGAGAACTCATATAACTTGAACTTCGTACCAAAAAAACTCGAGAGATTCGAGACCACCAAACATACATGTATGAGAGAGAAACGAAAAGTAGAAGAAGAAGAAGAAGAGATACATACCACTGAGAAGGACGAGTTCTTTAGCGTTGAGTCCCTTCTGCATGAATTTAGCCTTAAGTATCTCAATCGAGTCACTCACATCCGGCATGTCCTTAGCCAGCGATAAGTTCGAAACCCGACCGTCTCTCCGCCCAGTTGGCACATCATACGCCGGTCCATTCGCCTGTTTGATGAATTGATCACAACGGAGAAGAAAACAGAGAAAGATTCGAATTTCGAAAGGTTTTGTTTTTTCTCTAATTTTTTTTTTTTTTTACCAAAGATATGGCATCACGTGCAGCCAGGGCAACAATGTCTGAGCACGAGACAACACCGGGGCATGCAGCTTCAAGCTCGGCTTTGACGGTTTCTACTATGTCAAATCCTCTAACACCTTCATGCCCGAATGCATTCTTCTCAGAGATTTCTCCGTTGTCCACGAGGATCGAGCCGTCACATCCCTGAACGTGGTTTGTGGTTAAATCTTCTGAAGATAGAAGCAATAGGAGAAAGCACAAAGAGAAGGAAAGTGCGTTGTACCTCGACAAAGCAGTCATGGAAATGGAGCCGTAGAAGTATGGCTGGGAGGTTAAGGTCGGAAAGAGCAGCTCGTGAGACGACAGTGCTAACGATTGCCTCAGCTTGCGGACATGTATTCGAGTAAAACCCGACTTTGAGATCAGCAAGAGAGACGCCGAGAAAAACCGTTACCAGAGACAAAGCAAGACTAACCTTAGCCTTTGTCCACACCATTTGTGCTTTTAGTAGATTCAGCTCAACAGAGAACTAGATTACAAAGGGAGAGCGAGAGAGAGAGGAGAAAAAGAAAGAACGAGAGTTACAGAGAATGCATTTACATTACGACAGATATAAAGAAAGACATGTGTTTAACCATATTTGCATGTAAGATTGTCAACTAGCAAAACCGCTTATAAAAAACAAAACACAATAAAATATTAACAAGTATCAATGCCCGGACATACTGGTGTTGTATATACAGAGCAAAGTCATTGTGTATCAAACAAAGAGGACTTGAGCTTGTGATGGAAAAGAGAAAATTTTAAAAAAATCAAGCCAGACCAAACCAAAGCAGATAATCCGTAGGTTCTGTACTAACTCACACACATAGTTTGGAGCAGTTCAGGATTCAAGAGAAAGGTTTTCCAGCTTTGGAAAGGAGACACCTAGTTGCATTCCGACAGTAACTAATGTCTCCAAGGACCTAGCGCTGTTAGCTAAGAGATCCTCATCAATCTTAATCGAGTCCTGCAAATACGTGTCACATGAAAGGTAAGGTTGTTGCAGATGCATGCACTCATCTAGGGATGGTATTATGAAAATGTATGGTATTTTGTCACAAGATTTTTAAATCAAGAAACTTTGATTGCTAGGGTTTGGAAGCTCTTAATTCAAATTTTCGGTTTTGCTAGCTTCGAAGAGATCAGTAGTGGCAAGAATTTTCGAATTCATGTTTTATATGTAGATAAAAGCTAACCTTTTCAAAGACGCATATAACTGTGCTTCCACCAAATGAGAAGTAACCAAGCTGGAAATAGAAGAATGTTTAGCAATCGCTTGCATAAGAAACTATTACCTATTTTTCAATTACAAAAATGATTCAGAATTGCTTACCTCGTCCCCTTTCTTCACATGGTCTCCCTCCTGTCTAACAAATGTGATGCTACCAACCATTGTTGCTCCAATCGCAACAAATGCGACCTGTTACAGACAATAAGCTCAGGTCAAGTTCCGTAATAAGATTAGTTTATAAAATTCAGCATCATTGAGTTCACAGCACTACGCACAGATAATTGAGAAATAATTCGCTTTAGCAGACAGAATAATGTATGACTTATACGAGATGACAGACCTTTCCAAACTCGGCTGTTGATATAATTACGACGGTCCGTTTATTCTCAGTGAACACATTACAGTACTTGCTATTGACTGCAATCGGATTAACCTGAGAAGCAAGGTAGATTTAACAAGAAAAACAAAAGTAACTCCAATAAGAAATTACGAAAGAGAAGAATGAAACTCTTCAGAATATAAAGACAGATGGATCAGTACATACTGTATATAGGCTTCCAGAAACATTGACAAACTTTTCAATGACGCCAGAGACAGGAGAATGGAAACGATGATAGTCCTGTAACAGATCAATAAATGCATAAAAGGAGGGAACAAAACAACTGTAAATGTTTTAGCTTTTTGGTCGAAAGACATGAAGCATATGCAGTCTTATCGCACCTGCGGAGCCAATCGGAATATCGCCAAAGATCCATCAAGGAAAGCATCCGAATGCACATCCTTCCCAAGAAGGCCTTTAATTGAGAACTTCCGGCCCTACCAATATGGAAAACAGTTTACAAATTTAGTATAGGGAGCATCACTTATCTTAGAGAGTTATTCTACAAAATTACTATATTGTAGCTATTCTGGAGGCCGGTTTTACCTTGATCCAGAACCGTGTGCTATCATCCACCGTTTGAAATGCCATTAATCGACAATCAGCAGCAGATACAGCAACATCATCCCGTTCCACGCATGCAACTGGTCTTGCACCAGGCTTTAACTCCCGTATGAAGAATTCATTGAACGTCTGCAAGTGAAATGACCATCTTTCAAATCCATGAAAAGTACACTAGTTTACAGTTAAGCAAATTACGAATCCGTTTTTTTCATGTCTTCGATAATACCGGCAGAGAGTTTAGCTTATAACTTACCTCATCATCACGTACGTGTTTATTTTATACAAAGTCATACCTAGACCCGAGAATTGCCTTTGGTTAAGATCTCAATTCCAAGAATTAGCAACATTTTTTTATTTAAATATCACGATTATGATCATACCAATGAGTTTCCCTTTGCATACCTTAAAATGGTCCAGAGGATACTTGACTTCAGCCATGTTTATTTGATCCTGAAACAAACAAATGATTCAATTCTAGGCGTTCATGTAAACTTACAAAAGATTGGACTGTCAACTGATCTAGTGAAACCTAGAAATCTGGTGAAGCAATTTCAACCTAACCATTGTTATTACTATAGCATAAGATAGGACTGTCAACTGATCTAGTAATTATCGGTTTTCTGCTAATATCCATGGAAGTTTTCTACGATATTCTGTGCTTAGCTTAATATCACATTTCAATCAGGTGTTATTAAACTCCAAGCCACAAGCCAAGTTGTGCCAGGCTTAAACTCAAACGCCGTTTGACACATAATAACATAACAAAGGAGGATTTCATACCTTGAAGAACTCTAGAAAGCTGGGTATATTTTGGGCAGATTCAACTGAGTTCATCTTCTTCCCCTGCTTCTCAGAAAGGTTCTGCAAAATCTCTTTTGCTCCTGCATCAAGGAGATTAATCCAGAATGAAGAGTTGTTTGCTTTGATGCAATGGCAAGAATGTGTAGCTTGTGGGCACAAAGTATGCGGTGAATGAAACCTTGGTCCATAAGCCGAAGTCCAATTTTTGACTGGTAAATAGCTCTCATCGACATAACAATCTTTGAATCAATCAACTCTTCTACGAGCCTCTTAGTCTTCCGATCAATAACCTAAAGCAAATATCAAGTAAATGTAACCACAAAAATTGATAGGAGGAATGTAAAAGAATATTAGGCTTTCCCCCAAGCTAGAATTTTCTGAAGTTAAAATGATTTTAAGAATACAGAAAAGTCAGATAACTTTATAATTGGCCTCTATATTAGTTGTTGATCGTGACATAAAGCTGTAGAGGAAACATACCACGATATGTGAAGCACTTGACCCAGTATTCAAACCAACATCATAAGTTGATAGATGAGTCCATTCACTTAGTTTGAACATCCATCTGACAAAATGTTAAAAACTTTAATGCTGATCAAGCCAAGAATACTAATTATCTAGAATGGCTGATCAAAAACTAAAAAAAAAGTTGAGGAGCCTAACCCATATGAAGCCTGCCTATCAGTCAAGAACCCTCCGGTCATCGTTTGATTACCAGTTCCTTCGTCAAAACAGAGAGTCATATGGATCATTGCGTTGAGCTTGTCAGAGATTTGAAGAGCCTCACCACAAACCGGACAACTATTTATAATTGGCTCGCTGCAAATGCAATAGATGTACGCAAATTACTGGGATTCAAGGGAGTGTAAATCAATATGTATAAACAGAGCTTCTCAAAATAGGCAATGTATATAATGTTATTACTGTTCTTGTTGAACGGCAAGAAGCGCAGCCAACTCATCAATCGTAACAGCGCCATCTCCATTAAGGTCAGCGGCTTTAAACAACTCTTCTTTCTGGTAATCAAGTCAGTGACAACATCAAAAATGCCTTCAGAAAAATGCTGAGGAGTACAACTTTTTAGACTAACTGCCACTACAACACTTGGAAACAAACACATATGCATAAGGGCAAACAACAGATAGAGGTGACAAAATGAAGGTCAAACCTTATTAGCAGCAACTAGATTCCCAAAAGCATTCATCAGATCAGAGAACTCTGAGAATGAGAGATGTCCATCTTCATCATAGTCCTGCGCTTAGATGAAGGACTCCATCAATCAATTATAAAGGCTGCAGGATGCCATAATTTTTTTTTTATAGAGAAACTGCATAAGAAACCATTGAAAGGAAAAAGGCAGCTCATAGTTTCTAACTGAAAGAAGTGTCCACCAAAATAAACAGAAAATAAAACTTCACAAGACAAAAAAATGACATTTAAGCAACGCATACCACTATGGACAAAATACGCTTCGCAAAACATGTCTCGGTTTCAACAGGATCCTGCGAATTGTTAGCAAACGAAAATCAGAAACCATTTTCCCACCACAATCCTTTAACCGCTGTTATATAACTTTCTAACGTAATGCATACCTCAACGGAGCACGAAATGAAGATGTTGCCAACAACATTAGATGAGGCCGGATCCAACAGGTCAAATGACTTGCAAGTAGAGTCAGGTTCCTATATCATATTGCAAACAAGACAAACAAAATAAGTATGACCACAAACAATCTTCTCATTTATCTTTCAAGGCATTGCAAAATCTAATCCATGCACCAACAATGATCAGCTAAATAGTGGCCCCTCAACCAATGAAAGAACAAAAAATACTGAAAATAAAAAGGTGGAAGAATCATCTTTAACTGCTGACCTGCACTACAAATTCAAGTAGATCAAGCTCGCAATAACCGATGATATTGTTCTTCAAGAGCCTATTGGTCTGCATCAAGAAAAGGAACTCATCTCAACCGATCAATACTTAAAAAGTAAAAAATGCAACTTAACGCCAAAATCTAGAAAGAAGAAAGTCAGCTGATAATTTCACACCTCAAATACAGAGATCCTAGCCAGACTTGGTCCATTTTTCTCCAGGAGGAGTTTCTTTTGCTGTTACAGAGAAAAAAAGTATATATACAAACCGATAATCCCAAACTATTTCAAAAGGAGCTTTAGAAAACAGAATCCGGTAGTTTTCTTACCGAGTTCCAAATCGGCTTATCCGTACTGCAAAATCATCAGAGAACAAGACGACGTTGACATTCTTGGAAGTATTAAGGTTCAAAAAGAAGTATACGAGGAATGCGAATAATTGTAAATAACTTACGAATCTGTAATTTCCGTACGGAATGTCTGTTCTCCGAAGGAAACACAGGCGAGCCACTTGTCCTTGAACTTCATCTCCGCCTAAATTGAAGATTACATATGATTATCGTATCGAATTACGCAGCTGAAGAGGACAGATGAAATCGAAAAGGCATAATGAGAGAAGTAAACCATACGCCGAGGAGAGTGAGAAGAGCAATCCCGGCGAAATCCTCTTGGCTCACTGATCTCTGGCTGGCCAATCCGGAGACGCTGCCGGACCCTGGGCGACGAAGACGGCGGTGGCTGCCAAGGTTTTGAAGCTTCTGTCGCATCTTTGATCGGCGCGACTCTTTCGTCTCCGTTGAGTTTCCGTTACCCATGGTTCTCGGTCTCTTTAGTCCTCACGCGCCTGGTAAAACAACGGATCGAAGATGGAGGAAGACGAAGAAGGACAGTGAGAGAGAGAGAGCTTTGGGTTTATAAGTTTCCTCACCGGCGGCAGTGACCGGAGTCTTTTTATATCGCAAAATATCTGTCTGCTACCGAGACGGTGAAGGGGGAATAAATCCACACCGAATACTTTTTCCGTTGTTTTTTTTTTATTTTTAATAAAGTTTTATTTGCCTCCCTGTCTTTTGACAAAATTCTTTGTCAAAATCAATGTCAAATTTGAAAACTTTATTAGACATGTGAAATTATAGAAAGAATGTGGACATGATTTTTTTTTATATATATAAGGAAAAAATACAGTTGTTGATCACATATAAAAGGCAATGCTTAACATTAGTAGTAGTTATAAAAACTTCAAGTTGATGAAAATTCTAAAATTATTTTGACTTGGCTTTATCTGTGTTGTTGATATGCTTGCTTTGCTTTCTTGTAAAGGGTTATGTCATTTTGTACTTTTAGGGACATGATCTCTTAAGAATCCAATCCATTTCGTTATCAAAGTTGTCTCTTTGTTGATCCTTTCCTCGGATAATAATGTTGCAGTGAATTGTAATGATGATAAATTAAGGAGAGTTTTACGGAATTACATAGAGCAATTCCTAATTTGATTTTCATAACCTTTTTTTTCAATGTAAACTCACAAACGATAAATCAAGATGACTGACATAATCACATATTATGATTAACATAATCACATCCAATAAAAAAAAAAGTATGATCAGTATTTTTCCATAATCAAGTGTTTTATATAGTTTAACTATATAGTATTTAAGGATTTTGCTGCTGCTGCTGCTGAAGACTGATGAGTTTAAAATAAGGACCAGTCTTGTTCAGAACGAGCCTACGGTGACTGCCTTGCTCCACGATCTTACCTCCATGTAATACACTTATCGTGTCGGCGTTTTTGATCGTCGATAACCGGTGAGCAACCACCACCGTTGTCCGGTTGGTCATCAACCGGTCCAATGCTTGTTGTACCTAATATTCATTCGTATAAACTCATAAGCCCATGTGGATCAAACCCTTAGCTAGAGAAACTAATTCTAAAGAAACTTACTACACGCTCGGATTCAACGTCCAAAGCGCTTGTGGCTTCGTCAAGGAGCAGAATCTCTGGATTCCTGAGGATGGCTCTAGCGATAGCGATTCTCTGTCGCTGACCGCCTGACATCTGTACGCCGCGTTCACCGACTTTCGTAGAGTAACCTTCCGGGAGAGAGGTGATGAAGCTGTGAGCGTTTGCGAGCATAGCCGATTCGATTACTTCAGATTGTGACGCTCCTTCGTTTCCGTACAAAATGTTCTCGTAGATTGTCGTCGCGAAAAGTGCTGGTTCTTGCTGAACCAGACCAATGTGTTTCCTCAGTGCTTTCAAATCTAGTTTCTTGATGTCCTTTCCTGCAATTGGTTTAAAAGAAAAACGACTTCATTAGCCAAATAACCACTTTCTTTTGATGCAAGAAACCTTGTTGTTTTTTCAGAGTTTTCTTGTGACGCAAGAAGCTTTGTGTTCAGAGTTGTAAGGCAAGAGCACTCACCCTCTATCATGACTTTTCCTGCGGTAGGGTCATAGAACCGGAGAATGAGTGAAATGACCGAACTTTTCCCGGAGCCACTCTGTCCGACGAGGGCCATGCTCTTTCCGGAACGGACTACCAGATCAAAGTCCTTGAAAATTACAACATCTGGTCTCGAAGGGTAGCTAAAGTGGACGCCTCTGAGCTCAATCGTGCCTTCCACATTAGTCAGCTCCTCGTTGGTTTCTCCAACGATCTGAGTTTTCCGGTCCAAGATCTCGAACACAGACGCAACCATCTGGTTTCCTTTCAGCAGATCCGGAGCTAGAGCCAATGTCTCACCCATCGCTAAAGCCGTCACGATCAAAACCATGAATGTTTTCATCACTGATTTGAAGCTCGATATTCCTTTATCCATCAAAGTTGACCCGTACCTACCAAACCAAGCAATTAATTAACACTTCAATATTTACAGTTATGAATGGCATAAAGACTTTGTGCATATAGATGGACACATACCAGAGAGCGAGGCCATAGGAGGAAAAAATGAAGAACTGAGAGATGCCGTAGAAAAGCCCGGCTATTTGTCCACGCCTGAAAGAACGTTTGGAAGGTTCTAAAAGCTGCCTTGAATAAAGTTCTAGAACCTTCTCCTCAGCACAAAAGGCAGCGACCGTGCGGATGTTGCTAACAGACTCTCCGGCCAACATGTTGGCCTTCAAGTACGCTTTGCTCAAGTTTCCTCCATAGCCTTGCATGAAAAGTTTCTACAAATATGACAAAAAAGGTTAAATTTTAACTTATTGACCACATAAACGCAACCGCTAAATTAAAAGACGCACAACCGCTGTGTTACCTCGCTGATATGGCCGCATATAACCAATGGGTACGTGGACAAGACGACAAGAGTGAGACGCCAGTTGAGTATGAAGGAAATGACGAAAGAGGTCACAACGAGGCCTAAGTTCTGGAGTAGAATCGTCGACCTATCGACCACTATGGTCTTAAGCAGAGTCGCATCGCTCTCTAGCCGCGACGCCAGCATCGAGCTCGTATTGTCGACTTCATCGAACCACCCTATTTCGTTCTTCAAGATCGCTACAAATAAAAAAAATTGGGAGTATTGATATTAAGTTTATTATTGATTTAGTATTTGCATAGAACTTCAAGAGTAGTTTGAGACGAACCTGAAAACATATTTTCGCGGATGCGGAGAGTGAGACGCTCGCCCATAGTGCCGAAGCAGACATGCTCAATGGTGTAGACGATGACGGTGAGGACAGAAGCGCAGCAGAAGAGGATAGCGATCTTCTTGATCTCCTTCTGAGTGGTGTCCCAAGTCGCGTAATACGAGACCAAGGCGTGCGAGACTCCAAGCGCGAAAAGCGGCATCTGAGATCCAGCAATAAAGGCGCATACCGTGCCACACAAGCCTAACCTCCAGTCCGGGCGGATCATAGAGTAAAGACGTCCCACCGTTACTTTGACCTTTTTGGACGGATCCGTCCCGTCCGGTCGAGTTACCGATTCCCTCTCCGAGCAGAAGCTCGTCCTTGTTCTTGATAGTTCCCGCGAATATTTTATGCTGCAGAGGAAAAGAAAACCAAGGGTCAGCGTTTGGTTTTCGATTTAGTTCTAATATAACTGTTCAGAGACAGAGTATGGTGTTAAGCAAATGGTACCTGTGTGGCCTGCTGAGCGAGCGATTCAAGGAAGGGTTACGCTGCAGCGAGGCAGTCTCTTGGAGACGAAGGAGAGCAGAGTAGGCTCCGTCGGGATTAGATATGAGATTATCGTGGTTTCCATATTCAACGATCTTCCCTTCGTGAACGACTGCTATAATGTCAGCATTTCTTACGGTTGAGAGTCGGTGAGCCACCACCACCGTTGTTCTCCCGACCATCATTCGATCCAACGCTTCTTGTACGCTCTTCTCTGACTCTGCGTCTAAAGCACTTGTCGCCTCGTCAAGTAAGAGTATCGATGGATTCTTCACGATTGCTCTTGATATCGCAATCCTCTGTTTCTGCCCACCAGATAGTTGAATCCCTCTTTCACCGACCTATTAGTGAAAAAGCGTAATTCTAGGGTTTATAAATTTCTTGCACTCTAAGGCAAAAGTTGAATTTAGGGTTTATAGTTGTTTCTTGTATTCAAAGGTGTCCATTTGACAGACCTGGGTCTCAAAGCCTTCAGGGAGGTTGTTGATGAACGAGATAGCTTCTGAGAGCTTTGCGGCACGGCCAAGCTCCTCAGCGGTCGCGTCATCTTTGCCATACATAATGTTCTCGCGAATTGTTGTCGCAAACAGAGCTGGTTCTTGATTAACCAAACCAATTTTCCCCCTTAACCACTTAAGATCTAGCTCTTTGATATCGTTCCCGTCCAGCAACACCGCTCCTGAAATGGGCTCGTAGAACCGCTCGATCAAAGATATCACCGTGCTCTTCCCTGATCCGCTTCCTCCAACGAGTGCCACGACTTTTCCCGCAGGGATACTTAGGTTTAGCTTGTCGAAGATCATAACATCGGGGCGAGAAGGGTAACTGAAAGTCAAGTCCTTTAATTGAATGTGTCCCTCTACTTTCCCAAGTTTACGGCCAGATTTGTCGCTTGCTTTTGCCACCGTGTTCCGTTCAATCATCTTGAAAATTGGGTACGCGGCAGCTTTTGCCCGTACAAACGCGGAGATATCCGGTGCCGCTTGTCCAAGAGACCTACACAAAACCCGAAACAAGAGACTTTATGATCAACAAACAGAAAAACAAAGGAAACGTGGAGCGTAAGTAAGCAAGATAGGAAGACTTTATATTACAAGCCGGCGATGACAACGTTGAGCATGGTAGTGAATGATTCGCCACCATTGGCGATATCCTTATGGACCACGATGCTTGTGTACCAAACGAGCAAGGCCCACGACAGAAACAAGACACAGTGCAACGAACCAAGACCAAGCCCTTTGGTTAAACCGGCTTTTCTCCCGTATTTGTACGTGTTCTTGAGGGCTTCTCGGTATAAACTCACCGCCCTTTCTTCACCGGTGAATGCTTGTACGGTCCTCACATTCCCGATCACCTGAATTATGACATAGGTATAAGAAATACACACAAGAAATAAACACTTTTATAAGTTTCCTTGTGGGAGAAGTAACCAACCTCTTCCGCAATCTCACCGGCCTTGATGTATGATTTCCGGACACGGGCGATAAGTCCGATGGCGACGAACGCGTAAATTCCGCCGGCTAGAGCAATGAGTGGGACTATGGATAGAGTGACGAGACTTATTTGCCATACCCTCGCAAATCCGATTGCAAAACCGGCTATGAACCGGCTTATATAGTGCAAGAAGTTCCCAACCTGCAACAGGGATAAACCCGTAATCCAATTATCTCACTATGATCCGGACTTGCGTTATCATATTTAAAATTAAGCGACCAGACAGGCTGGCTAGCTGGAAAGAGCCAAATATAGGTCAAAATTTAAAATATAAATGAACTTATATCAAACTCAACCGCCTTATAAATGCAAAATGCAATGCAGCTATTACCGAATTAAAGACCATGCATTTATTATCTTTGCATCAAGGACCGAAGCATATTAGAAAAGGTGAACATAGAGGTATATGCTTTTTTGGAGTCACAGGGAAATGAAGAATATTAGAATATGTTAACTTCAAAGATGACAATTAAAAAACATAATAACAATTTTATACTATTATTATTATTGGATCAAGAAGACACTGTTTTCAAATAATTTTTTTTTAACACAGACGGATTAAACAACACATGTGCGAAAAAAAAAACCACCCATGTAGAAGATTCTAAATTCAACTACCTAAGTGTCTATAGTTTCAAAGTAAAATGCCCTATAGATATGATCGATAGAGAATGCTTTATATTTGATTTGAAAGTATAATGTCTATAAAAGAATTTTTTTTAAACAGAAAAAAGAAAAGAAAAATGTCTACAGACTTTATCAGGTATTTGGAAAAAAACAAAAAAACAAAAAAACAAAAAAAAATGTGTTAACACTAAAAATAGCTTAATGCATTTAATTACAAATGGTTACCAGAAAAAATTAGTTGGTCTATCATGAATTTATCACTGAACTAACACGGAATGTCTAACAACAAAAAAAAAAAAAATCGGCTGATTCAGTTTAGAGAGGTACCTTCTCGGAGAGAGCATCTTGTACGACAAGTATGTCGGAGGTGATGGCGGAGATGACTTCTCCAGTCGAAGCTTCGGTGTCGAATAAGCTTATGTCTTGGCTTAACATTGACCGGAGATAAGCTCTCCTCATTTTTGCTGCTTGCCTCTCTCCCGTATGCATCCAACATGCAACCTCTGTTTCCAATTTTCATCTTTAATTATTTAATTTATTATTAATTATATATTTGAATAAAAATGTATTATAATTACCTAACCATGATGAGAATAGTATAGCCACACTCAGATATACAAAATCCAACGAGTACTGCAACAAAATAATAAAAGTTAAGCCGAATAAACAGCCGAAGAATCTAAAGGTTTTAGTTACATATAATTACTATTTTTTATAAAAAAATCGAGCTCTATATATAAGGAAAAATGAATAAAAAAACCTTGGCGACTTTGTGAGAGGCTTGTTGTGGGAAAAGATAAGCTAAACCTATGATGTCGATGAGTTTGCCAAAAAATATGAAAAAGATCGGTACGGAGGCGCCGTGAATGCACGCGCCGATGGATCCGAGAACCATCAGAACGCAATCGTAGAAATCTGCGAAGGAGAAGAGCTTAAGCAGTGACACCTTCGGCGTCGCTTTCACCTCCTCCTTCTTCTCCGTCGCCGGATCACCGGACGGCTGCATTTTCACCGCGGAAAGGATGTGTTTAGCTGTTGGAGAGAAAAACAAAATGAGGAAAAATAAATAGAGGGAAAGTAGTTAGAGAGGAAGAAGATGAGAGAGAGTGTACATTAAATGAAAGAAGACATAAAAGACCAAGATTATTGGTTTCAGCGAGAATTGTTTGGTGCGAAGATGTGTATGTGACACTAATTAATAACTCTCTAATAAAGTTTTCATCTCTCGCTTTAATTTTGAACTGCATCAGTTTTGTTTTGTGTGTGTGTGTAAATGTTAGTGGTATTTAATTTTGTTCACGGCAAAGGTAAATAATTTGGAAGGGTTGATAATGGTTGAAAGGAACAAGTGTCCATTTTTAGAGTACGGAGTTTGCGTAACTGAGGTATCTTTGAATTCAAATATGTCTTGGACAGTTGGACTTTTGTAAACTTTGTAGTCAACGGTTGCAGATAATTCAATCTAAATATATATATGATGCATAAAAATGTAGCCGTTGGATCGATTTATTTGTCAAATGTTGAAAAAGTCAAAACATTTAAAAACTTAAATACTAAAATTCATATTATTTTTTCCTTAGTGGAGATTTTGCAATGTGAACTTTCGATGTGTACGTCATTTTTTTTGACAGACGGATTTATGATCAATTTTCATGTAAAATCTAAAACATATTAGAACCATAAAATTTGATTATAGCAAAATAACACTAAAAAAATAAAGATTATAGGAAACAGATCCTCACTTCACACCATTTCCGATGTCGATTAAACATTCGAATGAGCTCACATGGCGTCTATATGTTCGTTTTGTCGCTCTTCCACTGAGGCGGAATACAACTTTGTTGCTTTAACCGCATCTAATATTCATTCGGTCTATGTATCTCAAATCCAATCTAATATGTTATTCTCTAATGCTACTTCCATTTTTTTACATCATTTTTGACAAGATAAGATAATTCATGATTGTAGTTATGTTTAAAATGCGTTCACATGTCTGCTTGACTTTAGATACATGTACGTCCGCTGGATTGAGATTCATTAAGATAATGACACCTTTCAGTTCAAGCAGTAAAGAGCTCAAATCATTGTCAAAAACTTAATGAAAGATAGTATATCAACTTTTTTTTTTTCTTCTTATGAAAAATATAATATTAATCTAAGAAAAAAATCTTATAGCGATACACAGAATATGAAAAAGGAATAACAATACAATAGTCCTAAACATCATTCCAGCAAGCATAATTTAATTTTCATGGCAAAATTGTTAATTTGATATAATATACATACATACATACATATGTAATAGAGTTTAGTGGATCCAATATTCCAATTACTATTCTAATATGTTGAGAAAGAAAAAGATTAAAAAAAGTTGAAAGAAAAGACGCAAAGTCAAGAAGAATAAGAAGAATTCTTGAGTTGGTTGCGCTGATGACTGATGGACTTATAATGTGGTGGGGTCCAGATTTCGAGCATAACATGAATTTTTGGCTCGTCCCGATGATGCATAGTGAAGTGACCAAGTCTTAAGGCTCGACGCAGTTGTTGCATCGTACTATCGTTACTCGTTACGTATGATATGACGTCTCATATATATCCTCTTGATTTGATTTTTCATCTGTAATTTAACCTCGCTTCTTTTCTATTAGCTAGGTGAAAAAATGATCGAAGTTTTGATATTTTTGGGAAGCTATACAAATTAAAGAAAACATGTTACTAATCTAAATTATCACCACTCATGGCCGTGACCACTATCACCGCCTTGAATCGAAGAAAACCAGACGCTATAAGGATAGCTGAATAAAAAAATTATCCTATTGATCACCATCATATTGCAAATTTGATGATAGTTTTGCATGGTCATTATTAATTCATTACAAATAGATAAAATAAGGAAAATCAAATCTCCTTTATTTTGCAACCCTGTTTCTGTTGACAAATTTATAATATGGATGTGACAATTTTTTTAATTTTTTTTTAAAAGAGGGAATGCGTGGTGCAAGATTGAATGCAAAACTATAGTGATGCAACTGCATGTGTAGTATTTAGTCATTTTGGGCATTCGGCTTATTATTGCATTTATATCTGTGAAAATGACGTATATGAGCTGGTTATTAGAGCTCTAATTTTAAATACCTTTTTGCTAATTTTGTGAGCTGCTTACTTGACACATTCAGAGATGGGGATTAGCGACTATAATTTAGATACATGTGGATAGTTGTTGACCCGAAAAAAGACAAAACGACCTACTCTGCAGTGGCGGCCTTTGCCTTCTTTCATTATCATAATGGCCACTAATATGCAGACCTAGAGTGTTTTATGATCATAATCATCTTTAAGAGTCTCATGTTTTTTTGTCCCCTTTATTTCACAAATTTTCAATTTTGTCACAGCATTTTTAAATCTTAATTTCACACCGATCCGGTGATCACGCAATGTTTTTAAAACTCATTTTAATAATAAAAAAAAGTGAGTCAAAAACTAACTCCATGAACAAAGGAGAAAAAAGCTCTCCGTCTAATTAAAACCATAACCAAAGAGGCTTTGTATCAACAAAATTCCATATCTGGCATCAAAATTTGCAAAAGAACAAACACAAGTAGTCTTAATTAATTGTCTTTGAGGAGAACACAAGCCATGGATTCTTTAAGAGGCCAAGGTGGCATTCAGATGCTTTTAACTGCTGAACAAGAAGCCGGACGGATCGTTTCGGCTGCAAGGACCGGTATATATATATATAGTCTTTCTCTTTTACGGTTTCTTGGCTTGACCACTATGATTTTGGTTTTGAATCCTTTTGGGTTTTTACCTTTTTTTGTTATGATGGATGGATCAACGATCAGCAAAACTAGCAAGAATGAAGCAAGCGAAAGACGAGGCTGAGAAGGAGATGGAAGAGTACCGGTCCCGTTTAGAAGAAGAGTATCAGACACAAGTTTCTGGGGTAATCATCACCAACATAAAAATCTAGCTGTTCAGATCTTAAGTTGTACTCATTATTTTTTCTACATTTTGTTTCAGACGGACCAGGAAGCAGCTGCAAAACGTTTAGAAGAGGAGACAGATGGCAGGATTAAGAACCTTAAGGATTCTGGTTCAAAGGTCTCCAAAGAGATTGTCAAGATGCTCATCAAGTATGTTACCACTACTGGAGCATGATTCTCAATACAGTCACGTGACTCACGTCATAGTACCTTATTTTCTTGCTAATAAAATCGTTTGATATGCTTAAAGTTCCAGTTTCTTGGTCTGCGCAAATCGAGCCAAACAGATAGTCCATGCGTATAGACACATTTACATGATGAAACTAATTAGAACAACATTAGATCAAAGTATCATTCGTAAAATAATTAAAAAAAAAATGGAAAAATAACTACGTACGCAAGTGATTTTAAGCAACAAGGGTAAACATGCATGCAAGATAAATTATGTACTTTCGCAACAATTATTTGGACACTCTTAATCTCTTGATGAAAAACTTGCGCAACATTTATAGGCCCAGCCCAATAAAAATGATGGTCCAGATATATTGTTTTTCCTGTATGGCATTTTCCATATTTATTATCCTAACTTAAAAAGTTGTAGCTAAAAACATATGGTGGTGCCTCTAGAATAACCATTGTTCTAAAGAAAAAAATGGCTTTCGAAAAGTTAAAGAAACAATCCTTTGTTTGATTCGTTTGTCTTTTGGGCCATGCATGCCAAAACCGTACCTTGTTAATGACATTCAACAAGAGAAATGAGCATTTGAAACAAAAACATGCAATGATATGCGGAAGCCATTTTTCGCAGGTCCATAAGGCTAAGCTTTTTAACACTGCGCTCAATTATATACAATCTCAAACGACATTACAAATGTATATAATCTTCAACACCAAAAGAAAAAAAAACTGTGGGAAATTTGAGATTGTAGTACCTAACAAATATTACACATAAATTAGTGGATTTCATTTTGACACTAAATATAAATATTGATCATTGGAGGAAATGATTCTATACCAAAATAAAAAGAAAAGTTTAATAACCGGCATCCGGTTATAGGATTAAACGATATATTTCAAGGTTTAAATAAATTTTTGATTTGGTAAATGAGAAACCATTTTGAGAAATTCCTACTAATTGATTGAAAAATGTAAATGAAAATAAAATAATCACCAGACCATAAAATTATTCGGTTACGCACGTCATGGCGAGGCGAGAGTGAGAGAGAGAGGAGATTGTGGAAAAGTCTGTTATTGTGTTCTGTTTGTTGTAAGGCGACTAACAGAGCAAACCAAACCTGGTCTTCGTCTTCTTCAATCCTTATCTTCTCCTTTCTCTCTCTCTCTCCGTCGTCGTATGAACGCATCGTAACCAGATCGTCACACAATTCCGGTGATCGCCGGAATAATCCAGCGATTTTCCAGACCCGCCGATGGCGACGTTTCACAGCTTCCGAAAAGCCGTGGGAGCACTAAAAGATTCCACAACCGTCAGCATCGCAAAGGTCAACAGCGAATTTAAGGTGATCAATCACATTTTGAAAATTTCCATTTTTGTTTTTGTGGGTTTCCTCTGCTTTCTTTACATTGATTTGAAATCGAGATAGGATTTGGATGTTGCGATCGTCAAAGCCACAAATCACGTCGAATCTGCTCCCAAAGAACGCCATATCCGTAGTATGTGGTTTCTCTCCACAAACCCTTAGATTTTGGTTACGATTATGAGTTTCTGATTCGATCAGAGAGTTTCTGTTTAAATTTATCTTTCTACAGAAATATTCTCTGCAACATCTGTAGTAAGACCACGAGCAGATGTTGCTTACTGCATTCACGCACTAGCCAAGAGATTGTCCAAGACTCGCAATTGGGTTGTGAGTTACTCAACTTCAAACACAAAAAGACAAAAAACCATTTTTGAAAATCTATAAACTCTCTTTGGATTGCCCTAAATTGCTTTCTCAACACGCAGGTCGCAATTAAGGTGTTAATAGTCATTCATAGAACACTAAGAGAAGGTGATCCAACATTTAGAGAAGAGCTTCTAAATTACTCACACAGAGGACATATACTTCGAATATCAAACTTCAAAGACGACACAAGTCCTCTTGGTGAATGATCATAACCTTTTTCTATACATATAGCTTTAATGGATAATTGCTATACATAAATAAAATAACAATTTCTTGACTTGTTGTTGAAGCTTGGGATTGCTCTGCGTGGATTAGGACATACGCTCTTTTCCTAGAAGAGAGGCTTGAATGCTATAGGGTTTTGAAGTATGACATTGAGGCAGAACGTTTACCAAAAGGCTCAGCTGCATCTTCAAAGGTTTCTTCTGAATTCCTCACACCATTTTATAAACCCAACAAAAAAAAAAGAAAGAATCTAATTCTAGATGTATTTTCACTATTATTGTCCTCCAGAACGTGGATTCTCAAACGTATAGAACAAGGATGTTATCTGATGAAGAATTGCTAGAGCAGTTACCTGCGTTGCAGCAGCTACTTTATAGGCTTACTGGTTGTAAGGTAAAGTTATATATATCCAAACCTAAAAATCTTCCAATTTCTTTTGTTTTTTTTTGTTTTATAGAACGGTTTCTTAATATGTTTTCAGTTTTACAGCCTGAAGGAGCAGCCTATAGCAACTACCTCATCCAATACGCTCTTGCATTGGTGCTTAAAGAAAGCTTCAAGATTTACTGTGCCATTAATGATGGAATCATTAACCTTGTAGACATGGTTTGTTGAAATTATCCTTTCTTTGGTAATTTAGTCGCAGTTTGCTTATATTGAAATGTAACTATAGTGTATATCTGCAGTTCTTTGAGATGTCAAGACATGATGCAGTTAAAGCTCTAAACATATATAAACGGGCTGGTCAACAGGTAAAAAAATTGAAACTAGACTAAGTATCAATCTTGATTAATCTTCACTGTTTAAGGATTTTTTTTACACTGCACAGGCTGAAAATCTGGCTGATTTTTATGAGTACTGCAAAGGTCTAGAGCTAGCGAGGAACTTTCAGTTCCCAACCTTAAGACAGGTTTCTTCTTTATTTGTGTGATATATATGATGCGAGATTGATCACCTCAAGCTCAAAAGACCTAATATCTAAAAAACTTGTTTCAGCCTCCTCCTTCTTTTCTTGCAACAATGGAGGATTACATTAAAGAAGCGCCTCAAAGTGGTTCTGTACAGAAAAAGCTGGTACAAAGTTTTACTCTCATCATCATATTTGGTTGTAGTTGAATTATGATTGACGTTTTGTTGTTGGTCACAGGAGTATCAGGAAAAAGATGAAGAAGAAGAGGAGGAAGAAGAAGAAGAAGAAAAACAGCCTGAAGAATCTGCAGAAACCGAAAATCAAAATGAAAACACCGAAGGAGACCAGCCGCTTATTGAGGAAGAGGAAGAGGAAGAAGATAAAATAGAGGAGGAAGATACTAAACCTTCATTCTTGATAGATACCGATGACTTGCTGGTTAATCTTTCTTTCTACACATCATCTTATGAATTGATATTTCAAAATACCCCCTGACCTTTTCTTCTCCTTCATAGGGCCTGAGTGAGATAAACCCAAAAGCCACAGAGATAGAAGACCGCAATGCATTGGCTCTCGCAATATATCCACCAGGTAGCGAAAACAGCTATGTTTTTCTGTTCCATCTGGTTTGTAAATTGATTCTTGACCAAACCTATTGGAGGAAGAAATCAAGATTGTGAACTTGTTATTGGTCTATACACAGGTCATGAAGCTCCAGGACCATCAAACAGTTTAAGCTTAATAGAAACCGGTGGTTCCGGTTGGGAACTGGCACTAGTCACTCCTCAGAACAACAACAACATTTCTCGCCTTGCTTCTGACAGCAAACTTGTAATTCAGTCTCACATCTAGTTTAAATTTAGAACTCTCTGTTTCTACTCTGAAGACTCACATGGGTATGTTTGCTCTCTCTCTCGTTGGATCTTTTTGTAATTATAGGCAGGAGGATTCGACAAGCTATTGCTTGACAGTCTGTACGAGGATGATTCAGCGAGGAGACAGATCCAACTAACCAATGCTGGCTATGGACATGGTGGCGCAGACACAGCAGGAGCACCACCACAAAACCCATTCGAGATGCAACAAGATCCCTTTGCAATGTCCAACAACATTGCTCCTCCCACTAACGTTCAAATGGCAATGCAACAACAGCAGCAGCAACAGATGATGATGATGCATCAAAGTCCTTATAATAATTACTCTAATCCTCATGATCATTATCATCAGAATCATCAGTTCTCAGCTGCAGGATCTTCTCCTTCGAATCCTTTTGGAGAACCTTTCCTTGCTCTCCCGCCTCCGCCAGGCTCATCTGGTACGCAGCAGCAAAACAGCCATCATCATATGCTCCTCTAGAGTCACAACGTCTCTCTTTGTTTCAGTGTTTTAATTTGATAATATAATATATTCAGGGTGTTATTCTTTCATTCTTTCCACCACTTCTTCTACTCATTGGTGATTTCTTAGCCTCTTTTTTTTTGTTGTCCCGGTCTGTTTATTTTTTTTAATCTTTCAACACTTATTTGCCTTTACTTTAAAAAAAAAAAAAATAGTAGTCTGAGTTGTGAATAAGAATCCGCCACTATGATACCGTCATATGCACAAGAAGTAGAACAAACTAGGTTACTTGGATAAAAAGTAACCTGAATGAATCAGCTTTACTTGAGAAATGTGAGCATATCGATCGTGAGATTCGCATCTCCCAAGATAATCTTTGCTGCAATAACCGAGACTAGTATATGACCAATAACATAAAACGGGTTCTGTCATTTTTTTTTTCTTCCAGAAAGTCAGAGACCGCGAACAAAAAAACATACATCAACTAGAAAGTGAAAGAAAATACCAAACAGTAATGCAGGCCAAAAGAGCCACCCAAACATCCGATAATATCAAAGTCAACAGCAAGAGAAAGGAGTAGGCCAGTAAGGGAACTCAGTGGACCTTAACATAACTTTATCTTCTGTGAAGAAGGTAGTGGTACGAAAGTTTGCGATATCGTGAACACCAAAGGTAGAGCCCACATAATAGATGGAGTTAGGCCTGAGTCCAGGGGACGAGCTCGCCGGGACACAGAACGCTTCACTATGTCCAAGAAATATACAAAGATCTCCAATATCTTGTGTGTAAATCAAGTCACTGCAAACTGTATCCACTCTAAACACCAAGAACGCTTCTGTTTGCTGGGTCATTATTTTCACCTCCTTGTGTTTCTTGCCCATCAAGTCCTCTCTGAACCTGCAAATAAGATATCTATATGTTTCAGCGTATTGAACTATCAAACTTGTGCCTATATATATATACATATTTTTAAATATATATATATATAAATACCACTTGACGAGGAAATGTTCACCGGAGGGTGACTCCACCAGGTGGTCCGTTCTGGAACACCAGATTAAGCTTTCCAATCTAAAGCGCCACAGCTTCTCGAGAGAGTCATTCATATCTAACAACACGGCGAACTCGGGGCGGACACACTTCTCCTCCTCCTCATCCTCATCCTCATCCTCCTCTTCCTTAAAATGGAGATCCACGGACCACAAGTAATTCCCAGAAGCACTGACAGTGAGAAACTTCTTGTTCTTCTTTGAATATAGAAGACTCGAGAAAGGGTGTACAGAGCCAGAGGCATTGATGTTGGTCCATCCAGAGTCAGAGTTGCTGAAGGGCTTGCACAGACTCACTTGAGATCCCAAGAATTTGACCGCCACGACCAAATCTTCCTTCTCTATGTCGGGAGAGTTGGAAATGGCCACGTTGTGAATCAGGGAAGTACTAGGCAGTGGAGGTAGATGATGTTTCATGGTGTTGTTGACCAGCACGAGACTTGTGGAATTATCCTCCGATTTCTCCAAGCTAGCTTCCCATTCATCTTTACGTGAAAATCCAACAGTCATCGCCTCTCGGACTTCATCTGCAAGTCCCTTGTCCTTAATCACGAGTTCCTTTTTATATTTAGCATCGTAGTATGCTTGATCATTGGAACAGTGTGTGGCGTTAAGGAGATGGTCGATCAACATGTACGAGTATATTGGCTTAGAGGAGAACATCCGAACCTTCTTGTTATGTCTCTGCAGGCCACAATCAACAAGTCATCTAATATAAGCTAGCAAGAACCAAAAGAAATGAACCCTAACGATAACAAAAAGAAACAAAAAAATGAAGGAGAATGAAACCCTACTTATTCCATAAACAAATAAGAACTTACGATGACATCTTTGCAGACAGATGACTTCAAGATCCGGTTGAAGCCAGAGGGCTTGAATAGTCGGCTGATAACAAGCTGGGACATTTTTGAAACCTTACAATATGTGTGTCTATTTCACCTTCTCTAGACCACTAAACTTAATATAAAGACTACATCTTGGGAAACAAGTACACACTAAATATGTAAATTTAGAGAATAAGTTTATTTACGGAAATAAAATATAAATTGGCATCAATCCAACGCATTTGTTTATAGACTAGGCCTTGGGCACCAAGTACACTCTGTTTAAAGTGAACCTGATTATATATTATGGCAGAAAGAAGCTTACAAGGACATTTTTGCTGACAGTGGGCTTCAGAGTCGACTGATAATGAGCTGAGACATGCATCCTGAAAAACCAATATGTTGGTTGTTGGTTGTGTCATGTGTGCCTCTTTCATTTTCGCTATTTCCCGTCGGAGTTATACAAAGGATACGCCTTTTTCAGCAAGCTCCCATTTTAGGAAGAATATTTAAGGAGATTGCAAATTCTTAAGGAAAATAGCATATATATCAGCATAATATCCTGCACTTACACGAACAAATTTCAAGTGTAATCACTTCTCACATCTTTTCTCTGCTATTTACGCAATCGATCTTTTAATTGCCACAAAATTTCATAGAAAAGAAGAAGAATCATATGCACTTATTAAATCACACAAATTTTCAAATGATCTTTAATATATTACAGGGTAACATTTGAGGCTTATGACGTTTTTCTCAGTAATTTTTTTTATTTATTTGATCTCATAATTCTTCCATTTTATTATTAATTTTTAGAACCAACTAGGTATTTACCCGCGCTATGCTGCGGGATATTTTTCTAGATTTTTTATAATTATATTATGATAAAATTATTTTTATAATGTAAATGAGTATTATATTTATTTTTTATTAGCTTAAGTGATGTATTAATATGTTTTAAATCTGAATAAACATTATATAATTTTAATTTTTTTATTTTTTCAAAATTATAATCTACTATCAAATTTGTTTAGCTAACTATATATAAATATATATGTAAGAATAAAACAATACATTTTTAAGTACCTTCATATTAATGGTAAATGTAAAATATATTTTCTACTAAATTACCATTTGATCCTCTTTTGAAATTATATAAAGCAAATTACCGTTTTAAAAATATATTAATTAATATGATTATTTTGAATTATAAGATTTATTTATTTATCAAATATTTATTATAAACATATGTTTCTAAAAATACCAAACTATAGTCAATAACATTCATATCAAAACCATTGCTATTGCTTTAAAACTAAATAGAAAATTCTGTTTGAACTGTTGAAATATCAGTTAAGTTAGTTGAAGTTAAATAATTCAATTTTGGTTACTGTAAGCATATTGTAACATGAAAATTTAGCACATAGAAATTTTATATTTTTACAAAAACTTAGAAATTGAATTTTCCGACAAAACAAAATTTTTTTTTATTTTTCCACGAAACTGAGAAATCGCTTATTCCCACCAAAACAAAAAAAAAAATATATTTTCCCACGAGAACCTATGTTTTCCCGCCAAAACAGCGAAACCAAGTTTTTTCACTAAAACCAAAAAATTTCATCTTCCTACAAAAATCAAAAAATCGTATTTTCTCGTCAAAACCGAAAAAACTATTTTTCTGCAAAAACTGCGAAATCGTCTATTCCCATCAAAAAAAAATATGTCAAACCAAAAATCACGCCTTCCTACCAAAACCGTTAAAATATAATTTCCCGCGAAAATCAAAAGTTGCATTATCTCTTGAGAAATTGTGTTTTCCACGAAAACTAAAAAATCGCATTTTCCCGTGAAAACCAAAAAATCACATTATATGTCAAAACTGAAAATTTGTATTTCCCATTAAAACCGAGAAATTGATTATTCATACAAAAATCGAGATATTTTGTTTTCCCATCAAATCGAGAAATTGCATTTTCCGTCAAAATCATCAAATTACAATTTCCCGTGAAAACTAATAAATCACATTTTTCCGCAAAAATCAAGAAATCACATTATCCATCAAAAGCTAAAATTTTATATTTTTTATCAAAACTGAGAAATCATATTTTTTCGTCAAAATTGAAAAGTTGCATTTCTCTCTCCTTTTCAAAATCAAAATTTTTTTTTCTACCAAAACCAAAAATTCACATTTTTCCGCCAAACCTAAAAATTCGCCTTTTTCCGTCATAATTGAGAAATTATGTTTTTCTACCAAAACTGAAAATCACATGTTACTATCAAAACTATGAAATTCTCTATTCCCGCCAAACCCAATAAAATTTGTTCTCGGTAACCACTGGAAATGCGAATCTCTAAGCTGTGGTGGTGTGAGCTTCTCTTTATTTGCTTTTGACTTCTATATTTTTTAAACTTTGGGCTTTTTAATGGGTCAGAAAATAGTAACTAATTTTATTAGTGTGTTAATGATATGTATTATTGTTATTTTTTTATTGGTTTAAATTTTTGCTGATGTGTGAGCTTCCTATAACATAACGCTTTTTGCGTTGTTGTTATGGAAGTATAGTTGATGATGAGTCTACACTTTCTTTAATCCTATAAGTCTCTATCAAGCAAACACATAGTTATAAATTTTAATTTTTTCTGTTATTTATTATTTGAGTTTTAGTTTGACAAAAATATAAAACAAAGATTTAATGTTTTTATTTGTTGTTATTTATTATTTGGATTTTGGGATTGTAAAAAATAAAATAATTTTTTTTTGCTGTTATTTATTATTTGAGCTTGGGTTTGGTAAAAAATAAAATAAAGATTAACAAAAAAAAATATTTGGGCTTTTAATGGGTTTAAGTTAAAAATAATAAATATTAGCAGATGATGTGTATTAATAAAATGTTTTGATTGGTTGTTAATTTTGTTGATGTGTCAGTTTTTGGTAACTTGAAATAGTTGAATTGTAAAGCTATGGAGAGACTTTAGTGTTATTGTTGTGTTGATTGATTCATTTTGTTTACGTTATACGTATATTTGTTGAAATCAGAAAAAAGAATAAAAGAATCATGCATCATATCGTAAACTTCATTAAACATAGAATGAAAAGAGAACATTGGATTCAAATGATAATAGAATGGGAAAGCAAAGACACTGATAACATTAGTGAAGCAAACACACGGTGCAATTATTAAGTAGGAGCTACTAGAGAGGAGACGGAGAAGGCCAGTAAGGAAATTTCAATCTCCTTAATGGATTCTCAGTTTCTTTGCAGAAGATCGTGCTAGTTTTGGTGGTGAGATCATAAACACCAAAGTTAAGGCCAACAAAATAGATGCAGTTAGGCTTAAGTCCAGGGGACGAGCTTGCCGGGGCACAAAAAGCCTCACTGTGTCCAAGGAAAATGCAAAGATCTCCAATGTCTTCCGTGTAGATCATGGTCTTCTTAAGACTATATGATTGATGCCCCTCCCTAAACACCACGAACTTCGCAGTTTCGTGCTCCAGTCTTGATGTAAGTGACACATCGTCGTCAACGTCCGAGTCCCTATCGAACTCCTCCAAGTCATCACAGTACCTGCAAAGACATGATACTCAAGCCTTTCACTTTAAACGAAAAATTTGGAACCAGAGTTTTGTAATTATATTAGAAAAATAAAAAAAAATCTACAGTAGTTAATTAGAAACTATACCACTTGACGAGGAATTGTTGGCCGGTGGGTGACTCCACAAGGTGGTCTGTCCTTGAACATGGCCAGGCTTTGGATTTTGGAACCCTTGGGTATAGGAGGAAGATAAATGGTCATGTCTTTTGGTTTTGGTTTAGAGGGCTTGTAATGGATAACAACAATCGCAATCCATCACGTGAGAACCCGACAGTCATCGCATCACAGACCTGGTCCTCGACTTTCTTGTCCAACGTCGAGAACTGCATCTTGGAGCGAAATGACGTGAGGATTCTGTCTGGGTTGTTAAGGATGTGGTCAACCATCAGAAACGGGTAGGCAGGTGTAGACGAGGGCCACTTCACCGTAGCCTCATGGCCCTCATCATCCGAATCAGACCCGCTCGTGTCAGTTGTAGATGAGAACAGACGAACGTGTGTGCGTCTCTACAGTGTTTATGTACATTGAACAAGTCAGAGACAACAAGAACGATACATTTTAAAAGAAAAGACCGAATTATTTACATTGGCAAGAGAAAGCTTACGATGAAATTTTTGCAGACAGAAGGCCAAGATAGTCGGCTGCTTACAAGCTGGGACATTTTTGAAACCCTAATTAAACGATGCGTGACCCACTTGAGTTCATATAGAGACCGCTTCTTGGGCAGCAAGCATTATACTAGATATGTATATTTAGAGAATAGTTTATTTATGGAAATAAAAGATAATTTCGCATCTCCCAAGATTATCTCTCCCCAGCTTTGCTGCAATAACCGAGACTAGTATATGACCAAAAACATAAAACGGGTTCTGTCATTTTTTTTTTAATACAATATCGTATACATATATGGTAAACTTTCACTAAACATAGATTGAAAAGAGAAGTTTGGATTCAAATGATAATACGATGGGAAAGCAAAGACACTGAGAAGTGATAACAATAGTGAAGCAAACACACGAGCAACAGCCATATTAATTAGGAGCTACTAGAGAGGAAGCTTAGAAGGCCAGTAAGGGAATTCCAATCTCCTTAATGGACTGTTATATGGTCCTAAGCAGAAGGTCTTGCAAGTTTTGGTGATGAGATTATAAACACCAAAGTTACGGCCAAAGAAATAGATGCAGTTAGGCTTGAGTCCAGGGGATGAGCTTGCAGGGACACAAAAAGCCTCGCTGTGTCCAAGGAAAATGCAAAGATCTCCAATGTCTTCTGTGTAGATCATGGTCTTATTGTCATATTTATCCGATTCTTGCCCCTCCCTAAACACCATGAACTTTTCTGTTACGTCCTCCAGTCTTGTTGTATAAAATTCGTGCTCCTCCGAGTCCTTACGCAACACCTCTGAGTCAATACCGTACCTACAAAGACATGATAGAGCCAATACGATTTTCACCAACAAAACTTTGAAATCAGAGTTTTGTAAATATATGTTATAAAATTATAAAAAAAAACTATATAGTTAGATACTATACCACTTGACGAGGAATTGAAGGCCGGTTGGTGACTCCACAAGGTGGTCTGTCCTTGCACATGAACTCACCTTCACAAACTCCTCAAACACCGAATTTGGAAGATCGTCAAAACGCAAGTCTATATACTGGACATAGTCATCATCGCTCTCCAAAGAGCACAAGTAGTTGCCTCCGTTACTTGGAATGTAGAACCTGTCATCTTTTTTGGAGAACATGAGGCTCGATGAAGGGTTTATAGACTGAGGCGCCTTTCGGATGTCGATCCATTCAGATCTGCCAAAAGGATTGCAGAGACTCAACCGAGATCCCGATAACTTGACACCCACCACCCAATCTTTATCTCGTTTAGGTAAAGAGGACATGGCCAGGCTTTGGATTTTGGAACCCTTGGGTAGAGGAGGAAGATGAACGGTCATGTCTTTTAGTTTTGGGTTAGAGGGCTTGTAATGGATAACAAGACCGTCCTTACTCGAAAGGCTGTATCGCAATCCATCACGTGAAAACCCAACAGTCATCGCATCACAGACCTGTTCCCCGACTGTCTTGTCCACATTCAAGAGTTGCTTTTTCTTGGAGCAATATGGCTTGTTGTAAAGGATGTGGTCAACCATCAGAAAGGGGTAGGTAGATCCAGACGAGGGCCAAGTCACCGTGGTCTCACCATCCGAATCAGACCCGCTCGTGTTAGTTGTAGATGAGAACAGACGAACGTTTGTGCGTCTCTACAGTGTTTATGAATATTGATCAAGTCAGAGACACACAAGAACATAATTAATTTTAAAAGAAAATTAGCAAGAGAAGCTTACGATGATATTTTTGCAGACAGAGGGCCTGAATAGTCGGCTGATAACAAGCTGGGACATTTTTCAAACCCTAAACGATGTGTGTCTGCTCTAGACCACTAGAGTTAATATAGAGACCACTTCTTGGGCACCAAGCCAATACGAAATATGCACGTCTAAAGAATAGTTTATTTATGGAAATAAAATATAATTTGGCATCCATCCATCTTAGAAATTTGTTTATACAGTAATTCTTTTCTTCGTTAACAAAAAAAGGACTACAATATTAAATCTAAAATCTGATACTGTAATTGTAATTATATTTTTGTAAAAAAAATAACAGGCCTTGTAAAATTGAATAGGAAGGTGTAGTTACAAAATAAAACGGAGTTAATTAGTGTCACTCTAAAAGCTGGACTGCACCAATCGAAGGAATCGTTTCCCTCAGTTTTTGAGTCAACGCGACACGAACGGTCATGACTCCAGCAGCTGGTCCAGTGAGCCGAACCTTGACCACGTAACCATCGATCTCAACCAGCTCAAGCCCACCACCTCCGGTACCGGATAGGTACGGCCGTAGCTCAGAGAGGACCTGAGGGCCATTCAGATCAAATTCAAAACCAAGGTCCCAAAATTGAAAAATATTTATTATAAACCCAAAAAAATAAATTAAAAAAAAAAAAACCAAACCTTTTCGATGTTCTCCTCGTTCAGCTCTAACCCTCCTGCCTCGGGTTCGAGAAACTGCTCGACGGCCATGATTTCTGGGATCTTGTCTCGGAGACGACTCTCGATTCCCATCTTCAACGTCATCGATGAGCTAGGACACGACCCGCAAGCTCCTTGCAGCTTTAGAACCACCACAAGCCCGTCGATTTCGTGTAGCGCCACGTTTCCTCCGTCGGCCATCAGCGACGGCCGTACTTCGTCCAGCACTATCTCCACACTCTCTTCCGTTAGCGGCAAGACGCAGATCGGCGACACCACGTGTCCTATACTAGGCCAAAATTACGAGAATCGCATCACCAAACCAATTAGAGTTTTCTAAAGAGATTGGTAATGGTTTGCGAATCAATACGAATTTATTTACCTGCCCGTTTTTTCAGAGGTCGAGTGTGGCGAACCGAAGAAAAATGTATCCTTTGAAATTGACCCCTGAGGAATGTGGAGACCCCACAAGTATCTGAAATTGCATTCTGATCCAAGCGAAGGAGGAGGAGAGGAAGAAATCAGTAAAGAAATAGAAGAAAAAAGTCATTTTCTGGTGAAGCTCGATGAACTGAAGACAATACCTTAGAATTGAGAAGGGAGGAGCGAAAATTAGGATTCATCATAGCAATTCGGGTTTGACCCGAAACCGAACCCATTTGAAACGCTCGATTTTCTTCTTTAGGATCGAGAAATTTTCAAGAATCTGTAGAAACCCTTCTAGAATATTGGGCGAAATCGGCTGTTTTGAGATTCTTTTTTCCCCAGAAAAATCAGAGGAGAGAACAGACTGAGAAAAAACAGAGAGAACTTTGCATTGGTGGGATGATGATGATACGTCTTGGAGATGATTTCATTTTGTGGCCATGATTTTTTTTACTTTTAATATTTAATACCACAAACACCCAAAAGAAACATAATATTATACTATTCGATGATAACTAATTCATGTTTTACGATCAACCCTAAACAAAATCCAATTATTATTTCGTCCCATTAAAAACACTTACTTGTTTATTAGCGTTTACAGGATTCAAGAATACTAAAATTAAAAAAAAAACTAATGACTCGTCAGGTCAGGTCAGGTCTTCTGGTCTGGATCCTGACCAAATCGGTGTTCACCATGTAATGTTTTCGGGAACATCATAACATTTATAAACAATTATTTAAAGTTATATTAAGTATGAGATGACTTTTATTTATTTAGTTGTCAAGCTTTAAGACTGGATCAAGTCGAAGGAACCACAGTCATTTGGAATGTTCCTTTCCACTCTTGTCCAGGATTCACTGTGATCGGTTTCGCCACAGCCACGGGTTCCACAGCAACAAAACGCTTGTAGTCTTTAACTCCCAAATCGGACACTTTCTTCTCCCATGGATTCCACACAACTGCAGATTATATCATTGGTTTATTAATGATGATCCATCGTTACTAAAACACAATCTGTTTCTGTGTCTAAATGTATAAAAAACAAAATCTTAAGTCTTTTTACCAGCATCAACTTGTCCTTCCTTGTGTACCACAAGTGTCTTCTTTTTCTTGGGGTCCACGATTCTGATATCATTTGGAGTGCTTAGGTAAAGCCTGTCAAGCTATTTTCAAAAGAGAGTTACTGGTGGTTTTCTTTTTTTTTTCCTTAATTAGTGATGAAAAATATTAAACAAGGGTTGGATTTGGCAAAATGAAACAAAGCTAAGTTACCTGGGATTTAAAAGTTATAGCCTTTTCATGATCAGTGAAACGAGTTCTGTTCTTTTGTTGGTCAAGATAATTCAAATTTTGCAATCCTTCCACCTGGATTTCACTGAACACAAGCAGCTGATATAACTACTTATAACATATACTAACACCAGTAGAATAAAAAAAAAAAAAAAGAAGTGTGTAACAATTTGCCAAGAAAACATTTCAGAAAAAGAAACTAAGATGTTTGTGCCGCCTTATAGTGAAAAACACAAAATATGGAAGATGATGATGACTCCTCTCGAGTCCAGAGATGAGATTACCTGATATCGGAAACAGAGAAATAGGGGTGAAAGCCAGATGTGAAGTTAAACAGCTTTACATCAGTATTCTTGACACGAGATGTCAACGTCAAATCTCCTTCAGGTCCCAAATGTATCCTCAGTCTATATTCAAACCTGAAATGGATACATGAGGTCATAAGCCTATTTTCCGTGAGAATTAAACCCCCCAAAAAAAGGTTTCACGTTCATTGTAAATATTTATGTAGCCAAATATCTGAAACATGTTGTAAGAATATGAAAGTAAAAGAGAGTTTTCAAGAATCTAACTTGTGAGGCCAGATCTTCAAGTCATCTTGGGATGATCTTAGGATTAGGTCAACCCAAGCTACATAAGAAATGTTTGATGGCAACTGAGGTGGATTAGCATCAATTTCCCAGAACCTATTTCTAACAAATCCATGTGAGGGAAGTGGACCAGTGTTGCTGTACTGCACTTACAGACAACAAAAAAAAGAGTTTCATTAACAAAAACAAATCATACAATTCAATTACAAAGAAAAGTTTGTTTAATATAAAATAAAAATCCAAAAGCACATACTTGCGGAAACAATATTGGAATTCCTCCACGAATCGGTGTTGGAGGCTCGAATATAGCCTGCACAATACATAACACATGATTCATTTACATGCATCTAATGAAGTAAAGATAGCCCTTACGTTCACCTATTTCCCTTTTCCGATTTTAAAAGGAGATATGTAGATTGAATCTGAAGTACCTTGCTACTCATAAAAAGTAGATCCTCTCCTTTCTCATTCTTCCAAGAAGTCACTTGACCTCCATACAAGTAAACCTGAAATTATTTTACAAAATAAATACGGAATTTCGAGTATAGATATATAGATCTTACATGACAATTAAACATATCAAAAACCCATGAATGTTTTGAATGTCTTAGAAAAAGTTTCAGTAAGAATATACACGCGGATCCGGTTCTTTCGTATAATAACACAAGAGTTTTTTTCATTGGAATGTGGCCATGTCGTGGGATGGTGTTTTCTAACGTGATTTCTCAAATATATTACTACTAAAATATATTCTTTTTTTTTTTTTGAGAACGGGCCTAGAAACAAATAAAAAAATATTCTTTAAATTTGTGTTATCGTCATTCGAGTATTACGTAATGTTAACTATCGAAATAAATACCTCAAAAGATCGGCCACGACGGTCTTTGACGATGATCTTTTCGAGACCATTGATGCCCTTAGTCCGCTCAAAGGGACGATGCTCGGTGGCCATGGCGACTACTGCAACCAGCAGAGCCCATAAGAAGATCAAATATCCGAGTTTTCCGTTATTCCCCATCGTGATTCCTCGTCTCAAGCTGTTCAGAATTTCTCTTCTTATAAATAAGCCAAAGGAAAAGGAGAAAAATAGTCAACGGCTAAGCCTGAAAACATGAAAGGGTAACGTACAATTCCACTCATTAGATTTAGGATAGACTTTATTTCGCTGACTGAAAATAGAAAAGTCTTATTTTGTCCCATTTGCGCAAAGGAAAATTAGGAAAAAAATCTAAAATTAAAGAGATGGATTGGTAATAGATTGTGTATGTCATTAAATCCAATAGATTGTATGCCATTAAAACACTTTTACAGGATCCACGAATATTAAGTTCAAAATAAACAACAACTGGTCAGGTCCGGTTTGGATGCCGAATAACTCACCATCTGATGTTCCAAGGAATATAAAGATACACTTTTTTTTAAGGACAGTTTCAAGTTTTAAGTATGAGGAAGGCATTTTTGGGGGCCAAGCTTTCCTCTGGAGCAACGAGAAGGAAGCGCAGACACTTGGAGTAGCTTTCTTCTGGAGTGGCGAGAAGGAGCCACAGACACTTGGACTATTCCTTTCCACTCTTGACCGGGTTTCAATGTGATGGGTTTCGCCACAGCCACGGGTTCCACAGCAACAAAACGCCTATAATCTTCAACTCCCAAATCGGACACTTTCTTGTCCCATGGATTCCACACCACTGCACATTATTATCATCATTATTATTAGAAATGATCCATCATTACCAATAACACAATCTGTTCCTGTGTCTATATTATGTGCATATACATATGTCTCAAAAAAAAAAAAAAACCTAAGTCTTTTACCAGCATCAACTAGCCCTTCTTTGTGTACCACAATTGTCTTCTTTTTCTTGTGGTCCACGATTCTGATTTTATTTGGAGCGCTTAGGTATAGCCTGTCAAGCTATTTTCAAAAGTTAGCACTTTTTTTTCTTTCTTCTAAGTGTTGAAATAGGGGGTGGAATAAGAATTGGCATTGGCACACACACAAAAAAACAACTTACCTGGGAATCAAAAGTTATAACTTTGCCATGATCAGTGAAGCGTGTTCTGTTCTTTTGTTGGTCAAGATAATCCAAATTATGCAATCCTTCCACCTGGATTTCACTGAATAAAAGCAGCTGATATATAACTTTGTATGATATACTAAACACTAACAGCAACAATAATTAAAAACTGCCTAATTATATATACTACGAAAACATTTCGAGAAAGAAACTAAGATGTTTGAAACGATATCAAAAAGGTTTGAGGAAAAGTCAATATAGAGATGAGATCTTGTGCCTCAGTGAAAACACACATAATATGGAAGACGATGACTCCCTCGAGTCTGTTAGCAATTACAAAGAGATGGCTTGAAGAAGAAGACAAAAAGAAAGATTACCTGATATCGGAAACAGAGAAATAGGGGTGAAAACCAGTTGTGAAGTTAAACGGCTTTACATCAGTATTCTTAACACGAGATGTCAACGTCAAATCTCCTCCATGTCCCAATGATACTCTCAGTCTATATACAAACCTGAAATTAATGGATACAGAGGTGGTCACAAGACTAATTTCTGGTAAAATGGTGTAAGAATATGAAAGAGTGATTTCAAGGAACCAACTTATGAGGCCAGATCTTGAAATCATCTTGGGATGATCTTAGGATCAGGTCAACTAGAGCATTAGAAGAAGGATGTGATGGCAAAGGTGGTGGATGAGCATCAATTTTCCAGAACCTATTTCTAACAAATCCATGTCCTGGAAGTGGACCAGTGTTACTGTACTGCAATTACAGAAAATAAAAAAAGCATTCCATTAACAAAACAAAATTATACAAATTCAATAAGAAAGTCAAAGAAGAACATTCAAAAAAAGCACATACTTGAGGAAACAATACTGGAATTCCTCCACGAATCGCTGTTGGAGGCTCGAATATTGCCTGCACAAAACACATAACACATGATTTCATATCTCACTCACTTAGATCTCATACAGCTACTTTAGAACAAAGCAGGTCCTACTTCTATAATCAATTTTTACATGCCTCTAATGAAATGCCTCTATAGTCATTTATTTCCTTTCAAATCAAAAACCAGTCTGAAGAATGAAATTAAAGTTTTTCTCAAAACATTGATTCATCTTTGCATAACTTGCTTAGCCAATTCTTTAAGATACACAACCAACCGGAGAACAACTATAACAATTTGCAACAATAGTGACATTCAAGGGTGAATCTAAATTACCTTACTACTCATAAAAAGTAGATCCTCTCCTTTCTCATTCTTCCAAGAAGTCACTTGACCTCCATACAAGTAAACCTGAAATTATTTTACGAAAAAAAAAAAAAGAGAGTTTCAAAATCTGCAGCACGCAATTTTGACCGTGGAGACTAGGCAACATAAATCAAACTCTATAGATAAATTATGTCAAGAAGATGAGTACTCGAAACCAATTTACTGATAAACAGATAAAAAGTCAAAAACTCAGGCGTATAATCAGACAAGAAGAGTCATTACCTCGACAGATCGGCCACGACGGTCGCGGACGATGATCTTGTCGAGACCGTTGATGCCCTTAGCTCGCTCAACGGAACGATGCTCCGTGGCCATGGCGATGACTGCAACCAGCAGAGCCCATAAGAAGATCAGATTTCCCTTATTACCCATTGTGAATCGTCGTCTCCTTTCACTGTTCACTCACGAAGGCGATACGTTCTTGAAATTTTCTCTCTTTCTTATGTAATCCATAAATAGGCCAATGAAGAAGCATCAAAAAGTCAACGCACCTAAAAAGCGGACAAGTAACGTACAATTCCAACTCATTTGATTTAGAATAAGACTTTATTTTGTTGAACAAAGAAACAAGAAAAGTCTTGTTTTGTATGCTCTTGAGTCTTGTTGACCTTATCGACGCCGATTTACGTCTTAAAATTATTATTTTGCCGTCATTTACGCCTCACAGAGATACATTTTTTTTAAAAAAAATCATTTTCCTGTCACTACAGTATCACCAAATATATTTTACCTTTTTCACCGTATTCCCTTTCACTATCGCATCACTAATATTTTGCTCTAAAACATTTGAAACCACACAAAGGTAAGAATTTTTTTGGAACCCAGCCAGTTGGTGCAAATTTATCAGTTCACTGCTCTCCAAACTGGCCCAGTTTAGGCCCATTAGTTTATAATGGGCAAAACAGTCTTTTACGCAGAGACCTCTACTAGGGTTCTTGGTGTGATTCTCTGTTTTGCTTCGTTCACTCTGGTCGGCACTCTTTCCAGAAATCTCACTCTCACACTCACAGTAGAAGAAAGAAACAGAGAAGAAGATGGGAGTATACACGTTCGTGTGCAGGAATGGCAGCGGAGAGTGGACCGCGAAGCAACACGAGGGAGACCTTGAGGCCTCTGCTTCTTCTACCTACGACCTCCAGCGCAAGCTCGTCCAGGCTGCACTCTCCGCTGATTCCTCCGGCGGCGTTCAGTCTTCATTTTCTCTCGTCTCCCCTACCTCCGCCGTGTGCCAGGTAGAAGAAGCATCTCTATCTCATCCCTTTGCTCCGATTGGTTGATTGCTGGATCGCGATTACATTTCTGTCTCTCTTTTCACTGTTCTTCGTAGTCTAGTTTTTTTCCTTGACATCGCGTATCTTTGAAATCAGAATCACAGATTCCTGTAAATCAATGTGCTGAAAGTATAATCAACGTCTGTTTGATTGGATGGTAAGATTCATGATTTATTAACATGATCTCGTTTAACTAGGATGATGCATCCCAAAACCATCTTTTCTTGTGATAGAAACTTAACATTACATTACGAAGCACACTCTCTTATCATTGCTTCAGATATGATTTTGTGTCAATGTAGCTTGTTTTGTAGCTAACGCTGATTCAGAAAGGTTACAGCTTTACACATAGCTAGTCACACGATTCTTACCCTACGACTACTCTATTTGCAAGCATATTCTATTTTACAAGGTGTAGTAGTTTCCATGGCTCTGAAACCTAGTACAAGCCAATGTCAGTGAACAACTGATGTTTGAATCTTGCATTGCATTGCGTTTTCTTGTGTCTGTTTATGTTAATTTATATCAATTATTATGGATCAGGTGATTGTCGGTGGTGCTGTTGGTGGAGGATTTTCTGCTGGAGGAGCCGCGTCTGGTGGAGGCGGTGGTGGTGCAGGTGAAGCTGCGGCTGCACCTAAGGAAGACGAGAAGAAGAAGGAAGAATCAGAAGAGGAAGAAGGAGACTTTGGATTCGATCTCTTTGGTTAAGATGGTGTTTTCTTCTATCCTTGTCATGTGATATGCTACGATTTTTCTTCCAATTCAATTTACCCTCGTTTCAGAAGTATATACTTCTGCTCCTCTTGGTAGAATGAAAAATACATATTTGTTCAAAACATTAAGTTAAAATGAGATGAAATTTAAAAGCGGAACAGGGAATTTCCCAGGGAAAAGTTGAAATATGAAAGCATGATTTTATACTGAAAGAGGCTATTTGACGATTAGCAGCATGTAAAAGTTTTGGCTGGCTTCAATAATACTGTCTAGAAAAGATTGGGCCATTGTCTACGAAGAATTCCCACAAACAAAGAAGAGTACACTACTGATACATTTTACGAATATTTACGATCATGCCACACAATCATCACAACGGCTATGATCAAAAGTTTCCAAAAGTAGAACAACATGCTTCACAATCATTTTGCTTCCAATGAATCTCCCAGCTTTCATGAAAAAGCGGATTGTATCGACTAAATCTGAGTCAGCCACTGTCTTCAATCACAAGAGAGCCCTCTCATCGCCTCACTTCTTGGCTTTCTGCACACCAAATATCAACAAAGCGACGACATCTCAATGAACCAATCATTACTAAGATTGTGCTTCAAACTTAAATAAAGCAGAGGAAGTTAGTACTACCTTCACCAAAAGGCTGTTCCAAACGAGTAACAATATGTTTCCCATATGTATACTTCTTCAAAGCCGAAGCGTGCATTCGTACTCGGCTGAACAATGTCGCACGCTGATCAACAGTACACGTCTCGAATATCTTCTGAACCACATAGTTGCCATACTGGTCTTTCATCAACATCTGTTAAAAACGTGGCTTACACTGTTAATATCCAATCAGTTTAAGATCAATATGTATCAGTTTTTGGTCCCTATGCTCACCAATAGACTATCATAGCTCTCGTCGGGCCCTGCAATCTCTTTGATGATGATGTCCCGCTCGATTCGACCACCATACTCCAGACACTTCTCTATAACGTTTGATGCGAATTTATGCAGGCTAAGCTGCACGATGTGCCCCGATAGTTTCCTCACGATCCTCTCTCGTTCTTGAGATGTCCCTTTCTCCAAGACATGCTGCCAAATAGCAACATTGATTGATATTAAGTGGTGATTTAGTTGAGTCTTCAACTGTAGGATTCTTTGCTTAATTCAAATTCAGTTGCAAAAGAAATTGTAAGTGTGTGCACCTGTGTGACGTAGTTGCCATATTGGTCCTTGGAAAGGACGCATACTGATTCCAGTATCTCCTCGGTAATGAACTGGCAGTGATGCTCATTTGAGCAACGCTCCAGAAGTCTCTATACCGAAGGGAAAAAAAGAAAACGCGTTGTTCTTGAGTAACAATGAGAGAAACCAAGATTATGAGAAGGAAAGAGAAAGAGGCGTTTAATTGAGTTCTTAGTACCTGTATGACACGGCAGCCATAAGGATGCGTAGAGAGCGAGGAAACTTGACCACGAAATGCAGATAGCATGAACCCAACTCTGTCTGCAGGGATGTTCTCGATGCATTTCTGGATCACATGGTTGCCATTTTGGTCTCGAACACATCTCAAGACCTGCCCATCAAGTTCACGTGCTAGACGAACTCTCTGATCAGGTTCTATCACATCAAGAGCCTACATCAGAACAAAGTTTCACCCCATGAGTCAATCGTCTTAACAAAGTTCAAGTCCTAACAAAAATGTAGTGACTTTGGTACCTTTTGTATCACGCGACATCCGTACATCTGCAGACTAAGTGGTACTATCTGTCCCATGAGTTGATCCGCGAGCTCCTTTCTCTGTGACGAGTTTCCGTATTCGAAAAACTGAAACAGATATTGAAAACAATCAAGATAAAGGATAGAGTCTGATGGAAAAGACAATGTAAGACATATGATCGAGGTAGGAACAAACCTTCTGAATGACATAATTGCCAAACACATCAGTCATTAGTTTGCAGGCATGAGGAAGAATTTCCCTAAAGACAGCTGCTTTTTCTTCTGGATTACAATTCTCAAGCTTTTGCTGAATAAATCTGCTCCCGTGTTGATCCGCACTGAAAAGAAAACAAGGTTTTACTCAAGTTCGTTATCACACGACTGAAAAGAAACCCCAAGATAAGACTCGTGAGTGAAAGATATAATAACTTGCCTGAATTCAACAATGTGTCCTGTGATGTCGGATAAATCAAACCTCCTGCCTTTCCCAGATTTCAGCTCTTCGAGAAAATTGCACAATCTCGGGCCATTGGTACCTTCCAAGCTCCCCTGTGGCTGCCATCCAGGATATGTTTCGACATAGGGAACAGAGCCCGGTGAGAGAGGAGCACCGAGCTGTGTAGGCAGATACTGAACCATAACGCCCATATTTGGCTGGACTCCATAATAACCAAGTCCCATCATTCCCATTCTACCCATATTCGAGTTACTCGGCCCTCTTATCTGCCTCACGAACTTCTGCTCATCTTTCTGAGGCTCAATAGCATTCTTGTGGTTCCCTCTAGGAGCCATCGGGTCCATCTGCCCCAACGACTGTTGACTGTACTGCATATACATAGGATCTTGAAAAGAAGGTTGTCCCGGTGGAGCATAGAACTTCTCAGCATACTGCATTTCACCTCCGTGGACTACATTTGCCGCACTTGGCCCAGATAACTGAGGAACAAACTCTGGACCGACGATAAACGGGACAGAGCCATGGGAATGGTATCCAGGTACATACTGAGGGATCACGTTAGTGTATGGTCCATAACCATATTGAGGAGAGTAAACAGCAGGAGACTGCATGTTATAGACATGACCTGGTGAAGTCACATAGGCCGCTTGGTTAGCCGCGTAAAGCTGAGGCGGGGTAAAACCTGAAGACTGAAGCACAGGATGACCATAGTGGGACTGACCCGTCCCTGTGACTGCATCGTTGACACCATGAGAACCCATTTTGCTACCACCTTGAACCCATGTTACGCTATTTTGCTGTTGATACACCTGCCTTTCTGGCCTTGCGTACCTTGGTTCTCGAGGGTATTTAGCCGTTCCGGATCCAGATATGTTAGCGTTCTTCATCTTAGAGATGATAGCCGATTCATCGGCATTCTTTTCGATGCCAATGGAAGCTTTAATCATTGAAGCAGCATTATCTTTAACCATGGCATCATCTGATATCTCCGAGAAGTTACCACTCTCATCCGCCGTGTTCATTTCGCCATTCGAAGAGTTAGACCGACTATGTTGAGGGGTTGGCGCAGAAGAACTATCATCCTGCAAAAAAAAAGAGATTCGATTGCATCTTTACTACAAAGCTCAAGTATCAAAAGTCTCTAAATTTAAATGAATCTCGAGAAAAAGAGTGTGACATTTCATCACTTCAAAACAGAAAATTATTAATGAGAAGGGAAAGAAAGCTAAGCCGAACCTGCCTGGAATCTTCCAAACCTTGAGAAACAGGTGTCCTATCTGAAACACTATTAACAGATTGCTGTTGAGAGCTTTCATCCTCAGACACTTCCTTGTGAGTAGAAAGTGTGCCTTGAGACAAATGAATGGGAGAATTAGCTTTATTCAATCCCCGGTTACTTCTAAATCTACCTACACGATTGTCTATCATCTGATACTCAGTAGGGTAATAAACAGGGGGAGAAGGTATGCGCTTAAGGTTGTGCTTAGACGAATAAGAGGGATGAGTGGTCACAGGATCACTCGGAAGCTTCGAGTTGTTGTAACCCGACCCTCCCTGTCGTGACAAGAGATTATCAACAGCTAGAAAAGACCCCTCCATGCTCGGAGGAGCACTTCCACTTCGATTAGGAACAGAAACTGGCCTAGAGTTAGACCATCTTTCGTTGTTTCCAGACATTCTAATTGGATTCTCAGTTGCCATTGCTCCAAAGGTTATAGCTTTTTTTTAAGTCTTCTTCTTCTACACCGAGAAGGGAGATTTAACGCAAGTACCTGAAGAAAAAGAGCTCTCTTTTAGACAAATCTATCATCAGTGATATCAAAAATATCAGAAAAATCAAACGATGCAAGCTCTCGTCACAAATGATATCAAAATTATGGATAAAAACACAATTTAACACAGAAATTCATTTACCATGATAAGCAAAACAAGCTTGTTTTTTTTTCGATACTTTTATAAAAAGAGCAAATGTCACATAGCTCCTAACAGAATCTCTTTATTTTTCCTCAAAACTTATTCTTTCAGTGATAAAACAAGGGAATATTCCGCAGAAAATCAAACCAATTCTAAATCGAGTAGTAAAAGTGTAGAACTGCAAGTGAAGAACACAGAACAACCAAGAGCAAAACTTTAGAGACCAAGGCATATCTACATGACCATGTAAATGCTCCTCGCATTAGTAAAAGACAGAGAAAACCCAAAAACGAGAAGCAGAGAAAGAGAAGAAACAGAGTGTAAGTGCGACGGAAAACAAAACAAAAATCTAGATTTCTTATCCCAAAAGAACCCTAGAAATGAGCTTTTTCCTGAAGCGAGCAGAAGTTAGCGGAAGAGGGAAAAGCTGAGAGATTTTCTTACCAGAAGGCGATTATTGTGGAGGAAGCAAAAGATTCACTGTTTACAAACCCTAGATTCTGCTGCTCCTAAGTCGTCAGAGAGACAAGGAGGAGAGAGAGAGAGAGAGAGGGGAGAGGGTATTGGGGTCTAATAAAAGTGACCATCTTTGGCTAAGTCAGTGGGATTTTTAAATGTTTGGATTTTTTTCCGGTAATGGCAAAAAAAAGCCTATTTCCACCATTACGGTCCTTTCTTTTTCCGCGAAGTTTATGGAGTTTGACTTTTTGAGCATTATCGGTAAAACTACTTCTACTAAAATAAATATTTTTTTATTTCATTTTCAAAAAGAAAAAATGGTTGTTCTAGAATTAATGTTGGATTCTTCAGCTAGGAGTTAAGTCTAAACTAACTTGATAAATTATCTAATTCACCGTTTTCTATTCAAAGCTAGTAAATTCAATTAAAAATTATATTTATTGAAATAGTTTTATTTTCAAAGACCATGTATTTAGAGCATTTCATACAAAAATTTTATTTTTAAAACACTGAATATAGTGGAAACACGGTAAAAAAAAATACAAATTTCTGTAGATTCAAAAACACTGATAATAATGGAAACATGTACAGAAAATTTCTATATTTTCAAAAATGGAAAAATTAAAATAAATTGCAAAACAAACAAAGAGTGAGGTTTATGTAGAAGAATATGAACTAAAACGGAACATATCCATCGTGATTGAATTTTTACCCTTTGAATTTGTTCGTGTTTCCAAAGAAGCCCACACAAATCGTTGAAAGTAAAAACAATCAGTCACACTTTGCTGAATTGCTGTGTTCAAAACCAGACAAAAAGGTGGTGTCGTCTTAAACGTGAGACGTAAGGGGACAACAAAAGGTCTCATCCGATATTACAGATTATGGATTAGTGGTGATTATGCCATTTTTTTATACTTCTTTACCTTCCTTTTGGATTACTTTTCATGAGTTTTTTTTCCTTGATTTGTAATTTTTGATATAGTCACATATAGCTTTAGTCGGATGCAGAAAAATCTAATGGTTATAATTTTTTTAAAATCAATATATTACCATAAATATATGTTGTTTTTTTAGGTATGTCCCGTACACCATCACCATTCCAAAATTTGGAACCAATCCAGTTATCCTAATGGATAGATCAGATAATTATGAAAATTGATTTTTTAAAAAAAAGTTATTTTGGTTGACTTTATTCATAATGTAAACATGAATCTATCCACATTTGAATCAATGTTATAGCTTTTTTAACGCCATCTCACAGTTCTCACCCGACCCCATAATTGGTTTATTGAGACACTAATATATCTACCTGGAACCTTAATTAGGACCTTAGATTCAAATAATATTTTAGCGGAGTCATGCTGTGTTTAGATAAATCCTGTCAAAATTACATTGGTCACTTATTAATCACAACAAAAAAACATAGAAAATGGGAAAATGGGACTGAAGTGAAGTTGAACTTTGGCTAACTGGGGTTAAGCAAAGTATCATACTAACTTAAGCTTGCACACTTGGGTACACAACCTTTCCTCTCATTGGGCCAGCCCATGGCTACACCTACATTTGCCATTACTCTCATAGTTTGAATCATTTTTAGTTAAATCATAACATTTTTATCCTTTTAAACGCTTCAAAGGTTAGTTCCACAATTTATCAAAATTAAGTGTCACTGTCCTTTTTAGTGTTATATCACCAATTTACACAATAAAAGGCTTAATTTGAATAATTTAGTAAAAAGTCGTAATCGGCATAATGGGCACTTGGCAACAACAACAACAACAACTAAACACAACAAAAATTAAAATAAACTGATGTCCATAAGCAGATACTCCGCCGTCGTGGTGGGAACAAACGGCGACTGTGTCCTCAAGAGTCATGTGAGATGACAGAACTAAATTCCTTATTTTGATATCCCCACTTGAACAACTTTATTTTCGCATTGCCCATAATAAAAATAAAATAAAGCGAAACAAAATTATTATTTTTTAACAAATAAAAAAAGGTTCCAGAGTCGTGAAGGCCAACTCAAATCCAACACAAGTGGAAATGTAGAAGCTTTGGGAATTTTTTACGAGTAGTTTAATAACAAGAAATTAAGAGAAACTATCGGAGAAAATGGAAAGCTCGTGTTTAATAATGTCCTCTCTCTCTCTCTTTGTTACGATTTCGATCACTTGGAGAAGACTTGCTGGTTTCACCAAAAAAGTCTCTTTCAATTCTTTATTTCAAACCCATGAGAGAGAAAACGAATCAGAGGAAGTGATCAAGTATAAAACAAAAGGAAAAGGCTCTGAATCGTCTTCCATTACTTGTATGTGTGTTTTTAGAATTAAAGAACTTAAAAAAACAAAAAAAAATAGGAACTCTCTCTCTCTCTCTTTCTTTTGACCTCATCATATTCGTAGAATCACTCTTCTGGGATTTTATTTGCTTGCCCTAGATCTTAAAGAAGAGGGTCAAAATCGACTTATTTAAGATCTGGGTTCGGACAAAGATTCTGTCTTTCTGCATTCTTCCGTTTCGATTCAGCTCGAATTTATTCAGGTAAAATGCATTTGACTCTTTAGCTCGCTACAGTGTCTCCAGAGTTTTGCAGTTGCTGCAAAGCGAATCTGAGATTTTAAAGCTTCCGACTTTAGTCTGGTCGGAGGAAAAATCACGAGACTTAGACTTGTCAAGGCCGTACGTGTGCGAGAGAGTGATAGTGAGGAATGTCCTGGACTTCCCAAATCACGGGAACAACGTGTTATTCTTGCGGGTTTTTGGAGCTATCCATTTTAATTGATTGCTTCTTTCTAAAGGAGTTCTGTAATCTTTAGATTAGTTTGAACATTGCTTAATCTCTCCGTGTTTTACGGTCATCTCTCTGCTATTATCATATAATCTCTGAATCAGCCTTTGTATTCGTCATGTAGATCAATAAAAAACTCAAACTTTTCTTCTTCAGGCAATGCCAATATAAAGGAACTATGCAGAGGTGACGAAAAGGTTCAAGCTTTGTATGCCTTTCAATTAGAAGAAAGAAGGGGGAGGTGTGTTAGCTTTGGTTTGCAAATGGGCGAGACGCAGAAGATTCTGCAGGGACCACGTCACCACCACCACACATCTCTGAAGAAGCCCTTATGGGTGGTTTTGGCAGTTTCAGTGACCAGCATGCTTCTGATCTGTACTCGCATGTTCCCGCGACACGGCAGGAGCTCCTCGTGCCTCGGCCTCTCTAGCACCAGAGGCTGCGAGGATGCTCTCTCGGCGTGGCTACCTGTTCACGTCAGAAAATACACCGACGAGGAAATAGCAGCACGAGCAGTGGTCAGAGACATACTTAGAACGCCTCCCTTCATAACCGAAAACTCCAAAATCGCTTTCTTGTTCTTGACTCCCGGTACTTTGCCGTTCGAGAAGCTCTGGGATGAGTTCTTCAAGGTAACATATACACCTTGACGCTAGTGACTAGTCCAATTTTTTAAGATACATATTCACTGATACATTGGTGCTGTGAAGGGTCATGAAGGGAAGTTCTCGATTTACATCCACCCGTCAAAGGAACGACCAGTTCATATCAGCCGTCACTTCTCTGATCGGGAGATCCATAGTGATGAGGTCACTTGGGGAAGGATCTCTATGGTTGATGCCGAGAAGCGGTTACTGGTTAATGCTCTTGAAGATCCTGATAACCAACACTTTGTTCTTCTTTCAGAGAGGTATAGTGATTTCAATCTTGCTCAAGTTAAGACTTAAGTGTTCTTATTAAGGTTTTCTGCACGAATTAAAGTCATATCAACTTTGTTTTTTTCTGCGCAGTTGTATACCATTGCATACTTTTGACTACACCTACAGATATTTGCTGTACTCCAATGTCAGCTTCATTGAGAGGTAAATCTTCTCTCTTGAAAACAAAAATCAAAAGAGTTTGATCTCTCCTCCATTAATGTTCACTGACACAAAGCTTCATCATCTCGCTGTTTCTCAAGTTTTGTGGATCCTGGTCCACATGGGACCGGTAGACACATGGAACACATGTTACCCGAAATTGCCAAGGATGATTTTAGAAAGGGTGCTCAGGTAAAGACAAGCTTTGATCGTTAAGAGCTTGTCTTAATCAGCATGCTGCCAATTTTATAAAAAAAAATTGAGTTTTGTCACCTTTTGTTGTGTAATTTTCGTCTTTTTTTCTTGCTAGTGGTTCACAATGAAGCGACAACACGCGATTATAGTGATGGCCGATGGTCTCTACTACTCAAAATTCCGCCAGTATTGTGGAGTAAGTTTGCCTTGCAACTAAAAATGTTGGTTTTGTTTTGCATATCGTAGTGTATTTCGTTCTGATTCTGACATTAAAATTTCCTGTAATTTTCAGCCAGGGATAGAGGCCGACAAGAACTGTATTGCAGATGAACATTACTTGCCAACATTCTTCAGCGTGAGGATATTCTTCTTCTGAGCCCATCTTTTGACATCTTTAAAGCCTTCTTGACGCTGAAACATTTGGTTCATTTGCTGGCTCTTCTTTCAGATGATTGATCCCATGGGGATCTCGAACTGGTCAGTGACGTATGTTGATTGGTCCGAACGAAGGTGGCATCCAAAGACATACGGAGCACATGAGATTTCATTAGAGTTCATGAAAAATGTCACGGTGTGTTTTGAAACGCAATCTCTTGAAAATTGTCACAATGCTGCATCTCATTGTACTTATTTAATTGTCTCTGTCTCGCTTGTGCAGTCTGAGGACATGAGTGTACACGTCACAAGCGTGGGAGAGGTATGTATGCTCTTGCGACTCTCTCTTCTCTCTCTCGCATGACCTCTATTTCTCTCTCTCACTTTCTTTATGCTTTTGTGGTTTTGAAGCATGGAGATGAGCTGCATTGGCCTTGTACATGGAACGGGATTACACGGCCTTGTTATCTGTTTGCAAGGAAGTTCCATCCCGATGCTCTCGACACATTGGTCAACCTCTTCCCAAACTACACAAGCGCAGTTCTCTGATAGAGAGGAATTCTTGAGCCGAAACACACGATTCTTGGACCTAATTATGTTCCAGATATTTCTCAGATATGGACCTTTTAGATACTGTAAATGTTCTGAAGAAAGTGAAATGATTCTTGAAGTTTGATGTTTCCTGATGAAACTGAAAGCCGATTATACGCAATTAGAGCATAAAAATTTTGATTAAAAAGAGTTTCATTTTGCGGTTCTCCCTTTGGTGTGGTCTGTATCTTTACATTATTCTGTAATAACTTAAGGCCTCAACAGTCAACACAGAGTGTTGGAATCATGAAGTCGGTTTATGATTCTCCTTGTGGCTCTGTGATGACGAGCGGAGCACGAGGAACCGTAGGCTGCAACGGTGAGCAGTCCCAGTCTTTACCGTTCTTGACCACTGAGAAATGCTTTGGAACCCATGACTCACCAGAAGCCTCTCTTTGTTTAAGAGACTCTCTCTGTTTCTCCTCCACAGCTCTCTTGACTTCTCTTGCTCTTTCCCAGTCTTTCTTCAGTATCCCTTCACTTAACTCACTCCACACCATCGTCGACTCTGTCTCCATTACCTCCTGCGGTTTCTTGACAGTCGGAGGTTTGAGTTCTGAGATATTCTCCTTGGCATTGTAGATAACCTCAAGCTCGCCGGTCTTGACATTTTTCGCCATTACTGTCCTGAAACATCACAGGATGTTAATGACATTACAGCATATGATGTTCTTAAAAGCTGTAATGGCTTTATGATTCATGTTTCTTTTTACCTGTCCCAATGGCCAAAGATGTCGTAGAGCTTATCCCCAGAGGAAGATTCAGAGATCTTTCCTTTGACGGATCTATTGTTGTTGTTGCCTCTGAATCTTTCGATGATGGAATCGGAGAGCAAGTGAAATTCAGCTTCGAGATTTGTCTCCGAGCACTTAATCTTGATTTTTCCGGCCCAGTGAGCTCCCGGCACCGGTAAGAATCTCATAATTAGTCTCGGTTGGTCCATCTCGTAAGCCTCTATGCGATTCAGAAGCTTCATCACTCTTTTACCCTTTACCTCAACGTCCACGTAAGCACCTTAGTACACGCAGCAAATATTAGATGTCGGAACCAAGATGAGACTACATTTTTCGGTTTGAGACTAAACCGGACGAATAAATTTAGAGTGCTCTTTTACATCTAAATAAGAAATAAACATACCACGAAATTTGGGTGTATAATACTGAATCCACGTCACGTCAATATTTTCCTTCTCGTGAGTCGCATGAAGTGCCGTTACCGGAGGATGATGCGATATCTGAAAATTAACGATATATATATTATATACCATGTTGCAATATAAATGTGTAAAACACAAAGACTCTATAATAAGTCGAGTGTTTTTGTTCGTATACTTTTATAAAAAAATGTAAAAATCATATCATATACTTTTATGTATATAATTTTTTTTTTTCACAATATGAAAATATCTAAATATGATTGTACTTGTTCGACGAGGACGTTGATGTAACCGTTGGAGACATGGTGCGTCTCGCCAACGACGGGGTTGTAAGGTGACGTGCCAAAGACCACCGGACGAAATGTGGAGAGGTTCCACGTCACCACCGATTTGAGCCGTTCGATCGGAAGCTCGCGGCGGCTGCATTCTCCCAGCAGATCCTGACCACCAAAGCTGTAGACCATCTCGCCGTAACATTGGAGTTGCGATCGTGGTAGGTTCAGCTGAGGTGGCAGCTTTATGATCAAGTAAAATCGTTATTGACTTTAAAAACTAAAAAAACATATATTAAAAAGTCATTATCTAAGAATTTATTGGAAACTGATGTGATTTGTAGATAAATTATAAATGCTCAACTGTTAGAACGAAATACTAATATGTTTCTATAACTGATTAATTTACCTTTTTAATTTCTCCTAACTCTTAGGTTTACAGTACAGCTGTACAAGTAAAAAACATACTAAAAATATGCAAGCACTTTGTTTTCTTATTGCTTTTTAATATACTAAAAATACAATAGTGCACTTTTATAGTTTTTATTTCAAAAAGAAAAAAAACGAAAAAATGAGAAGAAGAAAATATATCTTTCGTAGAGGTAAAAATCGACACGTTCATTTTTCATGCATTTTGCGGACTGCATACGTGGTCACCTACCTATGGAGGTATCTTTTATTACATTTTAAAATAGTACTACGATATTTTTTAGGGAGAAAAAAATATTATAGCGATAAATGTTATCTCAACAAGGCTTTAGTAAAATTCACCTGAAAATTGGTGAGATCGGATCCTGGACGCACGTTCTTGAAGAGACTAAGGATCCGACGGATGACATTCGAAGCTGTGTGCTCAGGATCATTATCATCTTCCAACGAGATAGGTTTCACCAGCACCAGGTGCTTTCTGATTTCTTCATCTTCTGCCTTCATACAACAAATAAATATATTTTAAGTCTAAATTTAAACCTTAAACGATGGCCACAAACCCGTTGTTTTACTGGCTTCAAAGTTCAAATTAATCACCATATATCCCATAGTTAGATAGTACAATCTCTTAACATTTGGAATTATTTAAAAGTGTATTAGGATTACAATTTACAAGTATAAAAATATTTATGCACCCCCCAAGCGGAACCAAGTGTGTGATATAGAATATTAGTTCCACTTACCATTTGTAGAGCTGTTGCAGAGAAACGATATCTCTGAATGTTATTGATGAGACTTTTTTGATAAAAAAAAAAATGAACGATTAAACAAAAAGCCAAGGAGTTATATTTCTGAAACGACTAAAAAATCTCAAAAACCAGAGCCTTGAGAATATGTAAATAGAGAGATGATAGAGAAGGGAAAGAGCTGTGTGAGCATTAACTATGGAACCGGAGGAGGCGTTGGTCGTTAGATCAAACTTCCTGTCATTTATTATCTCATCGTGGCCGCTTTGTGTTGTGCCTAGGGGAGTGGTCCACGATTCTTGCTTTTTTTGGTTGTTGCTATTAGAAATCTTTTTGAGTGGTAAAGCATATGGAGATGAAAATCGGTTAGATGCAAATTCACCATCGAATATTTGGGTTCATTTATTTCAGTTTTAGTACAACTATAACTAACTCAAATAACCAAAGTCTTCAGTTGGGTTAGAATTGGTGATGCCCTAGTTGACTTCAACTAAACACACCGGTATATAAATGCTAAGGGGGTCACTTACATTAGGGTTCATTGGAGTACAATATAGATAGAAACATAATATTTTCATGTTTTACTTTTTTCAAACATGAGTTTTGGAGCTTATAAAAGGATTGTGTCTAGGGTTTGTATATACTAATTCACAAACTTAGTAGAAGGAAACCCTCAAAAAGGGTGATTCGGTTCAATCTTGTTATTACTTTCTTACGCTTTGTGAGTTCATCAACTTCCAGGAAAAATCATAACATGCTAGTTCATTTCAGTTAGTGTTTGGTAGATTTGTTAGGGGTCATATATATACTAATGTTTTTACATGTGTTAATTTTGATAGAATAATGTGGTTAGTCAAATAAATGTTTAATTTTGAGTGAATCAACATCGTATTATCACTTTCTCATTTCTCACTTTTGCAGGCAGAGAACATGTATCCACGTCACAAGCGTGAAGCGTGGAAGATGACTCTCTCTCGCCATCCTCTATGTCTATCCCTCTCTATTTCTTTCCCTATCCTGTAGTATTAAAGCATGTATTAACATAAGCTACTATCAACACAGAGTGTTGGAATCTTGAAGTCGGTTTATGATTCTCCCTGTGCCTCTGTGATGACGAGAGGAGCACGAGGAACCGTAGGATGTAACGGTGAGCAGTCCCAGTCTTTACCGTTTTTGACCACTGAGAAATGCTTAGGAACCCATGACTCACCAGAAGCTTTTCTCTGTTTCAGAGCCTCTCTTTGTTTTTCCTCCACAGCTTTCTTAGCTTCACTTGCTCTTTCCCAGTCTTTCTTCAGTATCCCTTCACTTACCTCACTCCACACCATTGCCGACTCGCTCTCCATTACCTCTTCCGGATTCTTGACAGTTGGAGCTTTGAGCCCTGAGATATTCTCCTTGGCATTGTAAATATCCTCGAGCTCACCGGTCTTGATATCTTTTGTCGTTACTATTCTGAAACACTATAGGATGTTAATGACATTACAGCTAAGCTGTTCTTAAGAGCTGTAATGACTTTATGATTCATGTTTTCACCTGTCCCAATGGCCAAAGATGTCATAGAGCTTATTCCCAGAGGAAGATACAGAGATGTTTCCTTTGATGGATCTATTGTTGTTGCCTCTCAATCTTTCGATGAAGGAATCGGAGATCAAGTGTAACTCGGCTTCGAGATCGGTCTCCGGACACTTTATCTTGATATCTCCGGCCCAGTCAGCTCTTGTCGTGGGTAATAATCTTACAATTAGTCTTGGTTGGCACATATCGTAAGTCTCTTTTCGACTCCGAAGCTTCATTACCCTTTTCCCCTTTGACTCAAGCTCCACATAAGCACCTTGTTAACCAAGAAGAGTAAACCAAACACAAATTAAACCACGATAATATTAAACTGGCTGGTTGTGTGTTCTGTAATAACTTGAATGTTACGGAAACAATTTGACTGCTACAACTAAATAATAAACAAAGCATACCACGAAATTTGGGAATGAAATATTGAACCCACGTCACGTCAATGTTTTCCTTCTCGTGAGTGGCTTGAAGTGCGGACACAGCAGGATGATGTGAGACCTGAAAATTGAACGAGGTGTTGTTGCAATCGTTCCAAAAATTAATTAGTATTTTTTTCTTTATTATTGACAAATTAAATATGAGTATACAGTACTTGTTCGATGAGGACGTTGATGTGGCCGTTGGAGACATGGTGGGTCTCTCCAAGAACGGGGTTGTACGGAGCCTGGCCAAAGAGAACCGGACGGATTTTGGAAATGTTCCACGCCACGACCGATTTCAGCCGTTCGATGGGAAGTTCACGGCGGCTGCATTCCCCCAGCAAATCCTGACCGCTGAAGCTGTAGATCATCTCGCCGTAACACTGGAGTCGCGATTTTGGTAGGTTCAGCTGAGGTGGCAGCTTTACGTCCAAAGAAAATGATCAATAACTTGTAAAGGAAATAATACACACTCATCACTCTAAATGACTTTATGGTCGATGATAATAAATAAATAAATTTATGATGTGATTTGCACGGTAATATTAAATGTTCAACTGTTATAGTGTTATTAGAAGATTGATGATAACTATACACTATAACAAACTAAATATTAAATAATACGGTGATATGTTAACGGTTAACCTATGTTAGATTTATGGTTTCGTAGCTCGCTTTAAAAGTGGGGAAAATATCTGATCCGAATCAAGATATTATTTTTTCTCTGTATAAACATTAACAATATCATATATCCTACAAATAAAATTTCTTTTGTCTTTACTAAAATCCTTTTTTAACATTTTTTTAGAAGAAAAAGAAAATGCAGTGGTCTTTCTTATTATATACGAATAAAATTTATCACTGCAACAAGTTCTAAAAAGTTATAAAAAGTTGTCAAAAAAAAAGTTCTAAAAAGAAACCTGAAAATTGGTGAGATCAGATCCTGGGCGTACGCTCTTGAGGAGGCTAAGGATCCGACGGATGACATTTGAAGCTGTGTGTTCAGAGTCTTTCTCATCTTCCAACGAGAAAGGTTTGGTAAGCACAGGGTGCCTTGTAATTCCTTTCTCTTCTGCCTTTACACAGATAAAACCCACTAAATTTCTGAGTTTAAACCTTAAACATCTAACTAATGGCCGATAAACTGCATCTTAACCCAAAAAATATTGTTACATCTTAAATGGGTTGATTGAATAATGACATGATTAAGATGGAGATGCATAAAAAGACAATCAATATAAAGAGAACGTACCAATCAAATTTGCTCTATTTGTTCATTAGATTCATGATTTTTGGTGGTTATAAAGAGTCGGATAAATCATAACTAGATTGTACGATCTCCAACAGTTGAAGTTATTATGAAAAAAAACAAAAGAAAACGAAGTGTGTGGTATTCACTTACCATTTGAAAAGTCGTTGAAGAGAAAGGATATTTCTGAATCTTTTTGATGAGACTTTTTTTTTAAAGAACGATTATGTAAAAAGACAAGGAGTTTTATTTATGAAATGAAACTTGATATCTCAAAATCCGTAGAGTTAAAACTTAAAAGTGCTCTTCATCACAGTACTCAAAGTTTAACACGTCTTAATCTTATGCTCCATTTATATAGAAACATAGATAAGGGATATGTAAATAGATACAAAAGAGAAAGAAAATAATTGGGTGAAGCATTAATTTGGATCCGCAGGAAGCGTTAGTCGTTAGATCCATTTTCGTATCATTAATTATATGATCGTGCTCTTAAATGGTACGTGGCCGGTTTGTGATGTGCTTAGGGGAGTGATCCAAGACTCTTGCGTATTTATTTATTTTTGTGATAGAATTCATTTTAAGTTGACTTATGAGTGTTAATTGAGAGTGACATAATAGTACTATTTTTTGTGCTGGGTGCAAGCTGACATAATACTTTAAAACGTGCTTTAATGCTTAATTGATTATTAAGTTCTGGAGATGAAAATGGGTAAGAGACTTTTGCAAATTCACCATCAAATAGATAAGTGGATTGGATCCCGTAAGTATCAATTTTCTATTCAGAATCGGTTATAATAATCTTGTAGGTGGGGGAAAATCAGATTTTCTTCGGAGTCTTGAGATCAGTTTATGATGTCTCCTTGTGCCTTTGTGATGACGAGCGGAGCACGAGGAACCGTGGGCTGTAACGGTGAGCAGTCCCAGTCTTTACCGTTCTTGACCACTGAGAAATGCTTTGAAACCCATGACTCACCAGAAGCCTCTCTTTGTTTAAGAGACTCTCTCTGTTTCTCCTCCACGGTTCTCTTAGCTTCTCTTGCTCTTTCCCAGTCTTTCTTCAGTATCGCTTCGGTTAAATCACTCCACACCATCGTCGACTCGGTCTCCGTTACCTCTTTCAGATTCTTGACCGTTGGAGCTTTGAGTCCTAAAATATTCTCCTCGGCATTGTAAATAACCTCGAGCTCACCGGTCTTCACATTTTTCGCCAGTACTGTTCTGAAACATTACGGGATGTTAATGACATTACAGCATACCATGTTCTTGATTAAGCTGTAGTGAATGACTTGGTTATTCATGTACTTACCTGTCCCAGTGGCCAAATATGTCGTAGAGCTTATCCCCAGAGGAAGATTCGGAGATCTTTCCTTTGACGGATCTATTGCTGCTGCCTTTGAATCTTCCGATTAAGGAATCGGAGATAGAGTGTAACTCAGCCTCGAGATCGGTCTCTGGACACTTTATTTTGGTTTTTCCGGCCCAGTAAGCTACCGGCACCGGTAATAATCTCGTAATTAGTTTCAGATGGCCCATCTCGTAAGTCTCTTTTCGATTTAGCAGCTTCAGTACTCTTTTTCCCTTTATGTCACACTCCAGGTAAGCACCTTATTAACCCATGCAACCATTGAAAGAGTAACACACATAAATTAGATGTCGGAACCAAGTTGACTAAAAGTCTAAACCGGACGCATCGCGATGAGAGATTAATTCGATTATGCGTCTGGTTATAGAGTAAACCGGATGTATATTCAAATTTTGGCTTAGCGTTATATAAGGATGTAACTTACCACGAAATTTTGGAGTAATATATTGAACCCACATCAAGTCAATATTTTCCTTCTCGTGAGTAGCATGAAGTGCGGACACCGGAGGATGATGTGATACCTAAAAAGTAACGATACGACGTTGCAATTGTTTCAAAATGTTAACAATTTTTTTTTTCCAACATTCCAAAAAATTAATATTTATTTTATTATGGAACTTTTTAAGAATATTATTTACCTACTTAAAATATTCATAATTTAGTATTTATACAAACACATGAACAAGTTGACTAAAAAAACACATGAACAAGTTGACTAAAAAAACACATGAACAAATCACGATCAGTTTAATACTCAAATTTAATAAAAAAACACATGAACAAAACATGTTTTGTGTGTTAAAGATCAACGAAAAAAAAAGATCAACGTATTGTAATAGAATAAGATTATATACTTGTTCGCAGAGGACATTGATGTGACCATTGGAGACGTGGTGAGTTTCTCCAAGAATAGGGTTGTACGGAACCAGGCCAAAGATCACCGGACGGAGTTTTAAGATGTTCCACGTCACCACCGCTTTGAGCCGTTCGATCGGAAGATCGCGGCGGCTGCATTCCCCCATCAGATCTTGACCGGCGAAGCTGTAGATCGTCTCGCCGTAAAGTTGGAGTTGTGATCTTGGTTGGTTCAGCTGAGGTGGCAACTTTATACATTCAAAGAAAACATTTAATACTAACTTTAGTTAAAAGGGTCTATAAGAATTTATTGGTAATTAGTTAATAAACTTGAACTTAATGTGAAATGACGTGATTTATTAGGAATGTTCAACAGTTAGAGACTATTCGAACTGTATACTCCCTTTGTTAGAAAGAAAACGTTATGGAAATATAGCAAAATTCTGAAAATTAAACCTGACTATAGTCGGTGAGATCGGTTCCTGGGCGTACGTTCTTCAAGAGGCTAAGGATCTGAAGGATGACATTCAAAGCTGAGTGCTCAGATTTTTTCTCATCTTCCAACGAGAAAGGTTTGGCCACCACAGGGTGCTTCCTGGCTTCTTCTTCTTCCTGTACACACAAAAACCATTAATTCTATAAGGTTAACCCTAAAACACACATAATTAATGGCCGACATTTTCTGTTTACTGGCTTCAAGTTAACAACCATTGCTCGCGTGTTCGATCATGCTCACTCATACATAACTTTATAAACCTTTTATATCACAGTCCAAGAAATATTCAGAGGACTTACCCAAAAAAACATGTTCAGTATTTTTCGTTAGTTTCGGGGTTTTTGGGTTATAAAGAGTAAAATAAATCAGAATTAGACTGTACAATATCCCTAACAGTTGGAAAAACAAAAATAAGTTTGTGATAGAGATCCATTTACCATTTGAAAAGTCGTGGAAGAGACGAATTAAATAATAGCGAAGGAGATCTATTTATGGAATGAATCTGAAACTCTCAAAAACCAGAGACTTGAAATACTCTTATAATCTCTATACCCAAAGTGACAAGTAGTACTATAAATATTTACCTCCATCTTATATAGAAATAGCGATATGAATATCTAGATATCTATATTTAATAAAAGTAGTTCGGTGAAGGTAAGTCGTTGGTCAATCAATTCGTATCATTTAAGGCTAGCACAATGCTGAAAATGAAATGTGCATGAATGAACAACTTGTTGAGTGAATTGCCCAACAACCACGGAACCACCAAGACTGTATAGCTCATATTTAAGCTGAATGCAAAATGTTCATGGGAGAGGAAGTTAAAGATCAACCTTTTAGGAAAGACGTTAACACATAGTTGCAACTTGCAAGGCTTTATCTTTCCGGTGGACCAAGCAAGTAGAAGTAGCCGTACGTTGTTTCGTGGAATTTAAACATAGTTCTAGGCTTCTAGCGTTATATTCTTTTTTTTTTTTCTGCCAACAATTTATTATTTGTTTTTTTTCTATAACAAAAAAACCATACGTACGTTGTTTAGATATACTAATAGAAAAACTGACTAATCGAATATTAATCGGCCTATTGTCATATTATTCATTCATATCCATTTAGCGTTTCTCTGGATACAAACAAATCGAACGCAAAACCATTTTGTTAGTCAATCTAGAGAAATATCTCTTGCAACGAATATGTTTCCAATTCCGTAGCTTCAGCTTCGATGGAAACACCGAGTGCTTGGGCTCTTCCACGGAGATGGATGGCTTGGGGAAGCCTAGGCTGAGCATCGCCGGAGGGGGACTGATCGGAGGAACTATCTCCACCGGATGAGTATTAATGGGAGTCCCTGGCTGCATCTCCCATTTGAACGGAACACCTTCCGACCTCTGGTGATAGTAGTATCCGGTCGATGAGTTTCTCGAGATTGATGATCCTTTCTTGCATATATCCTTCTCCATAATTAGCAGCAATGATGGTTACGGTGTCGGAGTTATGCTGTATTCTTGAATCTTGATTTTGTATATACGGTTTTTGGTTGATTTTTTCTCCTGAAGAAAAAGAAAGAGGTTGAGGGAGATTACGTTAGGATTATAGGAATTATGGGTAAATGGGAATGTAAATATATAGACTGAGATTTTTGTCGGGTCGAGAAGATGTAATGGAACGTAAGAATTCATAAATGATCAACTTGATGTGTAATATTATGTATTTTGTTAGTTTGTGATGGATATCGTAAGTATGTAACTAAGGGGTTGACTTTATATTATACAATAGATACGATTGCTTAAGACTTCAATAGCTCAATTGCTTTTGCGCGGTCAAGGTACCAAATATTGTACACTATACTAACATGGTTCATGTATCCAATTTTCTCTTCTTTTTTTTTTGGAATTTACTTTGAGCTGAGTACTTATTTTCTAGTGATATTTCACCATCAAAATAGTTTATTTTTAGTAAAGACATCATTAACAAACACAATTAAATGTGGGTTAGTCACAGAAATGATATATATATATATATGGGGGAATGGATGGGTGGGTATGACTTGTTCTTATAAGCTGCAAAGATTAAAAAGGAAAAAAAAAAGCCCCCAAGAGAAATAAAGAGAATTTGTCAAATATGAAATTTCGTCGTTAACTTTGATACGAAACGCACGTTAATGACTTTGATGTTGGACGGTTTCATAAGCGCATGTGAGGGTTTAAACCAAAACTGTAAAGAGACGCCATACTTTGCGTCTTCTTCAATTATCAATTATTTACGTCAGCACTCGCCATTCCCTTGCAAACGCTATCACAAAAACTAAATTTACTTTAATGAATTTAATCTGCAGTTTTTTACACTATGTTTTATACAAGGGATAACAAAAAAATTCTTTTGCTCTAAGCCTATCATGAATTAAGGCCGGCAATATTAGGACCTTCCTGATCTTGGATCCGGTACCATTTTCACATTCTGCTCACACACAATTGAAATTCGTAGAGTTTGGCCTTCTAGTAAAGACATGACTGACATAGCAGAAAAAAGTGATAATATTTTTCATTTTACTATATTTTCTTCTTTGCGACTCCATTTTTTTGCAGAAGCGTAGCGCCATTGAATTGTGAACGTAAGAGTTCAAATGATGTTCTGAGCCACTAATTTGAGCCCAGTAAACAGAAATCATGTTCTGAGCCACTAATTTGACTACATTAAGGCCGATTGTAGGTTCAAATGAGACCAAAAAATAACAATAACTAGTCACGAAAAACAAAAAGAGAAATCAGATGATAGAGAGAAAAGATACGGTGGCTCTCGAGCCTTGTTCAACTACAACTTTTGGTTTGGGGGATTAGTCGACTTCTTCCATCTTGCTTCCTTCAGCCTCGGCGTCATCCTCAAGCGGTGGCATGTCAGCATCGGCTTCGACCTCTGCATCCTCGTCAATGCTCAGTCCGAGTTTAAGCATCCTGTGGATTCTGTTTCCGAAGGTGTTGGGCTCATCAAGGCTGAAACCAGAGGTGAGAAGAGCAGTCTCGAAGAGGAGGAGGACAAGATCCTTGACAGACTTGTCGTTCTTGTCTGCATCAGCTCTCTTCCTCAACTCATCCATGATCGAGTTTTCTGGGTTGATCTCCATCGTCTTCTTGCTAGACATGTACCCACCCATGCTGCTATCTCTCAAGGCCTGTGCCTTCATGATCCTCTCCATGTTTGCGGTCCAGCCATACTCACCGGTGACAAGACAGCACGGTGAGTCCACAACACGGTCAGAGACGATGACCTTCTCGACCTTGTCTCCCAAGACATCCTTCATCACTTTGCACAGACCCTCGAACTTCTCCTTGAGCTCTTCCTGTTTTTTCTTCTCGTCTTCTGTCTCCTCCAGTTTCAAACCTTCCTTGGTGGCAGAGACCAGTTTCTTTCCCTCAAACTCCTTGAGCTGACCAATGGCGTACTCGTCAATGGCGTCAACCATGTAAAGGACTTCATATCCCTTCTTCCTGAGCTTCTCAAGGAAAGGAGAGTTCTCCACAGCCTTCTTGCTCTCACCGGTGATGTAGAAGATGTCGCTCTGTCCCTCCTTCATCCTGGTCACGTAGTCCTTAAGACTCGTCAACTCGTCTCCGCTCTTGGTAGAGTGGTAACGGAGCAACTCAGCAATCTTGGTCCTGTTCTGAGAGTCCTCGTGGATTCCAAGCTTCAGGTTCTTGGAGAATGCCTCGTAGAACTTGTTGTAGTCCTCCTTGTTCTCAGCAATCTCAAAGAAGAGCTCAATGCACTTCTTCACAAGGTTCTTGCGGATAACCTTAAGAATCTTGTTCTGCTGCAGAGTTTCTCTTGAAATGTTGAGAGGAAGGTCCTCAGAGTCGACAATACCTTTCACAAATCCAAGGTAGTCAGGAATGATCTCCTCACAGTTGTCCATAATGAAGACACGGCGGACGTAGAGCTTGATGTTGTTGGGCTTCTTCTTTGTGTCAAAGAGGTCGAATGGAGCCCTCTTGGGGACGAACAGAACAGCCTTGAACTCAAGCTGTCCTTCCACAGAGAAATGCTTCACAGCCAAATGCTCCTCCCAGTCATTGCTGAGACTCTTGTAGAAGGCAGCGTACTCCTCCTTGTTGATCTCCTCGGGTTTCCTCATCCAAATCGGCTTCTGCTTATTCACAAGGTCCCACTCGTGAGACACCTCCTTGATCTTCTTCTTTTTCTTCTCCTCCTTTTCTTTCTCCTCGTCTACCTCCTCAACCTTTCCTTCCTCGTCTTTCTTCTCTTCCTCTTCCTCATCGTCTGAGATCTCCTTCTCAGTGGTCTTCTCAACCCAAAGAGAGATCGGGTAGCTGATGAACTCAGAGTGCTTCTTCACCAAATCCTTAAGACGGCGCTCTTCAAGGTACTCCAACTGGTCTTCCTTGAGGTAAAGGGTCATCTTAGTACCCCTGCCAAGGACCTCGCCAGAAGTGTCCCTGGTCACAGTGAAGGATCCTCCAGCCTGGGACTCCCACACATACTGCTCGTCATCGTTGTGCTTGGTGACGACAACAACCTTCTCGGCAACCAAGTAAGCAGAGTAGAAACCCACACCAAACTGTCCAATCATGCTGACATCGGCACCAGCAGCCAACGCCTCCATGAACTCCTTGGTGCCAGACCTGGCAATTGTACCCAGGTTGTTGACCAAATCTGTACACAAGAACAATCAAGCATCAGCAAATACGATATAGAAAGCTTATACATAAAACACTAGACACAGCAAACAATTAAGAATTAGTTCATCCTCATAATGATACTTACCAGCCTTGGTCATCCCAATACCACTGTCGATGATGGTCAAGGTGTTGTTGCTCTTATCCGGGATGATGTGAATGAAGAGTTCTGGCTGACCATCGAGCTTGCTCTTGTCAGTCAAAGACTCGAATCTAATCTTGTCCAATGCCTATTTCACCAGAAAAGAGAAAAATATCAGATACTCCTGCTTCATGTTAAGCTTACAAGATCCAAGTGAAACGCAAACCCACATCATCATGATAGCAACACGCTAAGAAACAAACCAACAATTATGATGAAACAGATCTCAAATCTATCTGGGTTCGATTAATTTCAATCGACAGAAATTCAAACAAACCAAGCAAGGCAAATCCGATTGAAGACGATCAATGAAAGCAAACATAATCGCCCGATATATAAAAGAGGCTTAATCCTAACATTCAACGAACTTACTTGCAACAGATTAGAAACGTAAATTTTCATCATAGGTACTACTAGTAGGCGCTACATGATAGTACATAGTGAAACATCAAAACTCATCAATGGATCTACGAGTAAAACAAATCAGAACACGAAACAAATAACCTAAAGAGGCAAAAGAGAAAGGAGAGAAACGCACATCGGAAGAGTTACTGATGAGCTCACGAAGGAAGATCTCCTTGTTGCTGTAGAAGGTATTGATGATAAGGGAGAGAAGCTGGTTGATCTCAGCCTGGAAGGCAAACGTCTCGGTGTCCGACATCGTGATTCCGGAGCTAATTTAAGAGTTTTTACGCTTAGGAAGGCGAAGAAACAGACGGAGGAAAACGAAATCTAGGGTTTATCTCTTGATTGGAAAAGAGCGATGCTGCTGAGTGGAGGAGGAACAATATTTATATATAGTCACTCGTAGGGTTTCTAGATCCTTCCACCAAAACTGGAAAAGAGGAAAAATAAAAAGAAAAAGAAAAAAGCAAAGTCTACCAAAACTGGAAAAGAAAAAAGGAAATTTCAAATTAGAGTTACGCGCAGTGGCGCGTGATATTTCACAACGAAATTTTGATTTATAGCATGGGCCACGCAGGCCCACAAGTTTAACGGTGGACTGCTCCGTAGATACTCGTGCTCTTGTGAGCTTTGTGATTCTTAATTTCTGGTCTGCGATTCATGGTGTTTAGAGACCAAACGCAAAATATTCATAATTCATTAACAAAATAACATTTATTAGACCATTAGTTGCAGTATTCAATGGCTTGCTGTACAATGTGCTTGATCATTGCTTTGAGTAGCCATGTATAAGGAAGATGCTCTGTAAGATTGGAAAGTTTATTACATTTGAACACAGACAGGTTCTAGATTTAAGATTTGTAACAAATGTGTTCAAATATTACATAAAAATGTGATTGCTTGATGCTCCAAATATTATTATGGCCGTGATCTTTGTTCCTGGCAAATCTGTCATTTTATTGTCAATTAAAGGTTATGAAACGATCTTTCCCAATACAGGATTCGTAGCTTCAATCACAAAAGAATCAAAGCGAACAAATCAAGTGTCGATAACGTTGCCCTGAAGCTTCGTGGTCTTAAGTTTTTTTAATCCTCGAAGGGAGGTAAGCCCCATTCCTCTGGCTTGAAATCTAGCAGAGAGGCTAGATCTTGATCCGCAACACCACAGTATGACTTATCTAATCTTGGATCCGGTACCATTATCACATTCCTGCGACACACACACACCATCGAACTCAAACTCAACCACTAATTTACTTGGAAACTGTTATAGCAGAGAAACCCACTTACATTCCAGCGTTTTTAGCAGCCATGACTCCGGAAGGAGCATCTTCAAACACCAGAGCCTTCCGTGGATCTACAGGACCATCCTATGATAATCCGCAAAAAGAAGAGCAAGACATCAAGTTTACAAACTAATATTGACACAGGTGCTAGTAGAAAGAATCTGTGTGTTCATTGCACTGCTATGGCTTTTTTAATGGTGTAGTTAATGAGAGTGCCTGTACCTCAAATCTCCTAGCTGCAGCGAGAAAGCCGTCTGGAGCGGGCTTCCCTTGCTTCACCTCTGGATCATCTCCCCGCACTATGTGATGCATCAACGAGAAAAGCTCACGGTGTCTTTGTGTTTTTAGATCGAAATGCCGCGTGTGTGTACTGCATTCAAGGGATCAAATCAGATCAGGTATGCCACAAAAATGATAAATGCACAAAATAAAGCTGAAAAAACGCCATTTTGCACTCTCGGTGATCTATATTATGAGAAGTGGAAAAGAAGTACCCCGTGGCGACACAAATGGGAATGCCTTTGCCATGGAGATGTCTGAGAAGTCGGCTAGCTCCTGCGTCAGAGGAAGTATATTTCATCATGACAGCATAAAAAAAGAGGCTATGAGATGTATTCTTTCAGTAATTTAGTGACTCGAAGAGTATAGTTTCAAGGTGATTGTGAACACAAGGGGAGAAGAATTTCTCTCAGTGTTTGACTACGTAAGTAAGTGAGGAGTGTGGATTGTTGTACCAGGCATTAGGTCACTTGTGGGGAAGAGGTCTTGCAACATTGACTCTCTCTCTACGATGAACTCTTGAGGTGAAAGCGAGTCACTAATCCCACATTCTTCAACGAAAAGCGTGGCGGCTTCTATCGCTTTTCTTCCCATCATCTTCGCTTTCAAAGACCAGTCGAATGTTTTGTTGTACCTAGCAAGTATCTTCTCCTGCACCTCCGTGTAAAACTTCTCAGTGTCTGCAAACAGTAGACAAGCTTAGCATTAGCTACGCGAGACACATCTTTTACCATTTGTAGAAATAAACAATTTAAGTAATCTCACAAATTGGTGTTTGTGTCAATGTGAGAATCAAAATTGAGAAAAGTGCTCAGCGAAATTTCTCGACTAAGACTTTGCAGAACAGTGAAAGCTCTAAAACTAGAGAAGTCAGATTCTTAAAATAGCCTAAAGTTTCCTAATTCAAAAAAAAATTCTTGCAAATCAGCGTTACAGTGATAAAAAGACGAACTACATTAAAAGCTTTGGCCTCATTAAACAGATAACTCATGAAATCGATACAAAGGAAGCTAAGAACAAAACATAATCACTCCTTACAACAGCAACGCCAGTTACAAAAGTCAACCCAAAGCAAAAGAGCAAAGACCGGAAAAAAAGGAGTGAAGTTACCTAGAAGGAGACCATCCATGTCGAATATGACGTGAGTGATTGATCCTCTGCAGGAGTTGGTGACGGCGTTAACGGAGGCGGCGGCAGGGGTCGACATCGCAGATACAAATCGAGTATTTCGTGAAACTCCGGTCACTGGTTTCTGCGGAAAGCCTTTGGGAAAGGGAGAAATGAAGATCGGAATCTTATTAGAAGATCGGAATGGGTTTCTTAACGCAACGAATCTAGTCGGAGTTGCTAGCATAGTTTTATGGACAACGCAGCCAAATTGACCTGTGACGTATATATATAGCGTCACTCTTTAATGAGGCTTGTATATTGACTGGGTCTTTATTATTGGGCTTAATTTCAATCATGGGCTGTGGTACGAAATTTGGAAGTCCTGAACGGTGCCAGGAGCAATATAATGACCATTTGCAGATATTTTTGATAATTTAAGAGTAATTTTGAAAAATATTTTGGATAGTTTTAAGTAATTTTACGAACCGCCTCAACTAAAAGAAATGTTTTTTTTTTTGTCAAAGAAATGTTTGATTTTAAATAGCTAATTTATAATTGTTAAAAAAATGCAAATAAAAGTAAAAGTGTTAGTCCACGTCAGATAAATTTAAATTTGGGCTTAAGAAGTCTTGTAGTTTTCTCAGCTTTTCCGACAAAAGCCTAATGTACATGCATCACCTCCAACTCACTTCTAAATCAAATCTTCCTTTTATTTCTCACCGAATCCCAAAAAAGGTATTAATATCAAAATCTACCCTTTTTTAATTCGTCTTTTTGGATATTTCTCGTACACAATTATTATTTCACGACATTAAACTTTGTTATCTATTCCGGAAACTTCATCTCTCATTATGTTTGTGGTAATGTGACTAGAGACATCAAAAATCAATTTATATTAGCAAACAACATGTTCATAGTATTATATTTAACATCTGTGCGCAACACACTCATAAGTCAATTAATATAGTCGACAGACAGATCCAATTTGTTTGGTCCATCACCGGAAGCGTAAACTTATATAATTGTATATTGTAAATTTATAATTAAAGTAAAGAGACACCACATTGTGACCAAATATCATATGGGTTAGTCCACAGTGCTAAGAAAATCCAAAAAACAACACGTCAACAATCAGTGTTTGGTCTAAAGGCTAAACAATTCGTCCTGTGTTTGTACTTTGACATTGACAAGGCACTGATCTTAGGGCATTGATCTTATCCAATGGGAGATCCGTTTTAACAACAATCTATTATATTTTCTTTTTTGCAACTTTTTAAAACTAATTCCACTTAATAAGAGGTTGGATATATATAAGTTAACTAAGGTCAAATGCAAAAAGGTAAAGAATGTTACTCCCTCTGTTTTTAATATAAAATGTTTTAAAAAAAAAAAATTTGTTTGAAAATATATGATGTTTTCAGAAATTAATGTAAAATTTACTAATAAATAATTTGTTTTATCCTTAAATTAATTGGTAACCAAACAAACAAATAATAATAAATAAAGTTATAATAGACATTTTATAAATTTTCTTAATCTATGTGTTTAACTCTAAAACATCGTATATTTAAAAACGGAGAAAGTATTAATTTATTGACCATGTCTAATTTTCTGAGATGTGTGACCTGGATAGATTGAGTGATTCAAATAAATGACATGACATTCGATCGGTAACGAATGTGATTTTACAATGGGTGTAACTTTTAATTTTTTGTTTTTTTTTTTACCGAGGTAATCCACACGAATATTAATATAACAAAGGTTATATTGAAATATTCCAAAACAATAGATTAGTAACCATCAAAATCAAGTAAGTGCAATCGGTAACGAAAAGAACACTAAGCAAAGAAACCGATAACATATAGTGGTACTTCATAGTCTTGTAATAACGAATCAAGTTTTTAGTATAGAGGAGAAAAACTTTTCAATCTTAGTTAGATATATGATTTCTATTTCCCGCGGTCACTATCAGCCCCGGTTCTGAGGTATGGCGGGAGGGGCAATGGCCATAGAAGAGCCTAATATTTTTTTTTTATATTGAAAACTTTGTTATAATGTGTTTATTAACAAATTAAGGAAAAACAGAACTAATTTATAGTATATAATAAGGCTCATAATTCATTTAATAGGAAAAATAGAACTAATTTATAATATATAATAAGGCACACGATCCTTTTAATATAAAAAGAGGATTATGATCTAAAAAAAATTTATACCTAAAATTTAAGGGCTCAATTTTTTTTATATACTATAAATTTTGTTAAAAATATATTCTTGAAGACAGTTATAAATATATAATTAATTTTTAGTACATAAAAAGGCTCATGATTTATTCAATTATTAATAGGACGCCATAACCTACTTATACAAAAAGATTATACCTTAACTGTTTCCTTTGTTAACAAGACAACAACCATCTTAATTATTTTAAATTACAAAAAATTTCAAGATCATATCAATGTTTCAACAAAGGTTGAATGATCTTGTACTTTTATGCATTGAAAATGACATTTTAAAAACTATAAATTTTGAAACAATTATCAATAATTTTGCATCAATAAAGTTAGGAAAAAGATATATATGATTTTTATTTTTCTAAAAAGAATTAATATTCTTTTGTATTTTTTCATGTTTGATGAATTTATGCAATTTACAGAAATAATGCATTTGAATGAAGTATTATATCAAAAAAATATTATACGAACTAGTTATGTATTTTTTTTAACAAACTAGTAATTTATTTTATATTTTAAAAAGTGAAAAAATTATAGTTTAGTTTATTATGATTAATACAATTACTTTTAACTAATATAATATAAAAGGTCTATATTTTGTATTTCGCTCAAAGGTCTTAAAATTACTAAGACGTGACTGGTCACTATCCATCTTATTCATAATGTAACACAAAAAATAGACTTTTATCCACTAAACGACATGATCAACGCGTTTGTAATCAAAGTGACAATCTCAAATTATTAACTTATGTTACTAGTACTACATCTATTTTTTAAGAACTCCAAAAGTTAGATCAAAAAACTTTTTAATCAGTCATAAAAACTAGTAATTAATAAAAACATTTTGGTACTGTTTGGATTAATTACCATCCTTACGCGAATAATCATTTTAATGTCATATAATCTTTGTCTTGAAAACCGGAATTGATCGTGTGTGCTTGACCTAGTAGTCTACCATATCCAAATCTCAAACAAGTTTGCACTATAACTTACTAAATTAGTTAATCTTGGGATTCTGATTCAACTAAAGTAAAAAACAAACTCCCATATCAAAACCTAATAATATAAGATAACTACATACCACTAAACAAAACACCAATAATAAGTTTATAACAATATAGTATAATAATAACACCATATCATATGCCAATGGGGTTACCCAATGATTCTCTTCGCATTTTCTATTCCCCACATACAAAAATCTTCATCACCACCATTAGCTCTTTTGAACTAAGTCTCTTCTTGTTCTTTCACTTAAGCGCACTTCGAAAAGTTGAACTACCCAAAAAGGAGAAAATAAGAAAGATCACACAACTTTCACATTGTGTAAACATAGAATGTTAGAGACCTACTAAGAACAATGAAAACATAAAACATTTAATCTTCACTATTCTTGCAAATGCTGTCCTCAATCTCTTCTTCTTCTTCAGCTTGTCCGTTCTCTTCTGCATAAGGGCTGTCCAAAGCCCTCTTCTCCTGCTCTTCCACGTCATCAGCCACCGTCAAGCTCCCATTTTGACCCCTCAATTTCCCATTCTTCTCATTACTCTCCGCTCTACTTCTCAAATCCTTCAACAGCTCCCTCACAGCCTTCTCTCTGTCCCTCCGGTTCTTAATCAGAGTCTCGCTCACGTCAGCCGGCGTAATCTCCGCCTTATCCACCACTCTCTCCATCTCCTTCAAAACGCCGTCGTTTAAATCTCCTTCCTCGTATCCCAAGTAATTCCTCAGCAAGATCTTCAGCGAAGGAAACGTGCAGTAGCTCATGTATATATGCATGTCCATTCTTCCGCTTCTAAGCAACGCAGGATCAAGCTTCTCAATGTGATTCGTCGTGAACACGAAGATCCTCTCGCTGCCACAACAGGACCAAAGCCCATCAGTGAAATTCAGCAGACCGGACAGCGTTATCGTGTTCCCATTGCCGGAATCGTCCCCTAAACCGGACTCGGTTAACGTCATCTCCGGATCATAGTAGCTCCCCGCCGTGCTCTGCGTCTGCTTCTTCCGGTTCGTTAAATTGATCGAGCAATCGATATCCTCGATCACAATGATCGACTTGGAGCTCGTCTTCATCAACAGTTTCCTCAATTCTGAATTGCTTTTGACCTCCGTGAGCTCGAGATCGTAGATGTCGTACCGGAGATAATTAGCCATGGCGGCGATCATGCTCGATTTCCCGGTTCCGGGTGGACCGTAAAGCAAGTATCCTCTTTTCCAAGCCCGGCCGGTTTTCTGGTAAAACGATTGACACTCGGCGAAATCTCTGAGATCCTCCATGATCTGTTTCTTCTTCACCGGATCCATCGCGAGCGTGTCGAAAGTGCTCGGATGCTTAAAGGGCACAGATTCCCAGGGAAGACCTCTCGCGTCGAGAGACCCACCTCGCGAATTCGTGTAAAGAAGCCGATCCTGATTCTTCCGGCGAATCTCGCTTGCCTTCTCCATGATGTAATCCAAGTAAGAATCGAGGATGAGGCTTTTGTCCTTCTTCTTGATCCGGAGAGTGAAGCCACGCTTCTCCTCGGGCATTGGTCTCCAGGCGAAGGTCTGAGTTTGTCTCTGTGTGACGATGTGTTCCCAGACGACGGTGACGGCGTTGAAAGTGTCGACGATGGAGTCGTTGTTGGAGAGGCCGAATGTGATCGAGGAGGAGTTGACGGCGCGCGTGAGGCTGAGGCGGTTTCCGGCGACGGAGGAGACGCAGGAGCTGAGGTAGAGCTGGACGGCATTGTAGAGCTCGTTGGTGTTGACGCCGTCGATCTCCGTTATGTCGAAGTAGCAGAAGGTGGAGAAGAGATGGAAGACTCTGTTGAAGAGTTTGAGGAAGGCGAAACGGAGCTCCGGTGGGAAGACTGAGTTCATTAGGCTCTGGCAAAAGGCTAAAACGCCGAGAAGCGAAGCCAAAGACGTCCAATACTCTTTCATCGTCTTCAGAGAGAGGACAGAGAGAGAGAGAGAAACAGAGGGCTTTTAGGGAGTTTTTATGGGGAAGAAGTTGAAAAGAATACAACTATACGGCTTAATCAAGGTGAGAGAAGAAAAGGGGAAAATGGATTTAGGGAAACGAGGGGGATTTGATTGATTTGTCTTGTTCAATCAATTGATTTGAGATTTTCGCAGAGAGTTTTCTTGAACGACGAGTCTCTCGTTTTTCCCGGAGATTTTTCAGAGTGAACAGAACAAAAAAAAAGGAAGAAGCTTTTAGTAATTTAGCTCGTGACGGAGATGTGTCTTGGAGTAAACAAGAGAACATAGAGAAAGAGAAGAAAGGGTTTTCTCTCAATTTATACACTTGGATATTGTTTTTTTTTTTTTGGCTTTGATAAATAATTATCTTTTCTTTTCTCGGGAAACTTTTTGACTTTTAGAAAGAAAATATTTTCATTGAAACAGGCTTTCAAAATGTGGGGAGTTCAGACTTCATGTATGAAAAACATATTTTAGCAAGAACAGAAAAGAAAAGAAAAAACGAAATTTTGGGTTTTATATCTTCTTCTTTTTTTGTTTGCCAAATACATAAATATATTGGTCAAAGTCCTAATAACTGGAACCATATAAGAAATAAATGCTTGACAAAAAGAGGAAATATATTAAATTTTGAAATTACGACTTTTTAACTGAAAATTAAGAATTTTCTTAGAGAGTAGACTAAATAATACACACTCGATATTTTGTGAAGGATAAAAATCATAATTACTATAATATTTCATTTAATGCCATTGGTATTATATGACCACAAAATATAGTCTTCCCAAAAATATGACTGAGGTGATAGGGTAAATGTGATTATTCGAAGGTCAAAAAGAAAAGTAAGAAAAGTGATTGTTCATATAGATTCGCGGACAATTAGATTTATAGTTAGATAATATTTTGGGTTTATAGTTACAACTTACAAGTTACAACTATTTTTTTTTAGTTAAAAAATGTATTACGATGAACAAAATATTACTAACAAAGAATAATGTTTCGGTTTCATTTATATGAATTTTTAAATTGTAAAATTTGGGGTAAAATAAAAAATATTACATCTAAATGAGCGGAGTACGAAAGTGTATTTTTGGCTGTTATATCAGTACATCTCTACAATTTTGTGTGTTTTGTCACTTTTGGTAACACAATAACTTTGAAATTATTCCATATGCAGCGGTGCCAAATAATTACAGATATTTTTTTATTAGAGTTCTGAAAATATATGACAGATGGTTTGAGAACGTTGAATCATTGAACCAATTGCACAATCATATCTGTCTTTCGGAAACAAACAATAGTATTATTCTAAATGATCAAAGTCCGAATTAGAAAAAAAAAAGACAATTCGACCAAAATAACGCTCTTTTTGTGAAAATTCCACAGCCTCATACTACAAAGAATTGATAACAATTAACTTTTCAGATTATTTTTGTAGTCGTCTGTTGACTTCTAAGTTCTTGTTACGAATCTTTACATTCTTCAGGTATGTTTAACTTGTTAGTAAAATTCACATCACAATCTTATTTTATTATACATTTCACGATATAGTTTAAAATCATATATATCAATAAATTAACAGGTCCACCACTGGCCTCAAGTCCAATAATTAAGTTTGTGTTTTAGGCCCTAGCGTCTATTAATGATCCAAGGACCACAGGCCCTATACCAGCAAAGTATTATGAAACACCAAAATACTGAAATTCAAGGAGAACTTATCAGTTTTAGTATCCTGACAAAACTAAGTATAGACGACTAATTAACGTACAAACTCTAAACTATAACTGTGCATTTACTTGAAGAAACACAGTTTATAATTTAGAGTCGAATCAATAATAAAACAACAGTTTTCTTCACATTATTCTGGATTAAGAAAATGATCAACAAAGTAATGAATTAGGAGGAGGACTTAAAGTGAAAATAACGTTTAGGTGAGTAGAGGCGGAAGAGGTTGAAGGCGGAGAGAGCGGAGAGGATGATCAGGAGAATAGCCGCGATGTAGTTTAAGATGATGGCACTTCCGATCTGAAAGCAGAACCTTGTGAACTTGTAGCACCACTTCATCCACTGAAGCTCCCTCGAACCTGTCAACACCAGCAATGAATGTTGCGCCGCCGCCGATGTTCCGGCGAACATCACGTACACCGCCGTCTGTTTCATTTCGAGATTCAGTATATCTTACACAGCCATAATTAAAGATAGTCTTAATCGAGAGAGAGTTAATTCATAATATATGTGTACCTGATCCAAGAAGTAAGAGAGACATTTAGAGTTGGATGTCTTTTGTGCAACACCGTACCAACCAAACCCTAATTGAACCATATTATATGCAGCAACCACAACATTTATGTACAACTCAAGCCTGAATTAAAATCATAAACAACACAAACATAATATATATTAAAAAAAAACTTAATTATAGCTGAATTTTGTTTTGTGGGAGGATAAAGTATTGTGAAGATTAATAATAATTGTATCAACAAAAAGAAAAAAGATTGAAAGTAGCAGTCCACACAGTGCAGAAAGACACATTTTCATGCAGATTTAGCCAAAACAAGAAGTTTTACAAGAAAATAGCCAAAATCCTTCCATTAAACATATGTGCATGTGGAATGTTACTTATCAAAAAAGACAAAAAAATCTTTTATCAGCGCCCATAAAAACTCAAATGTATTAAATACAATATATAATGGGAAAAAAATTGTTTTAAAGTGTGTTTTAATACATGTGGAATGGAAACTAAGGATTTAATTTGCAGATTTTCTACAATATATAATCTCTCGAGAGATGAGATTGTTAGATGAATCAATATAATTGATAAAACGAAATGGACTTACTCCAGAGCAAACAAATCTCTGAAAGTGACTTTCTTGTGGATATAAGCAATCTCTTCGGTCTGAGAATCCAAACCGACCAAAACAGAAGTGAGGAGAAGAAGAAAGACGATACAGATTCTCAGTATCACTTCTGTTTCTTTCAGTCTCACCATCTCTTTTCTCTCCAATAGGAATATTTTCTCTGTGCACAAAAAATAAAAAGATATATATTCTGTATGAGGAGTTGAGGACAAAGTAAGAAGATCACTTCTATATAATATTATTAAAAGATATTTAACATATGTACGCGGCAATTTGCAGATCACTTGTATAGTTGCATGAATATGAAGTAAAAGACAGCTGGACTTTTCGATTCGCATTAATTGAATGTTTCCTGAGCTAACCGCTTCTAATGAATTTGATCCGTAAGGACTTTCTAATTAAGTTTCTGTCTTTGTCTCTACAAGTAATTACACTCAGCCAAGAATCTTCGTTCGTCTCTGTTAATATAATGATTAGTGGGTAATTTACTAATTTTGTCCTAGTTTGGGAAAAATATTATATTAATTCAAAAACCTCATTTATTTTTTACCTTGGGAAATTTTGACTCGCGAATACAACGTTCTTACAGAATTATGGTATCCATCTCTTGCAATACAAATAGGAGAACTTGAATCGCCGCTGTCTCCAAATTCATGTGTTGATACATCGTCATGAGTGGCTTTAAATGAGGTGATTTGACATTAGCCAGAATATAATTAAGATGGAAAATGGCAAATTCTATACCATCCTCTTCAACAATCTAAACCTAAACTCAACTTGTGTTTCTTTTTGGACCATTTTCATTAATTATGTGTACACTGAAATTGGTCTTTTAATTGTTAATATCGATTATGAAATTGTTTTGCCATGATTTCGTTTTATCTGTAAGTCAATACAGGTATTTTTGAATTTTTTTACTATAATTAAAGAAAAACCAATGTCTAAAATTACTAGTTGTGATTATTAATTGACTGTACCTTTCTCAATATATTGGATTCGATGAGCAAAAATTGACATTATGGAGACTTGAACAAGTGTGCAAATCCTGAAAAAGAAACCGAATTAAATAGAATGAAAAATCTTGGACTTTAAAAATAGAAATTCAGTTTCGAAACATCATTGTCGAAGGGAAAGTGAATAGGTATTGCAACACGTTCTGTGCTGTAAATTGGACTGTACAAAACGTTCATTTCCTAATAGTGACTCTTAAAATTCTTTAATGTTAGGCCCTATTAGTTAGTTGGACCAACCAACGCTTTCATTTAACTTTGAAACTAACGGGTCTTTTATATTTTATGAATCTCATAATATAACCATGGCAAGAATTTTACATGAATTAAAGCCTTCAATTTTTTTTCCTTAGTATGACAAATAAGACACGTTTCTTAGTTTCATTGAGATCGATCGATCGATCTATATATAAAAGACCAAACAGAAAAAAGGCAAACGTTCAATATTATTAATCAATGCTAAAACTGCATAAATCCATAAACATAATAAGTAGTGGGTTATTATTGTTGACAAAGAATATTAAAAAATAACCTAAGAATAATATTATTTTTTTGTACTTTTGTGTTTTTCTTTCCATGTGTATTTTATTAGTATAAAACATAACAGGAGACTTTATTGTTTTGTGTTTTTCTTTCCATGTGTTTGCTATTTTTCTAAGCACATTGATGTTGCGTACATTGCAAGCAAAATAAACACTCACAACACATTGCGAGATAGAATGTGCAACTCCTTTTATTTTCTCACCAAAAGAAAGAAGTAAAACCAAAAATCAAATTAAGATCACAACAAGTCAACAACGAGATAAAATAAGAAGCTGTTGAGGAAAATGCTCGAGAATTCTCATAGTAAGATCAACCGAGGTTAAAGCTTGCACTCCGTGGGGAGACCCTGAGGGAACCTCTTATAATCGGTACAATAGTTGTAGATCATAAACTCTTTTTGCACCCATGCCATCTGTCCATACTGGTGGTCACTGAGAGTGGTTTTCTTCCACGAGTTGCTGTTTGCGTCACAAGTCACCCATGTCGAGTTCGATGTCCTGCTGCATGAGCTTTGGTCGTTGAAGCTCCTGTAGTAGGCGCTGAATGGTGCGTTGCTCCAGTCGATCTTCACGCGACCGCCTTGTGTTGCCCAGTCATCGGCCTCCCAAAGACTTGAGTATATCTTCATCGGTTGGTACGTTGGGTAAGCCACCCCACTTTTCTCGTTGTTCTTGAACACCCGAATTGGGATCCCGTCCACAAGGAAGCTTCAGATACAAGAAACCAACATTAATGTCAAGAAATCTATGAAATGATAATATACTTTTAAAACGTCAAGAGAAAACCTGTTTTTTTTTTTTTAGTTTTTAGCTCAAGAGTGGTCCGCTTATAGAAAATAAAATAACAATGTTTTGGATTTCCTGATAAATTAATTACTCACATGATGTTATCATAGTTCCAATGGACGGTGTAGGTGTGGAAATCGGCGGTGGGATCGAACCAGAGATGGAACTGCATCTCACGGTCGCCTTTACCTCCGGTGAACACATTGGTGTGGATAGTGTAAGGCTGTCCTGTGACATTTCCTAAGAACTCGAAGTCAATCTCATCCCATGTCTTGCCTTTGGACGAAAGCTGCCAAAATATTATGATATTAATTAGGAGATCAACTTCATTTATTATGGATTGCTTTTGATATGATCAAAGAACCCTAAGAAGAAGATTGAAAGATGATTCAATTTCTGAAGGAGATTTCGTACGTAGTAGGCGGTGACGGTGCCAGCGGAGTTTCCTTTGACAAGCTTGAGTTTCATGTCGATCTTACCGAACAAATACTCCTTCTTGGATTGAAAACCCGAGCCGGAGATCTTGTCAAGAGTGCAAGTGAGAAGCTCTCCGTTCTCGTATATGTTGGCACGGCCATCTCCCCAAGTGATATCAAAGCTCTCGTAGAAGCTCCCGGCGGATGCAGCCGCCACAAAGACGCCAATGGCGATGAGAAGAGACAACAACAGAGATTGTTTGGTCGCGAAAATCGCCATTTTCCCCCGGTTCTCTGTTGTTTCTCGCCTTGAGAGATGAGAGTTTGTCGATGGATTTACATAGAGTTGGAAATTGAGAGGTCATATAGAGAGAGTTTCGTGGAGGCACATTGTCGACGTGGTGGTCTTAAACTTTGTATGTACTAATATTTAAACTAATAATTATTCGGCCTTACACGGTTCAACGTAGACAGGTTCGTGGAATTTTGTCCAAAATGTTCCTTTTCCAATATATTAATTGTTGTGAATCTGTCAGCAAAATAAAATTTAATTTTTGTTTTGCTAAATATTAATTTATATCAAAAATAACATTTATAAATTACAGGGGTTAAAGGATTCTACGGCTTTATAATTATAGAATAGGAATCAAAACAGGAATCTCAGAAAATGATGTTCAGTAACTTTTTAGTTTTTACTTTCCATAACAAAACAAAATGAATTTCTATTGCTCCCGTTGTTGAATAGAGACCATAAAATCTTATTATAATAACTTTTTTCTTTCTTGCAACTGGTCTTTATTATAACTTATTACTTACAAGGTATAGATAAATGTGGAAGCTCTTTTAGTGTAGTGGTTGATTGATATTGAAAAAAATGATACAGAGTAAAGCAGGTGTAAGACTGAAATGTAGGCATATCTATAGGCTTTGAAGGGTTTTATAGGGTTTAAGGTTGTTTATTTAAAGGATTCTGTTTTCCTTTTGTTTTATTTGTTCGCACATTGGTCTATGACTTCAATTTTAATGGTCGTACGTTCAAATGCTTTTCTTCAAAAGGTGATGGATCATTAAAAAACACATATACTTACAGAGACTGAATAAAAATCAGATGTGCAACCAACTTTATATGATGAATTAAAGAATAGTATTATTTCCTTTCAATGGCTTTGGATCTGTTGTTTGAAAGCTTTACGCAGCTAGACACTCCTGTGGAAGACCTTGAGGGAACCTCTTAGTGTCCGTGCAGTAATTGTAGATCATGTAGTTACTTTGCACCCATCTCATCCGTTCTTGACCCGTCGAGTCTAGCTCCTGCGACAACCACGAACCAGTACTACTCCCTTGTCCTGACACGTCGGGGCACGATGACCTGCCGTTTGACACGACGCAAGCTTCCTCGTTGAAGCCACGGTACGAAGCGTTGAAGGGAGCTTTAGACCAGTCGGTTTTGACCAGACCACCCCTTGTGGCCCAGTCTTCGGCGTTCCATAGAGTCGAGTACATTCTCATCGGCTGATTCTTAGGGAACAGAGTCCCTTGAGATTCCATGTTCTTGAATTCCCTTATTGGAGTTCCATCCACGGAGAATCTGAATTGATGGAAATAACAAACATGATTAGATTCACAAATGTTGTAACATGGTCTAACCGGTGTTCAATCTGTATTTCGGTTTGACATTTTCGGTTTTGGTGTTTATAAAATAGTAGTAACCATAAAATAAAATAAAAATGTAGCCAAACCTGAAGTATTAGTACAAAGTAAAATTAGTAGTAGCCAAAGTATGGATTTGGTTTGTGTTTGCTATAAACTAAGTTTTGATATAGAAAAAAAGGACCAATGTAAACCATTTTCGAATTTAGTTTGGGATCGGATCGGTTTATGTAGGAAAAAAAGAAACACTTACATAATGCGTTGTGGGTTCCAGAGGATAGAGTAAGTGTGGAAATCACTAGTGGGATCGAACCAGAGTTTGAATTGTTGTTCTTTGTTGCCTTTGCCTTGCGTAAAGACATTGGTATGAAGTGTGTAAGGATCGCCACTTAGATTTCCCAAGAACTCGAAATCAATCTCGTCCCATGTAGATCCAGGTGATTTCAACTGTACAAAAACCAACAAAAAAAAAAAAACAATCAAAACCCCATTTGAGGTAATAACTCTAAAGCTCACAAGTAACACTTAAGAGACTTACATAATAAGCGGTGACTGTTCCGGCTGAGTTTCCAGCGACGAGCTTGATCTGCATGTCGATTTTACCGAACAGATACTCGTTCTTGGATTGGAATCCTGAGCCGGAAGACTTGTCGAGAGAGAGAGTGAGAAGTTCGCCGTTGTTTGTGATCTGTCCACGTCCGTCTCCCCAAGTAATCTCTACGTCTCGTTGAAACTTGGCGGAAACAGAGTAAATCATTACAGCAGCAAGCAGAGGAACCAAGATGGTGGTGGAGTAATTGATCGTTGCCATTGCTTTCATTTTGGTTCTGAGTGTAGGTTTTGTTGTGTTTGTGGTGAGATATGGATTTGGTTGTATTTATAGTGAAAAGCAGAGATGGTGAGAGAGAAAGGTTCGGCTCGGAAGATGATGGGTTTGGTGAAGACTCGCAAAGACAAAGGCCGCGTTTTGATTCGGACAGCTGGAAGATGGAAAGGCCACTTTGGTTTGGCTTTTTGGAGTTGGAGACGCGGTTTTGTTTAAATGTCAAAATTACATTTATTTAATCTGACCATTACGTTTACGTCGCTTTTTCTTTTCTAGATGAGAGCGTATGGGACACAGCTCAACTTTCCCTAACCTATCGTTATTGACAAGTTTTATATGACCAACAAGACTCCCAAATTCAGCCATCTTTAGAATCAGTCCAAAACAAGGACGTTGAATCTTATGACGATATAGTGTGGAAATCTTCTTGTACGTAAATTTAGTATGTAATTCGTAGATGAATGAGTTCTTTAAAATTAAACAGCTATTAATAAGTAAATCAATGATTTGAGAGAATTTTGAAATCATCAAAATTTAAGGAAATTTTGAAACAATTTGAGATTTTAGTAAATTTTGCAAATTATTCTTATAAATTTCAAAGTGATTTGAAAGATATTTGAAGGCATTTCAGAAAGAAAAAAAAAAGAGAAATTTCCATTGTTTTTTTTTTGTGTCGTAAAGGTTTATAAGCAAAAGAAAAAATATAGTTCAATTTTTTAAATTTTCAAGTACCATTTCATAAGGTGGTATTTAGATCTACTAATTTTCAATTACAAATAATCTTACAAATCATTCAAAATTGATTTTGATATATTTTAGTGATGGAAACCCAATTTTCGATCAAGGTGAGATTTTAAGGAATTTATATAGACGATCAACTTAATAACCTTTAATTTTGGATAAACTTTGTAAATCCTAGATCCAACAAGAGACGATTTGGGAAAATAATGAAATTTTCCGCAAATTATTAATACAATATACCTCCTAATTTGTTGGTCAACTAAAGGCAAAATTTAAAGAAAATTTTGTCATATGCTAAAATATGTAAATCTGGTTTGTGCATAAATCTAAAATATGCTAAACATGCCTCTTGTGTTTTCACGTGGGATTTTTACTTGGTTGGTAAAAATTTGCTAAATAGGGTCTCTAAATAGGGGCCTATAGATATAAATCTTTTCTTCCTTCAAATTTGCTAATTTAATTGAAAGTATGGGCTTTTCATAAGCCCACTAAATTCATAGACCCCTATTTAGAGACCCAACTGAATAAACATGTCTCTTGTTTATTCAGTTGGGTCTCTAAATAGGGGTCTATGAATTTAGTGGGCTTATGAAAAGCCCATACTTTCAATTAAATTAGCAAATTTGAAGGAAGAAAAGAATCAGATCGTTTCACTTCACAGCTTCTTGTCTTGCTGCTGAAGCTTAGTCTCAATCATCCATTCGGTGCTGAAACACTTCTCTTGTTCTAGTTTGTTGCCTCTCAGGTTCAGAATTTTTGTGGATTTTGTGTGCATATAAGCATATTACCAAGTCTCTATAAATCTCAGAGGTTTGATTTTGGCTTTTCTCAGTTGGAGAAAATAGATGAATCTAAAAGAATGATATGCGTAGTGTGTTAAGAAATTGGTTAAGCAGTTAATATACAGATAAACCACTCATGGCCTTGTTTCATGCAATATAGCTCAAGCATTAGAAGCGAAGAACTCTGAAGATTTAATTTCAAAAACTCCACCGTATTCTCAAAACATAAACTATGAATATCGATGTCATAACCTAATTGCTGGCATCAGTACAATTGTTCCTGTCTAACCAGCCAAATCCAAGCAAGCAAAACCCAAAAAAAGGAAAAATATAAGGCCGAAGATGAGAGAAACCATATCGGCAAGTGATGTGGTATATCGTATATGTATAACTAAACTGTACAGGGCTTTCTATAGACTAGCAAGCAACCTGACTGTTAATCTCTTCATCAACAGTATCAAGCTCCACAATCTGAGCTCTTCTTCTCTCAGCAGCTTTCCTCCTTATGAAGATTCCCCATCTCATTGCTGCTTTGATCTTTAGCCACCCAACAACCGCTTTCCCTGATCTCCCACGGTCATCATCATATCCCTGAGTCATCGGCGAATTTTGCATAAACGATGGGAAAGCAAGCCCATCTTCTCCGTTGCCTCCTCCCATGCTGAAGAGCTGGAGCAACTGTTGCATGTCCTCATTCCCTAGAATTTCATGGCTACTTAGCCTGATATCTTCCTCTGACAAAAAGTTGTTCTCACGCTCGTTTGACCAGTCTTGTAAGGAATTAAGACCTGCCTGATGAACAGAAGAACCGATGTCTTGGTACCCGCCTGTGGATTGCAGTTGTGGAGGACCAAGATCCAGCCCAGTCACGTTTTGATTCTCTATGGCGGTTTGGTTTCGATGTTGATGTATTGCCATATACTGATCTTGCGGTAAAACAATACCGCATTGCGCTTGTGGGTTATGAAGCTGAGCTGTTGCAACCGTTTGATTATACCCTGCAGTAAAGATACAGAGTTAGAATATAAACTTATGTTGCAGAACCAGAACAAAGATATGACTAAATCTCATTGACAAGGTGCTGATTTGCCAACCTCCGATTGAGAAATCTGGAAGCTGACTATGTGGCATTGAAGACGGAAGCACCGTAGAGTAATTTGCTGGAGCTGTTTCAGTATCAGTCTGAGATATATCCAACCGCTCAGGCTGATTGAAGTTTAACAGAGTTTTGCCTTCATACTCTATGACTTGGTTCCAATTCTCATATGCTTTCTTCACCAGTCCATCCACATATACCTTTATAGAATTAAAACACCATATCTTCAATACTACCGCAAGAAAATAAATTATATATAACAAATGTGAATTTTTGTATTAAACTAGCTACAACAAAGTTATGCAAATGAGAGTTTTCCAGAAAATGTAACTGAACCTTTTGGCTGTCAGAGAGTGAATCAGCAGAGAAGTATTGATCCCCAGAAATGAGGCCACATAACTCGTAGATGTTATTGAACACAACGCCGACAGTTCTTGTCTCTTCAGCATAGTAGATATAAAGCTTACCGCTTAGAACACATGTCTTTGCATGCTCCACTAGCACATCCCACATCTTGTTTGACATTCCAGATCCCAGAATCTAAGACACACATCAGATAAGAATAATTATTATTCACGAGCATAAATCGAATGAATATTCTCCTCTCAAATAGTAACAAGTTTGACGTTACATGCACTTACACCCCGTAATTTTGCAGAATCTCTGACCAAGTTTCTCAGAAAGCCCTCCACAGTGACTATTCCTGCAGCAGTTAGCTTCTTGTGAAACGCCCCCTCCTTACCAATCTTCTCCAATCTCCACACTTCATCGTTCAAAGCAGGTGGATAATGCTTCTTGTACACTGCACATAACAATCCAAAAAAAAACGCATCCATTTAGAAGACAAGAAGTGGCATCACAAGGTACAAAAGAGATAAAAGAACAAATGAAAATACATACATTCTCCCCTGTGATCTTTAACAACGAAAGCTTCCGTCTTTGCCTCACGCACGCGTGTGCCACCATCACAACACCCAGAAGCGACCCTTAAGGCAAGCCTGAACTTCCGGCTTCGAATCCAACTCGAATTATCCGTGAAAACAAGCTCCCCTAAAGTGCCTACACCTTCCTTGAGAACAACACACAAGTCTCCAGCAAGCAACGGTCTCTTTCCTTCACGCTCTTTCACAACGTGGCTTTCAAACTCCTCCTGTGTCCAGTCTCCATCATCTTCCTTGTTGAAGTCACCACCAAGCACAACGACCTCGAGCTTCAGGGAAGCTTCTGGCCCAAATGTCACAGGACGCCTTGTGTTTGCATCGATCAGTACAACATGGATCGCAGCGCCTTGCTCTCCTTCCACTCTCCCTCCGGTGAATAAAGGAAGAGATAGCCTAGACTTGAAATGCAGCTGCAAGTTCCGGCCATCTGGACCACCGATTCGTTTCGGAGGAGACCCGGAACTGTAAAGCAGTCATACAAAATCAGGGATATACACCAACCTAAGTTCGACAATATCAAGGGCCACCATTAAAAGGTGTGTTACCTTTCAGTAAGCCTAGCAGGGACTAATTTTGCCAAAGCACGTTCCACTTCCTCACTGACCTGCTCAGCAACGATACCGTAAGAAAAGGCCTTAGCAAAATAAAACTGATTCATACCTTAAACAGAGCAACAAGTCGGAAGAAAAACCCCTTTTTCCCACAAAAGCAAGCAAACAGAACTTACAACTCGGCGGAGGATAGGTTCCAAAGACGAGCAAAGCTTCTGCAAACTGTCAACTTTCAGAGCTTCAACAATCACACTGCGCAAAAGAGCAAGAGGACCAGAAAATAAAGTTTTGAATGATTTAGGAAATTTTGAGAAACAATCAGGAAAATGAATCAGAGAAGATGAAGCAAGCGAGGAAAATACCTAGCAAGAGCAGGCCGCTTACGCTCAGGCTGATCCTCATCGTTCCCGTCGAAGCTCCTTTTCATTCTTTTCTCTCAGAGAACTCTCTAAACTCTGAGAGAAAAAAAAGAAAACCCCTAAATTCTTAGATCTGTGAACAAACACAAGAAGATGAATCAAACTGCAGAGAAACCCCTCGGGAAATCACCCAAATCACCAGCCAAAACAAAACAAAATCCTAAATCCCGTAACCCAAATCCGGCGCGGAATCGCAGAGGACTTCGCGTAGACTCCGGCAATAGTAAAAAAGAAATTAGGAAAAAAAAAAATTAGCAAGCAGGCGAAAGAGATGATACATGTGCCGGTGAGAGTAAATCGCCGGCGACGGAAGTGAATAGATAATTTGTTTCCCGACTCTCTGGTTATAACTTCGAGTCTCTTTGGTTGTTGTGTTGTTTGGTAACTGGGTCAACCTCGGTGTGACTGAGAGAGTATGCGGTGAAGTCTACGTATATCTACGGTGGAGCTGCCGTGCAAGTCACGTGTCGACAAATAAGCGAGGGTCCCACCACGACATTCTCCAAATGATCCACGTCCCCCGATGCGACTTTTCAGAATGTTATATAAAATCGTAGCCGTACGTTTCACGTACAGCAGCAGCTCTTCTCTCTTTTTTTTGGGTCTTCGCTTCGGAAGAAAAATAATTTATCTTTAAAATACATACGTGGATTTATGCTGATTCAAAAGAAAATCATCCACAAGGTCAATTTTGGTATTTAGTGCCGATGCCCCACTTAGGGTTTACAAAAATGGGCCGGGCATCAATCAGTTTACTTTCTAATGGTATGGTATTATGGTCAAGCCCATTATATGGGTCAAGGTGTAACTACAGTATTATGTACCTGACACTCCTGACTGCTAAATTATTCTTAAGACCTGGCAAAACCCATCAGAGTTTGGTAAGTAAACATGAATTTTCTTATATAAAGTAGAATGCTTATATCTTTTGTTTAAGGTTTTAAAATTCGAAAACTGATCAATATTGTAGTTTTTGGTTATCCTTTAAACTAAGATAGCAGGTCTGTTTCACATTCTGTGAACTAAATCACACTATAAGATCAAAAAGCTAATATAGATATGTTTTTGAAAGAAAAATAGAAAACTGAAGGTAACTGCATATGTTTTTGAAAGAAAAATAGAAAACTGAAGGTAACTGCATGGTTTTTATAGTCCCATTCAAATGCACATTCTAACAAAACTAGATTTTCAAAAGACACTGTACTGAAAAAAGAAAAGAACTAAGGCGCTCAGCCGCTCACAAACAGGTTGATAATATTAAGAAATTTACAATTTTAAAAGTAAAATCAAACGAATAGATGATAAGTCAGCTGTTGAAGTCAAAACATCAACAAATTAAAATGTCAGCTGTTAGAAATGAACTGCATCAAAAAATATTTGCTTTCTTTTTTACATTAAAAAACTAATTTACAATTTTTTTAGTATCATATAACAAAGACCAAATTACTTTGGGAGAGTGTCTTTGTCCGGCTTATAGTTATTGTTTATGATTAAGGGTTTATCTTATTCTATTTCTACCAGCATGTTGACGGAGAGAGAAACAAAATCACATACCTGCATTATCCGTTATTGTTTCGATTTAGTGAATATAGTCTATATAAACCGCCTAAAATTTACAAAACCATTGATTTCCTATAAATCAATCGTACAACAATTTTTTTTCAGGGTCACTTGATATACTTAAGAAAGGAATTATTAAATATATCTTGGCAAAATAAAAAAAAACAACAACTAATACATATCCTAAATATCACATTTTATATTTGTATATATATATATATATATATATATCTCTTTCGAATTATAATACTTCAATCTATTTTAGTATTTTACTTATCTTTAGTCTAAAGACAATATATTCATAGAATAATAAAAATACCTACTTGCATGGTTAAAAATATCTAGATATTTCACTCTCCTTTACGAAAGCGAAACACAAAGTGGTAAGTGGTAACCATAATCGAACATGGAAGCCACTCCTAGTTGACATTCTCAAATTGCATGAGTCACAATTAACTATACCATGAAAAAAACATATAAATAATCACCCCCCATCAAATCATTTTTCTTCCACCATCCGAAAGAAAATCTTTGGAGCCACTCCAAAAGAAAAGAAAATATGGCGACCACAACATCAACCCAAGCCATAGTCTTAGCAGTTGCCCTTCTCTTTGTCGCCGTCCATGCAGACTATTACCGTCCGCGGCTACCTACAGTCCCGAGCCCTTCTCCCTACGTCGCAAAGCCGAAGCCACTCCCAAGTCCCAGCCCCAAACCTATCGTCTATCGTCCTGATCCCACTTACCAGCCACCCACGGGGTCGTTTGAACATCAGTTCCTTGAACCGCATAATACTGTTCGGACCAGCTTAGGTAATTTCAAAACAACTATAGCTAATTGAAATCAAGTAAACTAAAGTTTTTAATTCTGTGTGTTTTTGGTTATGATATCTCTTTCGAACAACGCGATTGGAAACGTCTCCAAATCTAGGATATGTCTTATACATCCTAATTAGACCAATTGGATAATAGTGTTATTAACCATGGGATCAAATTATTATTGAAATAATTTGATTAATTTCATTGCATGCAGGTCTGTCTCCATTGGTGTGGGATGGCAAGATCGCGAGCTACGCAATATGGTGGGCAAACCAGAGGCGCTATGACTGCTCCCTAACGCACTCGACCGGTCCATACGGTGAGAACTTGTTTTGGGGAAGTGGCTCAGACTGGACACCGACTTTCGCAGTGGAGTCATGGACCGTGGAGGCTAAGTCCTACAACCACATGAGCAACTCGTGTGAAGGCGGTATGTGCGGTCACTACACTCAGATCGTGTGGCGTGACACCAAGCGGCTAGGTTGCGCTCGAGTAGTCTGCGAGAACGGCGCAGGAGTTTTCATCACTTGCAACTACGACCCACCGGGTAACTACGTTGGAGAGAATCCTTACTAACTTTGTCTAACAGTTTGGTTTTTTATATTAAAGTCGATGCATGGTTGTATAATCTATGTTTTAGGTATCCGTGTATCTTTAAAATGTATTATCTTTTGGGTCTTATGCTGGTTGTGTTATGAGCATTTTGTTGTTTGATCTACTTTTCATTTTGTTATGGCCATGTCCACAAATGAAGTTTTTCAATGGTATGCAAAGACATTCCATAGTTCCATTAAATTTCCATGATCATATACTAAATACAATTTGTTGGCCTGCATGTGTAAATCCTCCCAAAATATAACGTTGCACTCGTTCTCAGATAGATTGGCACAACTACGGTAATTTACCAGAAGAGGTAATCATATAAAGATTTGATTGTTTCATAGAACCAAAAGAATACACCAGCTTTGTATTACACGAAGATTAGAGAGTTAGCCATCCAGGGAGACTCTAGAGGAAGTCAAGAAGCAACGGAAGCTTTATGTTTGATATATTAAGAAAAACATTTTCTTTCTGTGTGTCAAACATGTTCTAAGAATGTGAATGTAAACGGGCGTAAGAAGCATATAGGATATAATTAGAAAAAAAACCATATTATCTTTTATATATTTTTGTATGTTGGGCATTCATACGGATATATACAAATCGCCGTAAATGCAATTACAACCATACGTAAAAACAATCACGTACACATAGATCAGTATCAGAAACCCCACAAAATACATCTAATATATTTTCTAGTAAAATACACAAAACATCCACCTAATTTCCTTTAAAAAGTCATAACAACTTCTAAAAATAAGATCAACGAGTAGATGAATGATGGATCAATAGGGTTTCTGGCCGATGTAATTACCGGGAGGATCATAGTTACAAGTCATGAAGATCCCACCATTGTTGCACACCACACGTGCGCACCCGACCCTCCTCGTGGTCTTCCACACGATCTGTGTGTAATGCCCACACATCTGGCCAGGGTCGCACGTGTTAGAGCCGTAATGATAAAACCTCTTCTCGCTGGCCCACGCAACCACCGCATCGGCCGGAGACCAGTTGGCGCCGTATCCCCAGTAGACGTTCTCGCCGAGAGTAAACCCTCCGTTTTGGAAAGAGTGTCTCAAAGCACAATCCCCTCTTCTTTGATTAGCCCAGTTTTGGGCGTAGTTCTGGAGCCTGCGGTCCCACATCAAAGGAGGTTCGAATCTTGCGGCACGGACCAAGTTGTGTCGGAACAGGAACTGTAACGAGTCATGGTCACATCCCGGACACAAATTCCTACAGATTCGAAATATCTGACCGAGTGTTGCAGCTTTGGTTGTTGATATAGAGAAGAAGAGATTAATGGCACCAAAGAGTAATATTACTCGTAAATAGGATGAGTTCATCCTTTTTAATTTTTTTTTTTGTTTTTGGAGAGTTTATTGTCTTTTTGGTGCTAATGGTTTTCGGAGGTTCAAGTGTGGTATTTAAATATAGAGGAAGAAAGGGAAAAGATAAATTTATGTTGGAATTGTATGGATACAAATTGAGTTTTTTTTTAATAGAAGATCTGTCTATTTTTTAACCGCGTAACGTGGATAACCGATGTGATGATTATAGTAATTTTAGCAGAATGTAAATTTAGAGGGGAAACACAAATGATTGAGGATAAATATGGATTGTATTATTGGAGAGATATGATAATGTATATGATTGTGTTATATGTATGCGTTGTCCCGTGATCGCTAATGTTGTCCATATTAGATAAGCGGATATGGGAAAATGGAGTGGGTCGTCACTGAAACACTCTAATATGTCAACATTCCAGCCCTTTTTTGCACTCACAAAGTCACTTGTACATAATTTCAATGTAAACTATATGAATCTACACGTATATACATCTGTTTTATTTCTTTTTAAATAGCGCAAAATTTAATTTTAAACATTTTTTGTTTTGTTTATCAGTTTATGTTCACTCTACTCTATATCACACATTTCACATTACACATTTGATTGCAAATTTGCAAAAAAGGTGAAATTGAACAACATTCTACGATCCTATGGACATGCTTTCCTAAATCTCTTAGCACATAAATTAGATAGTCTTACTTATGTTACATTTGAGAGATTACTTGGTTTGACCTATAGCCTGACATATGTTTATTAAAAAACACCTTTTTTTTAATGCCACTACTTCATTTTACATTTTAATTTCCAGATTTTGTCTCTTTGATAACTTAATTTGTAATTTATCCTATCAACGCTTTCTTATTCATCTTGTATATATATATATATATATGTTTATTGTGGTTTTTTCCACTATATCAATTTATTTTATTGCCAGTACATCATTTTACATTAAAATCTTCTAGATTTTATTTATTTGGTAATTTAATTCTAATATATTCTATAATTACTATTTTTCATCTTAATATTCTTATTAATGATCTACTATAACATAACTACTTTCTTATTAATCTTAACTTAATAGTATATTAAATAAAATTTGTGTTGATTAAGCATTTCTGGGTGTCATCATCGTTACTGTTCCTTAGCGCCTCCGCAAATGTGACGCTTCTCCGCCGGGAAAGTTGAGCGAGTTGTCAATTCGGCAATCAGGAAGCTATATTTTTTCGCGTCTTTACTTCCACATGATCACGTCCTTCTTCAAACTCCAAATCTCGATCCCCGATTCGATTCCGTTTCCACCTCGATTTCTCCTGCCTAGTCAACAGCAGTTCCGTTTCGGTTTATTCCTTCGATTTCCCGCTCAACCAAAGAATCTTGATCGAATGGACTGGATTAACCGCCTCGGAATCGGTTGCTTTGCGGCGAATCGGAGCAAAAGGGAAGTGAAGACGGAGATCGACAGCGGCGGAGAGGATTTGTTCGATGCGGCTGTCATGGAGTCTGCAGTAAAGCCGGATCATTTGGTCGTCATGGTGAACGGTATCATTGGCAGGTACACAATCAATTAACTTCGAAAATCAATTTCAGATCATCATTATGTTTCGGGTTGATGACTTTTTTTGCTATTTCTGTTTTGGATCATGATTTAGTTCGGCGGATTGGAAATATGCGGCGGAGCAGTTCGTGAAGAAGTTCCCGGACAAAGTACTTGTGCACCGTGCGTATTTCTTAACCTATTGAGATTCTGGGTTCTATGATATCACACTGGATGATTCATTATACTCAATTTCTTGATTTTCGATAAGATTGATCATTATGTGGCATAAGCAGGTAGTGAGAGTAATAGTGCAACGATGACATTCGATGGTGTGGATAAGATGGGTGAAAGGCTAGCTAATGAGGTATCTTCTGCCATCATTGCTTTCTCTTTCTCTTCGCTTTGGTGATTTTGTTACTACTGACGTTTTGAAATCCTTTTGCAGGTTTTATCTGTTATTAAGAACAGAAGTGGGCTGAAGAAGATCTCATTTGTGGCTCATTCATTAGGAGGTCTTGTTGCAAGATACGCCATAGGGAAGCTCTATGAACATCCAGGGGAAGCAAACTCTTTGGACTCTCCGTCAAAGGCCAATAATAGCACGAGAGGCGGCGAAATTGCTGGGTTAGAAGCTATGAACTTTATAACTTTCGCAACGCCTCATCTTGGTTCAAGGGGACATAGACAGGTGAACTGATGTTTTATAGATTGCATGTCATAGGTCAAATGTTTCTGTAAGTTTTATATATATAGATCATATTGCTTGTCTTGCTTTCTTTCCTTCAGTTCCCGATTCTTTGTGGACTTCCTTTTCTTGAAAGAACAGCATCCCAAACTGCACACTTGGCTGCTGGGAGGACCGGGAAGCATTTGTTTCTGGTGGATAACGATGATGGGAATCCTCCGCTCCTTATCGGGATGGCTACAGATTCTTGCAACTTCAAATTCATGTAAATGCTTCTCTGCCTCTGTGTTTATTTTTTTTCATTGGTGACTTGCAGATTGAGATGTACACTACTACTCATCTCTACTTTTAATGACCTTCAACAGATCAGCTTTAAATGCTTTCAAGCGACGTGTGGCATATGCAAACGTGAATTTCGATTGTATCCTGAATAAAACATGTGGTTTTATCGAAGTTTATTTCATTTTATTACAAGAGACAGCGTGTTTGCCTTTACTAACTACAAAGACATGGTTGGATGGAGGACATCTTCAATTCGCCGTTCGAATGAGCTCCCAAAGGTATCTATATTAGAAATGTCACATTTACAACTGATTTTATGCAGAATCTGTGATTTTATCAGTAACCCTTATCCGTTCTCATCTTCCAGCCAAATCTTCTAGCAACTGATCCAAATTATCCACACATCGTATACGTAGAGCAAGGAAACGTGGACAATGCTAGATGCCAATCAACTTCTGTAGTAGTGACAGATGAAAACTCTGATCTTGAAGGTTTGCTCAATATTTCACTTGTTTTTTTTTTTAGGACTTGCTAGAATTTCTGGAAGTGCATTGATTCACACCTCACTCTCTATATAGCCCATTGGTCTTCTTTATATCCGTAGCATGACGCATTGTTTTGTTTTTTGTGTGTGGAATATAGAGGAAATGTTACATGGACTCGGTCAATTATCCTGGGAACGGGTAGATGTAAGCTTTCACAATAGCAAGCAACGATACGTAGCTCATAATACCATTCAGGTAAGTTTTACACTAGGTACTCTTAAACTCAGTAGTGATAGTATTAACATCAAATTTACATAATGATTTTTGTAATGTGTAGGTGAAGACATATTGGTTACATTCTGATGGTAAAGATGTTGTCTTCCACATGATGGATCATTTCTGTCTCTAGCCCCCAACATTTTCAACCGCTGCAATTAGTCAGCACTGTAAGATGGCGACAAGCATTACAAGCATCCTCTTGATTTGGTTTTATATATCGTATTTAGTATGATGCTTGATGCGATACAAATCATGGTTAAGTTCTTGCAAGTTTACCTTAAGGTTATTTTGAAATGTATTTTATTCTGTCTGACGATGAATCCTGTACAGATATACTCGTTCTTTGTAAAAGTTTTCATCCTTCTCTTGTTATAACCATCCTTAATTAATGTCAAAACAAAAAACCATCCTTAATGAAATTGATGGTTCTTTCTTTCTTTCTTTGTAGAACTAACAATCTCATAGTCTAAGATTGGGCTCTGTTAAGAGGACCGGTCTGTTCAAACTGATCTATCAAAAGGCCCAAACCTAACCGATCTTCTTTTAGAATTAACCAATTTATGTGAAGATTTTAAAATGTTTAGAGAAATTTGTTGAGGTCTGAGACATCAAATTCTCTTTTGATCTATAAATTTTAGCGCCAATCTTTATTTTCTTAGATCACATTAGACATTTTGTTACTAGTTGATATGTCTTGTTGGTATACTGACAATCTAATTCTAGACGGCATCCGGTGAATGCGCAAAAGATTGAGTACGGACTATTCACAATTATTTGCACTCTTTTGGGATCTCGTTTGTTTCATATGTTCACATAAACATAGTATGATGTAACTGGACAAGAAAAGTAAATGACCTACACACATGACACAACCAATGAGCAATTGCCCCATACTAAAACAGCCACTCATTCACTTGGTCGATGTGGTCTCACTATTCACATTGTACTGATCATCCAAAAGATAATGTTAGTGCTTCTTCATTTCAGATAAATGCATACGACGTAAAAAGAAGAAGATAAATGTATATGTGGGGGTAGTTGTTTTTTTTTAAAAAAAGTTGATGATAGTACTTAGCGATATATAATTAGAATTTTGGGAGTAAAAGGTGCCAAAGAGAATAATTAACAACTTCGTCTCGCCGCAAAGGCGACGCCAACGGAGATCAGCATTATATTCGGCACGTGCCGTTGTTGCTAGTTCCCTTCAATATCTCACTGGACCATTCCGCCGATTCTCTACTCCATTGATCGGCATCAATCCAACATACATAATTATGGTATATGAAGTCGACCATTTCATAAGTACTAGTAACTTAAGCATCAATTATAATTGGTAGCTACTAATCATCCATCTATTCAAATTCTAAAAAAATATACATTTCCTTGATTTTCATTCTCGGCACAGAAACGGGGAAAAATTGTGGAAATCTACAAAACCCAAAAAAAAAAAGAAGAACCAAACTCCATATGCATACACATCGTTTAATCAGACAAAAAATAATGGAATAAAACCCAAATTTATCCCATCTGCTGCTCTAAGGTCCGCATAATTATGACCCGACCCGACACGACAGTTAACAATTGAGAGTCCGTAATGATTACTCTGTTTTCAAGTTCCGGTGCTCTGCCGCACCACCTGATCACTAACCTCCTCTTTCTTCTTTTCCGTTTTGCCATCTCCGCAAGTACAGTTTTGGTCAGACCGATTCATCGCCGGCGTAGCCAAGTAAGTGGGTTTAGCATCGCCGGCCATAATGACGAGAAACTTCTCCGGCATGTCCGTTCGCTTAGCCTTGTGAGTTTCACCGTCGAGTTTGGCATCATCTCCGGCCTCTGGATCTCTCTGACCGGAGCCGGAGAGTCTCCAGTAGGAACAGGCGAGGATGAGAAGAGCGAAGGCGATTAGAGCCAACATGGCGGCCAAACCACCGAAGAGATAAGGAACCGGTGAATGCCACGGCGAGCGAGGTACCACCATGGAGGAGCTATTATTGTTTCCTTCCGCGTTTTGGTAATATTGTCTTCCTTCCATTGTCTGCATGTGTTTCTCAGAGTGAATAAATGAAATGTAATTTTTTTTTTTTTTATAATTAATAAATTGTTGAGAGAAGAGATTGTGTTGTGAGGGGACATTTATAGAAGAGAGCAAGGGAATCTTTGTGAAAAACCTCTGGATTGTGCATGACGTTTCATCTACTAGCTAGGGTTATTTTCTAACCCTTTTTTTACAGTGATTAGTGTAATTGGTACTTTGGTTAATTACTTATGGATTTTTTTTTTTTTAAATACGTGTCTCCACTCTCCATCTTTTTTTGGTTAAAGGATAAATACAATTATACATGTCTCCATCTTCAATACCACTTTAATAAAGTTTTACGTTTAGTGGTGGATGAAATGAAATACTCTTTAAAATGCAATAATGGGTTGAGGTTAAAGTGAAGAGTTATTTAATAACCTTGTATGGCGATCTGTACATTAAAACTCACTGTTTCGATGATAAATATATGGTCAGTATTCAACTAATCCAGCTTACAGACTAAATGAAAAGTAAGAAAGGTTAAAGACTAAGGAGAAAACAAACTCGAAATTATCAAAGTTGGTAGTTCAACAGAAAAATAAATAAATAAAAGACTTCAACAAGATCCTATATAAGTTCAATTCCGGAACTAATGCACAATTACATGTTTCAATATCTGGTTCAAAAGTTGTATGCATCATAAAAGCAAAACGTTTATGATTACCAAACCAAAAAAAAAAGAAATATGGTATATGGAATATATCAAAAAAATAGATTTGTATTGAGTTTCATAGATTTTCAATTCAACGATTAAGAACGAGTGAAATGGTCTATATTTTACTATAAATTTTCATGTAAATGTGGAATTAATTAATTCTTGAAAAGTTATATACAAAACTAATAATAGCTGTTTAGTGAGCTATTTGGAAAAGTATTCTCGTTGTGAAACGAAATGACAGAATGAGTAGAGTAAGGTTGGGTTTTTTCAGCGTCAGCTTCCACCACGTCTAAGCACAAACGGATATTCCGTTAGTTTCCAATCACTTACCTTACGTTCCCCATTTCCACATTCTTCCTCTTTTCTTCTTATTTTCTTTTATTTATTCACTTCTATTTTTATATTATTCTTTAATGTGTCCACTAGTATTATACCAGCGTGTTAAGCAATCACAATATATGATATAACATTAAGTCGAGTAAAAAAGGGAATTTCTAAGGCAAAACTTTGTTAAAGCATCCAAGCCAACAATGTTGAAAGATTAATATTCCAACCTAACCCCCCATCTTACATTAAACTATTGAGATAAACTGTCATTCTCATTTCTCCCATTGTACATATAACATATATACACGCACATAGCAAACGTGTGGTGGAGAATACATAAGTCGAATGATATGTTTTTGTAGTGTCAACTTTATCTTTTTTAATTTATACCCAAAAGGTTTCAGGTATTTGTAGTTTAGTTTTCTTTGCATATTGGAATTGAAACCTTTTAAAATTAATATTTCTAAGTATGTGGTCCGTATATATAACGTTCCATGATCCAATTTAAATTCCCAGATTTGATTTGTGTTTATGCATGAATCTTAGGGAATCATATTCTCGTTAAATAGGCACGTTACATGTGAAGATAATATAAAGTAATAACACCTAGGACTCCATTAGTTTCTCAAACGAATTAATCATCGATTAAGTGCAATATTTAAATATCTGCGTTCTATTCTTTTTCTCTTTCCAGTAAAATATTCTACCAGTGTTTTCGACCAATTAGCTAGGATCAGTTTATTGAAAAGATTGATGGGTGCTTCATGTTTGTTCGTGGTATAAACAACCAGAATACTTGCCTTCTATTAGTTGATAATTCATTTCTCATTAATTAGTAAAATGTGTACAACTGTGAGTTTATATACAATCCGAATAGACCTAAACCAGAACCATAAACCAGTATTAAACCAACACTATACAAAATGAACCAATATGAAGACTATATACAATAATAGTCCCCCTTAAGATGGGACGAAGATGTTCAGGAGACCCATCTTGCCAATAAGCTTCTGGAATGGTGCAGGATACAGAGGCTTGGTGAAAGGATCTGCAAGCTGCAAATCAGTCCTCACATGTAACAGTTTAAAGAAACCAGCTATCATTCGTTCACGAACACTATGACAATCTGATTCAATATGTTTGGTGCGTTCGTGGAAGACAGGGTTGTGAGCAATGTGGATCGCAGCAGTATTGTCACAGAAGAGTAAAGTAGGCTTGGTAAGATGAACATGTAATTCATGCAGGAAATTCGTAAGCCATACCACTTCATCAGAGACAAATGAGAGACTACGATATTCAGCTTCAGCTGAGCTTTTCGACACCACCTATTGCTTCTTGGACTTCTAAGAGATGAGAGAAGTACCTAAGAAGATGCAGTAGCCAGAGGTGGAGCGTCGTGTGTCTTGACATGAAGCCCAGTCAGCATCCGCAAAAACTTGAAGCTGTAGTTCAGAATTTGCAGAGTAAAACAAGCCTTGACCAACAGTACCCTTGATATATTGTAGGATTTTCATGATAGCATGTTGATGAGCTTGTCGTGGAGCAGCAGAGAATTGGCTGAGTTTATTCACGGCAAAGGTGATATCGGGACGAGTAATCTGCAAATACATCAGGCGACCAATGAGACGTCTGTATGCTTCAGCATCAACCAAATCTCCTCCACTGTCCTTCGAGAACTTCACATGAGGATCCATGGGAATGCTTGATGGTTTGCAGCCAAGTAAACCCGTTTCATCAAGCAAATCTAAGGCATATTTTCGCTGACAGACATGAATCCCCTCGGAAGAACGAGCAATCTCTAAACCGAGAAAATATTTCAAAGCACCAAGATCACACAGCTTAAAGTGAGACTTGAGTTGAGTCTTCAACAAGTCAACCTCTGAATCATTGTTGCTAGCAATGACGATATCATCGACGTAGACGAGAACGCAAAGAAACAGAGTATTGGTGACTTTGAGAAAGCATGTGTGATCACCATGGGTTTGAACGAATCCCAGACCAGTAAGAGTAGTGGAGAACTTCAGAAACCACTACCGCGATGCTTGCTTCAATCCATATAGAGATTTCTGGAGCTTGCAAACCGCATTTGGAGGTAACAAGTCCCCCTTACCATCAGCATATCCTGGTGGGAGTTTCATATAGATTTCTTCATCGAGATCACCGTTGAGAAAGGCGTTGGAAATGTCGAGTTGATGTAGCGAAAAACCATGAATAACAGAGAGAGCAAGAACAACTTTGACCGTTGTGAGCTTGACTACAGGTGAGAAAGTATCGTGATAGTCAATGCCCTCCTGTTGAGTATAACTTTTCGCCACCAAGCGTGCTTTATATCGTTCGACACTCCCATCCGCATTGAACTTAACTTTGAATATCCACTTGCATCCAATCGGTGTTTTGTCAGGGGGAAGAGTGCAAATGGTCCATGTGTTGGTGTCCTCCAAAGCACCAATCTCAGCATCCATAGGTTCATCCCAGATCAAAAGTCTCTTCGCCTCAGCATAGGTTTTGGGTTCTTTAATTTTGTCTATGGAAACTAAGAAAGAAAGGTAAAGAGGAGAAAGTTTGCCATAAGAGAGAAAATAGGAGATTTCATGAATAGTTGAAGATCCTACTGAATTACAGTAGTAATCTTGAAGATAAGCAGGCTGTTTAGTGTTTCTCCTGTGAGATGTATGAGCAGAATGCCCAGGAACATCAATGGTATACACGGCAGAAGGCACAATGTCTACAGAAGGTGAATGAGAAGAAGATTCACCACCGATATTATTAGAGGACACAGGAGTTTGTTGAATCAGATCAGGAAAGAGATTGAGAGCTTCCTGGGAGAGATCTGAGCCAACGAAAGGAAAGAGCTCTTCGTGGAAAACCACATGTCTCGAGACAATGATAGCATTAGTCTCAAGATCTAAAAGCTTGTAGCCTTTGTATCCAGAAGGATAACCAAGGAAGGCGCAAGCACGAGCTCTGGGATCAAACTTATGTCTGCCTTTGGGTGATGTAGAAGAATATCAAAGACAACCAAAAACTTTGATTTGAGTATAATCAGGGAGTTTCTTTGTTAAAACTTCATAAGGACTTAGAACAGGAGCGGGTAAACGGTTAATGAGGTGAACAGCGGTGAGAAAGCAGTCACCCCAATAAGGAAGTGGAATATGAGATTGAAAGAAGAGAGATCGAGCCACATTTAGGATATGTTGGTGTTTGCGTTCAACGACAGAGTTTTGTTGAGGTGTTTCAGGACAAGAGTGAAATGGCACAATGCCTTTAGATTGATAAAAGGCAGTGAAGTTGAGTTCTGGAGCATTGTCGGATCTAACCCCCTTAACCTTCCTATCAAATCGGGTTTCTACCATAGTAACGAAGGATGGAAAAATTTGAAGGACATCCGACTTAGCCTTAAGTAAGTACACCCAAGTTACCCGAGAACAATCATCAACAATGGTTAGAAAATATCGAAATCCATCATGTGTTGGAACAAAAAATGGACCCCAAGTATCAATGTGGACAAGATCAAAAGGGTTTAAGGAGAGATTATTCGAAGAGATAAAAGGAAGGTGTTTCTGTTTCGATAAATGGCAAGTTTTGCAATGAAACTCTTTATTATTATTTTGTTTAGGGATAGACAAGACATATTGCATAGAATGTAATTTTGACAAAGAGGGATGCCCCAAACGTTTATACCAAATTTCAACAGAGGAAACAGAAGCAGCAACGACTGAAGAAAAGGTACCTTTTACTGAGACTGACTCGATATCCAAGAAGTAAAGATTAGCCACCTGTCTACCCATCCCAATCATTAATTCCCGAGTAGGATCCTGAATAGAGCAAAAAAATTCATCAAACCAGACACGACAATGCATGTTTTTGGTTAAAGAACTAACACTTAAGAAGTTGAACTTGAATTGGGGAATGTAAAGGACATCATTAAGAATCAATTGACTACCCAAGTGTATAGTTCCTATTCCGACAATGCTCACAA